GCCCCCGGAATGAGGGCCTCTTTGTTCAGACGGGAACACCGCAATCCTTGCACCAAACACAGCCAAGGGCCACTGCACTCAACCTTGGCAAGTAAGTCCTTTTTCCTTTTTGTTTTTCCAAGCTCTCCATCTCTACACCTTCCTGGTCAATATCAACAGCTCCTTTTCCATCTCCAGTAAGGTCACATATCGGAAGGCATTAGCTACACCGCCAAATGAACAAATAAACAAACCGCACAGGGTTGAATGAGAGCAGATAAAGGGCACTGAGAACATTGCATTTGGTCATTTGCTAACACTGGACATACTAAAACTCCCCAAAGAAAAGCAGCTGTGTGAAAAGTTTCAGATCCACCAAAATTACTAAATATAACAAAAAAACAAAACTGATCCATAATACTTGCATGTCAGTTTAAGTAAAACCTGTTTTAATGTTTTTGTCCATGTGATTATTTACCAGATAAGGTTTCTTTGGCATTCTGAAACAGTCTTCTCATATTTAATTAAATAATTACTGACAAATATGGAGAAAGGGTGCAGTACAATTATTGTTGTTGTCTACAAAAATGGTTTAGATTGATTCTCTACTGTCCCTTTTTGACATTACACACTATGTTGTAGTTGTTTTTTAAACATCATTAATCACTGCAGGGTACCTGCAGAAAACATGTCTTGTTAGAATGTGTAAATTATTTAGGCTTTGTGACTAGATTTGCATCCAACTGATTTTTGACTCAGCCCAAAAAATCTAGTGCAACATTTCTACCATCAGCAATATTATATGGACTTTGGTGAAAAAGGGTGCTAAGCCAAAGAACATAGAGATTTCGCTTTAATCTGGATTTTAAATTCACGTCATTAGATTGCATTTGCAAACCACTGCAGCGAACAGGCAAAATACAAGATTTCTGCCTAATGGTAAATCCCATGATTCGTAATTATGTTTACAATACTGGGGAATATAATATTCACATGTAAATAACTTAATGTATTGAGGGTAAAGTTGTAGCTCCCTTGTACCTGTTTACAGTAAGTGTTAGAAATATATTATGTTGTGGTTGTTCTAACACTTAAATCATACTATAAGCTGTAAATGTTACTATGGGAGGCTAACAGCCTCTTAGTATTTCAGGGCCTCATAAAAGTTAGCACAACTTAAGCATATCTACAGTACATTCTGTCAGTGAGCATAAAAGTACTCGATGATCAAAGCACAACATGGAGCAGACTTCATTCTTAACAAAGTCAGATATCAGCAATCTCGGGGGTGACAGTGTACCAATTTCTGAGAACCAAAGGAGATAAAACGCTCTTCTCTCCGGCCCACGATGCAGTCAGATTCCTCTGCAGTGTGTTGATCCATCATCCTGCCTCACCTCAGTTTAAGGCAGCCTTTGTTTACAACATCGCAGCAAACGGGGTAGCGTTGCGAATAAAGTTCAACACATTTAACACTGAAGGTCGCTGTCAAATCAGAAAATCGGAACTCAATGCTGAAATTACAGCGGGTGAAATGAAGATGTACCAAAAAAGTCTGTTTGAGCTTTTTTCTATTCTCTTTATGTGGTTTGCATTAACTAGACATATGGGGAAAAATCAAACTATAATTTTAAGGCAATTAATAGATTTTAATGTTGTGTAAATGTGACGTAATCCATGGCTTTTATGCGCTCTCATCATGTAAGAAAATCCAATAAATGACATGAAGTGCATGGTTAACTTCCCTGTCTCTCACATAGCAGTTTCGCAGGCATATGCCAGAGGATTGCCTTTGTAATAATCTCCAAACAGCAAGGGGAGGGGTTTGATGGGATTGGGCTCGAACTGTTTCCTGTAGACATAGTTAAGGGCATCCTCCTGATGCAAATTTATACCCTCATGCGTGTACATGGACAGCTTGTCTTTGACATTTGATTTTCCAATCCTCTCCTTTGCCTTATTTATCAGTGTAGGCACGCCGCGTCTCACCACACGTGTAAGTCTAAATACGGGTTGAATAATGTATTCTTGGGAAATGCTGCAGACTGCCCACATTTCAACAATTATGATTATGTGTTCTGCTTTTTTTTTTTTTTTTTTTTTTTTTAGGTGTTTGCGCATGCCTTTCTGTTATCAGAGACAGATGTTAGGAGTATAGATTAGGTCTGGTTTTGTTGGTAAAACGGGGGTTACTGAGAACAGCATGGATTTATAATCACCCACACAGCTACCACTCAATAAGGAAGAACTGGGGAATGGTAATCTCTCGTACTTTTTCCGCTTCTCAACTCGTCTCTTGCATTTCTTACACGATCTATCCTCCAATCCGCTCCTTTATGTAACAAGCTTTCATCCTTCTTCCTATGTCCTTCCCTGCTGTGTCCAGCCAGATCTGTTGAAAGTCATTGACAAAAATGGAGGAGAGAAACAGGGAAAAAAAATGGACCGATAGGGGTAGGGAAAGGTTTAATGTAGCTTAGCTGACAGTATTGTGTAAATGTCAGATGGTCCAATGAAAAGTCAGCCCAGCTAAAGCTACCGGCAGGTTCTTTTCAGTGTCCTCTGATGCATGATAAAATAACAGTCACTTTGTTTATCTTTCTGTCTCTTTTTCCCCTGACTTTTATAGGACTTTGACTTGATCCTATGCTTTTCACTAGGACAACTCAGAAAATGGACGTACAAAAAAAAATTGAGAGACTTTGTAAATCGTTGAATTATGTTTTGTATAATTAATGGTTGAATAAATTGCATTCGCATTATTTTCTCTGGTAAGCAGCAGGCCTATTTCTTCCCGTGGCTTGCTGTTTGTATTCCATGTTGTAGGTTTTGTGTATACCACACATTCAGCTGGGGGCAGATGTAGTGTTACGCAAGGTTTTGCCTGTGAGGAAAATGTCCCATAAAGCCCTAAGATGAAGCGAGAATCAGCACGAAAAATTAATAAATTAAAAAACTAAATGAATGGGAAGATTCAAAGAAAGCTGTTATGCTGCTTGTACCTTTCAGTGAATGCTGGCTCTTTTCACTTGAGAACTGTTTAGCATATTATGCTAATTGATAAAATCTCCTTTTCTATTGCCTTGTTGTGACAGTGAGAAGGATATGGAATAAACATCTATTATTCTGCATTCACATTAGGCAGCAAAAACAGTCTGATTATTTATCAGCTATAAATTTAGTAATAGAGGTTTTCGAGTGTCTCCTGCAGTAACACATCTCATCAGCATTTCTAACCTTTTTACACGGCAAAGCATAAATAAAGATTTGTCTCCCTTGAGTTCTCCATTGTTCACCACTGTTTGAATCTTACGCTGTGTTTGGTTCCTGCTGGGAGAAAGAATGAGCTGGAACAAGTCAGCCGTCATTTAACTGTGAGATTTTACCATCCATCGTCCCATCACAAGCCAGCAACACAACAGAATATATTCGGCATTTCATTCAAAATTGATATCCTCGGTTTTATAAAACTCTAGCACTAACTATGGAAGAAAAACAACTGGAACAAAAAAATATTTTTAAATAGAATAACTGTCTCTTGCAATGTTTCAAAGAAGCCTTTTTTACGTCCCTATAACCTTCAGTGATGGAATACACATCCCCCCCCCGACTTAATTGAATATATTCACATACAGTAGTATGAGCACGCCAGTGGGGGAGTGTGAAGTTTTGTGTCAAACATCTCTCCCGCATCCAGACGTATGAACTCTTTTGAGGGCAGGTGGTATATGGGGTAGCATGCAGAGAAAAATATCTCGCATGCAAACCACAACAGATACACAAACACATGTGCACGCACTGGGCACACAGACACACAGACACACACATGCAACGGCTGTTCCTTAATTCGGGAAAATGTGAGTACAACATGACAAGGACATTTTTTGGTTCCCATGGGAATGTTGTTATTTTTTGGCAGAGTCAACCTGGCTCTGTCTGCATAAGAGAGGTTGTATGATAAAAACAACTACATTTGTGTGCAAACTCCACAGGGTATAGGGCAATAAAAAAAACACACACACATTCCTTGATGCTTCTCCCTGGAATGTCTAGATTGAGTTTGGACATGGAGCACACTGATCATCTTTTGAGAATAACATTAAAGCAACTTTAGTTCAAATCATGCAATATTTCCTCATCTTTTTAGTTGGTAAAAGATCTAAAGATTATTTCAGGGGTAGCATTTACAGTCTAAAAAAAATCAACCCCTCACTGAAAGTGTAACGAGCTATGTTAATGATGCAGTGATGCAAAAACTAAACTAATCCATCTCACTGCAGGAGCAGTAGTTTTAACAGAACCCCTGTTAGTTTTGCTTCATGAAAAGCGATGCACATCCAAGGAAGACGGTCGTGGGTTTCAAAACAGGCTTGCAGAGCTCGTTGTACCGTGCTCTTCAGTGCACGCAGATAAAGCACATGGCAAAACAACTCCTGAGCTTTTACAGGTATATGTGACAAATAATCTGTAATGGCTGACATTTAAAGCAGGCTGAGTGGCAGTTCACCCGTTTAGGCTATAGCTAAAGACATCTATGAAAAAATAGCAAAAAAAGGTGCAGCAAAGGTACCACGATAAAGACACGATACTTGGTGATGTTTGTCTGCAAAGAACTTTAAAAAGAAGAGAGACGGGGTACACCCTGAACGGGTCCGTCAGTCCATCACAGGGCCACACAGAGACACACAACCACGCAAACTCACACTCACTCCTGAGGGCAATCTGGAATGTCCAATCAACCTAACATGCAGGTTTTTGGACTGTGGGAGAATTTGGAGAGGACCCACACAGACACACGCAATCCCCGTTCCCCCGGGGTCTCGAACCCAGAACCCTCTTGCTGTGAGGGGATAATGAAAATAGTTCATTTAGAAATGTTTTATGACATACATTCTGATGATATGGAGATATTCTTAATTTCATGAATAATAATGTTATTCAATCACAGATAGATGATTTATTAATAGATCATAATAAATAAAGAGCAACACACAATACGTCAGATACATTTATTGAAGTCAACAAAGAAATATCTTCCTGTGGTAAACAAAAAGGCATAATACATAGATTATGCTAACAATCTGCTTAGCGGTTGACAGTTTATGTCACCAAAGCAATCTAACCTATGATCACAACAGCCTTTTCAAATAATCTCAGAGGATTTCTAAGTAAAATGTATTGTTTAGCTGTTTATGTATTTAACATTCCAGAAGACGGTCTCACACTTCCACGTCTTCCCAGGACATTGACAAGCTAAAGCTTTGCTAAACGAATCTGCCAGATTCCAGTGAGGAGAAAAAGAAAAACATATAAGAGGCGTGACAAGACTGACTCGACAGGATTAAATATCTTATGGGTATTATTTTTCTGACACAGTCTGCTTTGAGCTATAACTAGCCTGCTAGGAAACACCAGGAACAAACTCACCCTTAGGACAAATACCTTTTCCAATACAGGAGGAATATGTTTGATTGGAGAGCAGTAAGCAAGTTATAAGAGTGTAAAGAGACAGTGTGACACTTAGATAAATGTCAAATCCTGAATATCTGAGAGGAAGTTTACAAGATGATTCAACTGGAAAAGACGGCAGTCAAGTATTAAAAACCGACAGCAAAGGTGTCCCAGAGCTGATTCACAGCACTGAAGCTCCGACTTTAATAATTCAGCTTTTGCATGCTGCTGTTTTGAGTTGCGTTTGCATGGTCTCACTGTATTCCTGTGGGTCTCCTGCGGGTGTCCCGATTTCCCTCCACAGTCTGCAGACATGCAGGCCAGGTGAACTGGAAACTGTAAAGTGCCCACAGGTGCGAGTGTGTTTGTTCGTGTGTTAGTTTGACCTGCCCAGGATGTTTCCCTGTCTGTTACCTCACACGGCTGGGACACTTCAGGGACCCACTTACAGATAGGACCTGAATAAGAATGAGCCAAGAGAGTGAATGGATTGGAGAGCATCATGCTTAGAGGCATGAATGAAAGACACTAAGCCTGATAATGACCGTTACAGTGCCTGCTAATAGACATGTGGCCATTAGTGTGGGATGTTAGAGTAATTCCTGATCAGTCCATTAGGTGAGCAGCTTAAAATCTTAAATTTCTTCGTTCTTTTGACAACAAATCAATTCAGAAAAAATTGTTTGCCCTTGAGTTTCATTGTGTGCTGTCAGATGGGGATGATTTACATTTACTCTTGATGCGTTGTCCTTTAGGAAACCGAAACAGTTTGCTCTGCATATTGTCAGCTATGTATATCCCCTTGGTAAGATGTGAATGTTTTCCCTCAGCCCAACCCCAGAAGAGTGTTTAACACAGGTAGGTTCACAAGTAGATATACTGTGTATGGCAACTGTGAGAAAAAGGATGGTTTGTGTGGCTTTTATCCTAACTAACTATGTCTATAGAGCCAATATTTGGTCTGGCTTGTTCCCAATAAACAACTACCTTAGACTGCCTCTTAAATATGTTTATCCTGAAAAACTACCAATTCTAAATTCACTATTGTTTAACATGGACCTAATTTCCATTTGTATTTCCTCTGTTGTGTGTGAACTGAGTGCGCAGCAGAATTTACACTGTGTTATCTATCCACCAACCATGTGCACATCCTGGATGAGTGATTCTGCTCTTCACGGTTGTATTTCCACACTATTCTCTGAGCCTTTCAGTACATAATGTCATTTAATACATTTCTTCTGTTAACAACACGCCTACAACAGACTTACTTCTATCTAAAAGTAGGGCTTTGGGGATATATACAAAATACATAATGTACATTCAGAGTTAAGAGTATTAGAAGTTGTGTTGATAAGTGATTGTCTATGTTTCCAACACCGTGTTTCATTACTGCACAACTGGTATGATAAGCTAAGACAAATGGCCAAAACCTAATACGTAGCATAACCATAAGAGCTTCATTTATTCAGATATCTGTGATGTGTGTGTTGATGAGGAGGCCCACACAAATGAACTGTTATTGAATAAATATTCATACAATAATTGGATGATTAAGTATAGCTCCCCTGGTATCATATTCTGGCAATCTTAATACAATCTTTCAGGCTGTGTCAAGGATGTGGGTGTGTAGCTCTTTGCACAATAACCCAGAGCATATGTCAGTGAAAATAATAAATGCATGAGTAAAACCTAGTTGAATTCACAAAAAAAATTGTGTGGTGCATTTGCCAACATGTTCAGAATCCAATGAAATAAAGTATGTCATTCACAAAACAAATGCATACAATATAATAATGTGAAGAAAAAAACATTCCCCTTCCACTTTTTAAAATTCACCAGGACATGATAACAAATATTTGGTTGTTACAGGTCTTATAATTAAGTCAATACCACCTCAGAACACAAAACAAAGAAAGTCACGATGCAGTGCACTCTGTCCTCTTTTCCACATAATTGAAGAATAACAGGAGAAATGCAGAAGCCTTGTGCAAATAAAAACAACTAAATGTTCTTTTAGAACTTCCAAAGCAGTTAAGAGCAGTCGATGCTGCTAATCAAATGCACTTCACTAACTTATCCATCAGCAAGAGTGAGCATGTCCAGTAGGGGAAAAAGGGCTATACTGTTTGCAGGTCTGGAGCATTCAAGTCTGTGTTAACACAATGCCAAAGAGGAAATACATCAGCAATGATCTTAGAGTAGCCATAATGAGGTCATTTTCAGACAATTTGTGGTCCATCCATCCATCCATTGTGAGAAATATCATTCACAAGTGGAGGGTCAGGCAATGCAGTGCCTCTTCTCTCAAAACAGACCTAAGTTTGCCACGCTACATCCCAGCAATCCACAAAGCTTCTCCAGTATGGTTCCTTGGACAGATGGGATATTTGGTTTATGAATCACAGCGCTATCTTTGGAGAAAAGCGGAAACAACACTAGTTCCATAAACTCTTGAATACTGTGGTTTGGGGTTTTTTAACACAGCTTCGGCATTTCGACTTGTTTATAATGTTTCAGTAATTTGTTGTTCATCTTTGGTTGTATTTACCTCACACTAACGCCCCAGAGAGGCCAGGTGATGTTTAAAGATGGAACACTTTCTTTTCCACGCGACTGTATGTTGGTATCATCCAACAGAGAGAAAGGCTGGCTTAGAGCACTTTGCCTCGGCGATTAAATAATAAATGGAAAAACACCGATTCACAGCCAATCACAGCGCTATCTCGCACAGCACAGGTGAGAACACATTTTTCCTTTTATTCCTCAAGCTCATAAGTGTTGCAGGGGACTGGTGGTGGATTTAAGCTTGTTTACATCTGGATAATAACGCTGAATGTTTGAGGTATGCGGGGTAATTTTTTAGGTAATCTATTTTTAGATGAGCCACCTGTGGTGCAATATCAAAACATGACTATCCGTCAAAGAGAAACATTCTCTCTCTGCCATTTATAAGGGGGATATTCATTTTTAATCTTTTGACCAGTCTTCTGTGCTGATTGAAACCGTTTCAGGCTGCTGCTGGTTCAGTTCAGGTGGAGGCTCTGTTGATCCGGGTGGCTCTCCTGGCTCTGAGTGACACCAGATTAAGTAGTCTTTCTAGCTCGTCCCCAGAACCTGCGAGACTACTAGAGCCAAGTCCTCTGTGATCCTCCTGTGATTCCCTCCATTCATCTGCCTGTACGTTCCAGGCCCTGAGAGGAGGCATTAATTGAGCTGGGTGCAGGTTGAGGCCCGGGGGGTTTGACGGATACCCCTCATAGGCACGTCGAGTCGGAGGAAGAGTGTCATAAATACCCTCTCTGTCTTCATTTTGCTGTGGATCGTGGCTGGGCTCACTGTATTCCTCATAAACAGGAGAGGAGCTGTCGTCACTGCTGTCATGGTCTCTGCGGTCCTGCGGTGGCCCCATGTCCCCGCGCCTCATGCCGGTGTTCTTTTCTTCCCTTTCACGCCTTCTCATTTCCTCTCTGTACACAGTGTGTTTTCTCTCCCACTCACCGGAATTATTCCTCTCCCACTGGTATGTCCGCCTCTTGCTCTCCCGACCATGCTCGTGGCCTCTGTCACCACTGTGGCCCGTCATTCTGTAGTCCAGCTGGAGCGAGCGCGTGCTGCCTCCGCGTCTAATGTTCTGCTGGACGTCATTGAGGTCGTAATGGGATCCTCCCTCTTGCGGATGCAAATGTGATGGCGACAGCCAACTTGAATTCTGACATGAAGTCTCCCACCTGTATGCTGAAAAGAAAAAAACTCTTAAGTTTGGAAGAGTTTTATTAGTAAATAATACTATCACACTGCAGTCCTAATTAAGCTAACATGCTAAGTGAAAATTTCAAGGTTGTATTTTATAGAAAAAGCTTGAAGCATGGCATTTGTTCTAGAATGGTTGTATTTGTTGGGATACATATTGCCTCTCCTCACCCGGTGGTGTGAGGAGGAATTAGATTATGTACTATATAGGACATCGTGGTCAAAGGTGCCCCATCAATATGTCAGCACTTTTAAAACAACTGTATCGTTCTAATCTCATCTGCGGTGGTTAGGGTGACGGGACTGCAGGGACTGACCGGAGGACTGGTCTGATCTTTTTCACAATTACTCACATCACTGCAGAAAAAGCATCGCTTCTAAGACACAGGATTTTTTTTTTAGTGGAACCACAAAGAGATTGCTGCCTCCCATACCTCTGTGTAGAATACATTTTGTTTGAGTTTTTGAGTTGAATTTATGTAAATTCCTCTCCGGCAGGACTTATCCCATCACAATCGAAAGAAAAATGTTGCTTTATACTTGAGTGGTGCTGTTTGTAAGTCTGTGTGCCTGATGTAGCAGCAGATTTACAAATGGCTTTGTTTCTCACTGCCTCACTAAGGGCCGTCTTACACTATTGTATTTCTAATGCATTGTCACTCTAAGCACTTATTATCATAAACAGAAAAACTTTCCAGCTTAGTTCATGCTGTTGAAGGACCATACATAGAACTCACCACCAAGTCCTCAACTTCCTACAATCTACAGCATGCAGGATGCATAATTCATGGTAAGGTTAATGAGCTGTGAGTGAAAAAAATATGATATTGATGAAGTGTGAGGGGACAGAGGGGTCAGTGTCCCTGTGGGATCAGAAGTTCACTTCATTAGTGTTGAGGAGAGAGCCAGCTCCTGGGGTACAATGCATGACACGTGCACACATAGGGAAATATTCACCTGCTACACCAGCAAACCAAAAAGCATTTCAGAGTTGTGAGCGCCGTATCATGCAGCTGAAATATCTGTGTTTCTGGGTGAAAATTATTTTCACATAAAGGTTGGGGGTAGGGGTTTTTTTCTTACAATCCACAATGTACTCTTTGATGAACTCCACACAAGTCTCATCCTTGCTCTGCAGGTGGTGACTGGCTGTCAGTGAAGTGCAAAACAAAGCAAACAATTTATGGGAAAGACTTATATGATCAAATTCTCCAAGCATCAATTGAATGTAGAAAAGCACGGTGAATTATGGCTGATAAAAACACAACTGATAACAATAAAGGTGGTCGGGTAGACGTCCATTTAGCTTGTGTGAATAAAAACACAGTCAAATAGGTAGGGAGAAAAACCAAAATAGAATAAAACATTTGGAGATGTAATGTACATTTTAAAATATCTGTTACATACACCGTGAAGTTCATAACTCCAGGCAGTCTTGTATCTCTCATCTGATGTCTATACCACATACCGTCAATGAAAAATGGGAAACTTTGAACATATTTTTCTCTTTTCTCATGTATTTTGCCACACCTCTGTCGTTACTTGCATTGCCGTCTATGTCTTCAGTTGAAATTCTGAGACTGATATGCATAGAACACAAATCTAAAAAATTCCTTTCCTTTCTTTATTCATTTTCTTGGCCCTCTTATTCCACCAGGAGTTACAGGGGGTGAGCAGTGAAGAACACCCTAGACAATTCACCAGTCCATCACGGGCCACAGAGGCGAACATGGCATGCAACGATGCTTGCTCACAGTCACTCCTAAGATCAATTTAGAGTTCTCAATAAACCTAACATGTTTGTCTTTGGAGAGCGGGAGGACCCGGAGAGAGCACATGCACACACAGTGAGACCAGGCAAACTCCACACAGAAATGCCCCACATTTCTTTCTGATGGATGATGGTGCTAACCACCGCAACATTGTGCTAGTTCTACAGCCTGCATATGTGGATTGGCAACTAAGCCCTTACTGTACTAAAATAATCTCATCAAGACCTGCTGTTAGTTCCTTGCTTCTTTTGCGGACTTCAGATAAAGAAAAACAAAAAAAACAGCTTAAATTCTTTAAGCTTTTTTAGCCACTTTTTAAAAAAAAGCCTAACTTTTTACAAAGCAACCAGGAATGCTTATGGGTATATATTTAAATGTAAATTGTAATCCTTCGTATTATGGTGTGTTTTACAAAGTGCTGTATAATTCAGTTTGTTATTCTTCAGTGCTTCAGCTGGCTGTCAGAAGCAAAAAGCCCAGCATTGCCCTGGGTAAGTGAAGAATTGCTCCACAGATCCAGAAAATTCCAGGGAAGTCAGAACAAACAGACTTGACAACTATTTTCCAATTAAGATTGATTGTAGGACTGCAGTACAATCAATAGACATGGACGTACTGATATTTCATTACAGGTATGAAAACCACTTCATGACTGTCAGACGAACTATGGATTTAGTTAGACAGGGAAATCAGTGATCAGACTGAAGCTGATGCCCTATTTAGTGTGAAAGAGAAAGTGTTTGAAGCTGCCTCTCTCTCTCTTGTTATGTACAGATGCGAGCCTTGGCTCAAAGTGCCCTTAAAATCCTCTGAGACCTTCTACAAGGCTGGGGTGAAAGCTTTGCTTTGCTTGCAGTGATAATTAATTATGAACCAGAATATAACATAAAATATGCTTGACCTCATGTTTTGATTTTACATGAAAACAACAAAACAAGAATGTTTTACACGGCAAATAAGGTGAAAGCACATTTTCAAATATATGGAAAGACTGGATAGCAAAAAGGGAAAAAACAAATAAAAGAAATTAGAATAAATGTCATAAAACTAGCTATTAATCTGCACTGTACATAAGAATCACAGTGCAAGTTTAAAAAGAATAGAAAGGACCATAACTATAGAATTAAAGCGAAACAGATAGCTTTTTAAAATGTGTTTTTCAGCTGCTTTGCATCTCACTCACCACGGCTGTTCCACCGCTGTTCTTTGTCCATGTTTGACACTTCAAAGGAAGCGAGAAAGCAAAAGTCAGAGGAAGGCTGAGACAAACAAAGCAGAAACCAAAGGGGGAAAACTGAAACAGAAAAATATTCGGTGTAAGAAACTGGCTAAAATATTTGAAATCTAAGCAGGATGTCTTTTTTCTTAATAAGAAAGGGGACAGAACAGCACAGCCTCGCCGGCATTCAGAACACTGTATCTTGTGATCCACCACAACACAAACGGTTTGGCATAAAAAAAGACACACCGAGGAAAGAAGAGCTAACATAAGATGCTCTTTCATACCTTCACTTTCAATATCATCAACAGCATCATTGACAAGACGTATAACTGTCACTATGGAAGCTGGGTAGAACACACAGAGACAAGAAGAAGAACAGAAGCAATGTCAGGCCATTTGTGAATGGGATAAGGTTTCATGTGTTAGGTGTGACTGTAATAACATAAAGAACATGCTGAAGAATGCGGGTGCACGTGTTGACAACAAAGAAGAGACAAGTTAGTCTTGCAAGCACGTTTTTACTCATGTGAGATGTTTGTGTGTGTTTGCCCTACAAGGGACTGGGAAAGACATGATGACTCGTTTCTATTCAGTTGCACTAATTAGGCAGGAAAAGTAGCATCAGCATGGATCCCCTGCATGAAAAAAACAACACCACGCACATGCAGAGACAAATGATCATGACAATGTTTGACTTCAACTCTACTGTGTTCTATTATATTTAACTATCTGGGGAAATGAAAAACAATATATTTTTTCCCCCAAAGAGGATTTGCATTACCCATAGATGCCTGAAGTAACTTATTTGCATGATAATTTTGATTTTTTCTGCATGATTTCCCAGGATATGTCGTATGATTGACTCAACAATGGTTTGCATGTGTTCTGTCTGTGAAATATAGTTTGTGTAAAATATAAGCTGAGGTAAATTAGCTAAAATGAATAATATGAATTAATTAATTTAAGTGAATGTTAACTTCCTAATCTAATTCTAAAAATAACTTTTTTCTTCTTTTTTATCAGATGGAGATACATAGTTGGAAATATTGCAAAAATCTCTACCAGGGACCTTTTCCCTAATGACCTTCCAATGGAAATTCAAATATTTTATTTCCTTCCAGTTGACAGGTCCCTTATGGCTAGCACTGCGGAAAAAATGCGTATTCTGACTAGAATGAAATTCTGAGGAGTGCAATGTCTTGTGAGTTGTGTGAGAATTAAACTCCTACCGTTGTCATCGAAAGACTCTGAGGTGTAGGAGCTGAGGGAGCGCTCCTCAGAGGTGGAGTCTGATAGATGGACCACTTCATCTGCCAGCCCTGGCACATCTAGTGTATCACCACAAACGACACACAAACGTATCAACGTATTCCACTTAAATGAAGTAAGATGAGCAAACGTCGAATCTCAAAATGACTTACTACCTTAAAGCAGCACAGGGGTTAAAATAAGGGGACAAACAGCACATGAACTGATGGTGGGAGGAAACCTTTGTTAGGCAGGGCATGGCAAAATTACAGCTGTTGAAATGATTCCAAATGAGACAATGGTCTACTTTCTATTCTAATGTCTGGACAGTAACATTTTTTAAATATTCTTCTCCTCATCTAGAACTGAACTGAAATATGCTCAACAAATCTTTTCTTCTTTTCCATACTGGGTGTGTTGCAAGGTGAGCAATAAAATTGAAATAACATTCACACCTGCAGACAATTTATGTAGCCGTAAAATCTGGATCTGGATGAAATTTGGTCCTGAGCTTAGCACTGTCGTACTTCTTTGGATTCCAAAAGATCCCCCACAAAAAAACTGTGCAGCTCCAGCTGTGCTTATACAAAGCCATCTTGCACAGCTGGGTTTATTATGCTGGGTTAAGACCAGACTTATTGTTCATCTGTAACCTGACTGAAAACAAACGAGTCACAGTAAGAAATAAAGAAGGAAAGAAAAGAGAAGAAAAATTGCTTGACACAGTTCACCTGGTGCAAACTGTGGTGGCAAATTGGCTTTGGAGCATTGTTGTGACTTCACTTTTAAAATCTGACATTCATTTAGGAGGACTCTGACAGCTTTTTGCTGGTCCCTTTAACCTGTAGGTTACAAAAGACACCATTTTAAAAAAAGATGTTTACATTCAGAGTGATGCCTGACATGACTTTTCTCTGTTGTTATTTGGAGGATTGTATCCTTTCAAATCATTTAGGTGCGTCTGACTGATTGCATGTCAGAAGAGTGTCAGATGGGCAGAGCAGGTATTTGGTTGTCAAAATGACTTGGCATGTTGCTGTCTGTTGAACCAAGAAAGAGAAAGGTACAATGCTCTCTCAGGTGCTCAAATCTAGCACCTTCACAATACTTGGTTTCACATTTGTGTTCAAGTAGTGAAAGAGATGGAAAAGCCTGGCAGAGTTGAAATAACGGATTCTAAAACAAATTGATGTCCAAAATAAATACAGATAAACAGGTCAAATTTCCGATGTTATAAAAAGATACTTTAACTTCTGCAAAAAAGTTTTGTATGTTGGAGGGAAGAACATAGACAATTAATTGTCAGTTCTATCGAGTTAGAGAGCAAACACAGATATAATTTTGTGAAAAAGGAGAAAAAGGTGAGCAGAAAGGTTTATGTTTCTGCTACTTGTAAAAATCCATATTCGTTTGCCAGCTAACAGCTTTGTTTAGTATTCTATTAGAACAGTTTTCCATTCTATAATGTTCAAAAGTGCATTAATTTTTCAGAGTTTTGTACTGTACCACCTGTTTTCACCGTCTGTCTGAAAGATTCTGTTTCCAAGGTCTCTCTCCCAGCAAGCCCACTCTTGATAATTGTGTATCTGATCATTTAGGCTTTAGGATGGTTTAACACACCATCCATCACATTGGCAAAATATCTACAAATGTAGTCTAGCCAAGTGCTATTCTCTTGCTTTTATCCGTAACAGTTTTTACCTAATTTTTCACCTATCAGATTTCAGAGGAAGCAGAAGAGCAACACGGATAGTTTCTTTTGATTTGGTGTCCATCCATTCTTTTATCGATCATTAAGATCCTTTATGTCCCCTATGGTGACTAAGAAGCATGTTTTGGATGGTAGGAGGAAGCCATAGTACCTGCAGAGTTACCACACATACTAAAGAAGTGCACATAAAGGCTCCAGTGGGGATACAAACCGGGAACCCTCTGATTCTATCCCTATGATCTAATATTATCCCTTGAGATCACAAGACATTGCTTTATCACATGACGATATTATTTTTCCTTGGATCTTCTTCTTTTCAGAATCGTTATTAAATAGCAATTGCCACTGATTTTTTTTATGCCTCTGTTCAGGGACTGGGATGGAAATCTGCTCTATTTGTTCTAAGGTTTCATGTATAATGCATAGTTAAAAAATGTCTGTTATCACAGAGTCTCAAACTAAAAACATCAATCGTAAATAACAACAGTACTTAACATATTATACCATTTTATAACTGAACAAACAAAAACTGGGCAAAATGCATAACCAAACCCACCCGTCCCTGTGAGTTATCATGGTGGCAGCAGTCTGGTGCTGCTCATCAACTGAGGCTGACTAGCAGATCACCAACTGTTTTAGCACTCTTCTGGGCTGGTGCATCTAACACAATGTCAAGATGGAAATACATCAGCATCTCAATGTAAGAGATATAAATGTTGCTGTGCGTTACTCTGGGATGGGCTATTCTGTCATTTCCAGACTACTTGGAATCAATCATTCTACAGACAGAAAGACTATTCCCAGATGTAGAAAAATTCAAGACAGCTGTCAGTCCTCCAAAGAGTGGTCCCTAGGAGGTTGATTACAAGGTCAGACAATGCAATACTCGAGAATCTAGAATGTAACAGTTTATGTCACTATAGTCAGATAAAGACTGAATAAGAGGTGGTACTGGGAGAAAGTCTTTTTCTCTCTAAATGATCAATACAATTCTTTGGATGGATAAACCCAATATTTAATTTTTTTATCACAAGGTTCAGCTCAATGTGTCGTGAAAAATAAAAATAAACATTTTGCTATTTGTTTTTGTATGAATTGGACTCAGTGCATGAAAAAATGTAATTGAATTGATCCGAACAGGGCAATATCAGAGGAAAAACAGAAACATGTTTTAAAAAAATCATGTCAATGATAGGTCAATCTAACTCATCTCAAGTTCACTTGCAAGTCAACAACAGAATTGATTAAGGGGTGAATTAGAAGAAATCAGTCAAAATTCAAACCTCCATTCTAGCTGTTCTTTTTTAAGAATATAAGATAATAATAGTAAACATCAATTGGTTGAAGCAATTCTGGAAAGAGAGGACAATACTGACAATGACATAAAGAAAACCATTACTTTACAAGTTATTGCTGCCAAAGTAATTAACATATTAACAATTTTTTTTCCCCCTTAAAAGTGTGCTAGTGAACAGCCCTTTTTTGTGCCATTTTCAATTCAATTTAGTCTTAGGTTTCAGACCCAGCTTCTAAATCCAGCCCCTAAAACTCACCCTGGTCATGTCTTCAAGACCCTAAACTTCATAAATCCCCTTCAATGTTGCAAAGCAAGTACATAATTACATAAAAATAAATTTACACTAAAAAAAATTACCCAACGTGTAATTCTAAAATAAATCTTGATAAACAAAATACCCTCATTCTATTATAATAAAATGTATGACTATGCTAAATTGTTATTATTGGTTGGCAAATGTTTGCTTGTTAGGTGCTTTTTTTCATTCAGACTTGTTAATAACATTTGAACTGAAAACACTTCTTTCTAATGCTAAGACAAACATCCAATCCTAAGCTTCAACAATTTTAACTCCAGTTCCTTCTCAGCAACTAATACATCCTTGCAAATTGCTCTCAGTAATCCATCCTGTAATTGCCACAGTAATAGTTGTGCCATTTGGGCTGACGTCTACTTAGAGGATTTTTCTCATCAGACATCCTGTACTTGGTAGCACATGTAACAAAAATGGAACAATATAGAAACTTAGATTTCATGAAAAGGTTTTCACAAAATCGAGTACCCATTTTGCTTTATTTATTTACAACAGATAAAATAGATAATAGATACAATATTATTTAGTATTTCATGTGTTGACTTGTGCCCTTTATGACAACATTCATTATTGTTCTTGTTGTGCATATCACATAAAGAAGTAACTATTAACGGTTTTCAATGGATTAGTGTAAGCGACAATTAAGATCTGGTTTCAGTACTGCAGAAATGTGGATATTAGTTTGCTATAAGCTTGGTCACATATTAATTAATAGACTGCTGTGTGATTGAACCCCAGGAGTATAGTTTTTTTTTCACGCGCACATTCAGCAGGGGACCAAACTAATAAAATAACCTATTTCCTATTCTCATAGGAGGAAAATCAATAATTAACGAGCAGGAAGTTCCTTCAGGAAACTGTTACTCAAACAACAGGTCAAACAAAAAAATCGAAATATCTGATGTCTACCTTCGTTAGGAAATGCGTCATGATGTTGTTGACAATGTTGGCAGCAAAACTGAAAATGAAACATTCACTTTGTAGACCTCTGTAGCTGACAGAATTATTATTCCCCCTCAAAATAGGTAGAAAACTTAACTTGAGTGCTCTCAACGAAAACTGTTGAATTAACTTTATGAGTAAGTAACAAATAAACACATATAAGATGTCAATTTAGTCTAATTCTTACAAATTCCATTCGTAACTATATTTTCTATATCTAACATTATACAACTGCCAATTTGTGCAGTTTAAATGAATTTTTTTGGGCCATTCATAGCTTCCAGGAAGTATATACAAAACTAAAATAAATTGATAGTAAAATAAAATGTGACTTTTTAAACACCCTTGCCTCCTCTAGGCGACATTCTTTGATGTGTGTGATCAAAAGGCATACATTACTATGAAAATTAGGCTCTCTCAGTGAAGGTAGCGGCATGTCACACAATACCAATGTACTCTTTGCCTTTCATGGAAACCATGTGCTTGTGTGTGTGTGCATTTGTGCGTGCACATGTCACGGTCTTACCCTCTGGACTGTTTTCCCTGTGGGTTCTCTCCAGCTCAAAAGCTCTCTGCCCCCATTCGTCCTCTCTCTCATCTCTAAGCCTCTCCAGCCTTTTCCCCCTCATTTCTTCACCCTCCCAGGACACTTTGTGGGCCGGACTGTGCTCTGAGTGACGGGCTGACATCGAGGGGAGATTAGGTGCCACGCTGCACACTGCAATGCCCCTCCTGTTGGCCACACCTCGGACAGTCGCTGTGTCTGAGAGAAAGCTGCTCATCTGTGAAGTCAGATTTTCAGAAAAAGATAAAGGATACGTTTGATATCAGCATATATGTTTTAAACTCAAGTACGAGACCTAAAGAGGCAGTAAATTAACAGCAACACTTTCCGTTATATTGTTGTAATCCCAATAATGATGTCGCAGTGTTAGTCTTATCAAAAACGTATTTTACATGAAGTATTGAGCTTCAGCGTTGCTCCTGGTGATGCTCTCCTTCATTCTCATGAATATATACGATCCCTAATTTCAGTCAGTGCTATCCACATAATTCCCCTGAAATTAATTCTTGTGGCAAATCTGACAATGAAATTAGTCCCTCAGCAAACTTTTTGAATAAACCACATGGTGTCAACGTCTATAAAGATATGTGGTTCCCTTTAAAATAAAATGTTAACATCATCATAATGGAATAATTTTTTCATCTAGAGCCATATTATATGTGAGCAGTAGCCTTGGACCATTTTCAAACTCCTGATGGCATAGGTTAAAAAAAGGACACTTTTGGTTAATGCTTTTTTAATTCATTTTCCGAGCATATTTCTGCATTGTACTGTCATTGTGACATTGTGCTTTAATAATGCCACCAGGTTGCACCAAATGTTTTTAATTGCACATCAGGATTATAGGACTCTATAATGGGGTTGTTATCTCTGACTTTCTGACTGTTTAAAGAATAGGAGTAGGATGTAATACTGAAATGAACTGCAAAAGTGGTGCATCAGTAAAAGTGTCATATTCTGTTAACATTAATATTGATGTGCTGTAAAACTGTTGTACCTTTGAATTTTTTAGGTTTTCAGTGTAACACATTAAATCATAACCTTGTTTTCTTCTCAAACAGTAAAATGACATGATGCAGTCCTTCTATTTGTGTACTATCTTTACAGATCATGTTAACTTCTGACTTAAAGATATAACATTTGAGTTTTCGATATCTGTCAGCCACAGCATGTCAATTTTCACTGATATAAAACAGATACGAAAAATCCTTCAATTCCAGCAAGCTTATATCACATCATGATCCAGGTGTCAAACCCAAAAAAATTCTAATCTCAAATTTACACCCATCCACACTTTTACACACCTGACTGCTTTCAGTGGAATTGGTCTTGTCACCATCTCCACCCCTCATGGCCTGATGTCCGAGTGCCCCCGGGAGGGTGGAGTGGGGATTTGGGCGCACCATGACCTGCGGAGGGCCCCCGCCGCTGCATACCGTCTCACCATAAGTGCCCGTGCTTACGGGTGAACCGGACACACGCACGGCTTTAAACTCAATTCCCTCTGCCCCCGTGCCAGTCTTGTGCATCTTGTAGTTGGTCTCTGTAGAAACAGCTGAGATGCCCATCACAGCCTGTATCCCCGGATCTGAGTCTTTCCTGAATTTGATTTTTTTCCTAAAAGCGATGAAGAGTATGAGGAGTAAAATGATGACGAAGGCAAGGACTCCAATGCCAATTATCTCTCCTGGTCCGACGTAAGACAGCGGCTCAGCCTGGGCAACATGAAAAGAGAAAACACAAAAACAAGGACTCAGCAGCTTCTTTTTTTAAAGTGTACGGAAGAAAACACCACCACTCCCTTGTGGAGGCAGAAAAAGTACAGGTTTCGGGTTTCTTGCGAGCATAGATCTTATGCTGTATCACCAAGATGTTGAGCAAACTCATCACCTTTTTTTCATGATTTAACTAAACTAGTGTCAAAAAGCTTTTTTTTCGAATCAAAATTTGTAATGTTCAGAGGGATTTATTTCAAGTTAGTCAAGCAGTCATGTGAGATCATTTGCATGCTAGGTGAAATGCACCAACAATCCAGCCATGCATTCATGTATTATTCTATAAATATACTTAAGAGGGTGGTAATTGTAGATTAATGCAATACATGAGAAAGAGACAACATTGTTGGAATGTAAAGTATCTTTTGCTCCATGTAGAAACTAACATTTTGAATGAGTAAATCTTTATTTGGTTATACTTCCAAAGTCATAAGTAGCCATAACTGCACATAAATACATTTATAGTCTTCCTGTATGATGGAAGAAATTAATGCAAAAGGAATCATCTGAAAAAAAAGTAGTAGTTTTAGCCATATGCACCTTCAAAAGAGCACACATATTTTGATGGCTGCAAAAGCACTTTATATTGAGTTACTTTATTGCTACTCAAAGGCCAATAGGGAATAATGAGGGCGACTTATGTCGAATGTGAATAGTTAATTAACTGACTTCTCAATATGCACTCCTTTTAGATAATAGGATGTTTTAGAAATCATACTGTATATGCTACACTGAAGCAGGTTTAAGTACGTTTTTTTTTGTATTAGTGTGAGAAAATCCTCCACAATGTGAAAGCAAGGTCAGAGCTGATATTGTTTGTATATGTAAAAAAAATCCATGCTGTTAAAAGAAGTGTCTTTATATCGGAGAGACAGGATGGTTTCAAAGCTCATATTTGGAAAAGTGTGAGGGGACAGCCCTGCAGTATTCTAAAATTCCAGAAACAAAGAGTTTTTTGTTGTTCTGACACATGCAATCTTTGCCAGTTTTGAACTTAAGCAATTCGAGTTGCAGTTAGACATGTTGTGAACAGGTTTGTCTGGTCAAATAAATCCTTAGAGAGCACTGGCCAAACAGAGGTCATTCTGCCCTGGAGTTCACAGTAGAGCCAGCTTTGATTATACTTAAAAACACTTGGGTAACTCCTACTTAAGAGCCTTTAGGTGACTGAATGAAGAATGAACTAATAGGCAACAGCTTACAATAGCATGTTTGGTGGAAATGACACCACGGTGGAGATGCTTTTCTGAGACAAAGGCTGAGACACACATCAGGTTAGATATTCTTCCGCTGGGTGTGGGAGAAAATAGAGCAATCCTAAATGACCTATTCTAAATCCTCAGCAATCCCCAGCTCTAGACTTGGAGGAAAGTTTCTGGGTAAGTTTTACAAAGATAATCAGCAAAATAATGTCACCAACAAAGCACAACATTGGTTTGGGGGAAACTCAGCAAAGGTCGGGAAGTCTGGATGTGAAGCATGGACCGCATCTCTGGAGAGATCTGAGAGTGGCTGTGCACTGACACTGCCCGGCTAATCTGTGTGAGCTTCAATGTTTCTGTCAAGATGAACGGGCAAAAATTCCAGTGGGATGTCTACAACAACAACTATGTGAAGAATAAGCTAGTGGAGGTGGGATGTTACAGCTTTTCCTTTCTATATATTTACTACATATATATATATATATATATAAATAATCAAATGAATGGCGATAACTGGGGAAAAAAAAGGGAAATGAATCCATTTTAATTTACAAGAAAATGTAGAGAACTTGAAAGAGTCTGAAAACTGCACTGTAAGGTATAAAGTGTAGTGCATAATAAAAGTCACAAGCATGACAACTTCAAATGGAAACTGTGATTTACCCTTTACCACACTCTCATTCATGAGTGTGGGGATGAGGACAGAGCGCCGCTGAATAAGCCTAACAGGAGGCAGGCTGCTCACTCAAAAGTCTCTGAAGCTTAACTGTGTATGCAAAGTCTAATTAGACGCATGCTGAATTATACTTGGGCATTTTTTCTAGTACAGTGATAATCCATTTTCATGTGCTGTCAATCCTTTACCTGTGTGTCATCACCAGGGGTCTGATCATCACAAAACTGACCGTCATATCCCTCCGAACAATTACAATAATATGACCCAAATATGTTGATGCATTCTCCTCCATTTCCACAATTGCCCTGGTCACACTCATTTACATCCTCGTCACATCTGTAGGGAGAGAGAAAAGTAAATCATTATTCATGATTTGTATCAGAGTGGAACAGAACAAAAAAGATAAAAGCATGACATGACTTAAAAAGAGAAGAAATAAATACCCTGAAGATCATCTTTTAAGAAGGTATTTTTGAATTCTTAATCAAGGGATTATCTTCATGAATTCCTTATTATCCCAGTTTATTAGCCTCTGATTTAAAGAAAATTTCCCAACTGAAAAGGAAAACCTCACCATAGACTCATAAACTTAACTAACTAAACAGAATATCACTAACAAACTCCATATGCATATGGGCTCAACTCAGATCAAACATGGTTTCCAGCTGTGATGGGTATACAAAATATATGATTTCTTCTTGGAATTAGTTTTCAATTGATGGAAATGGAAACATACTTAGAGTTGGTATGATGTAAAAAAAATATTTAAAAAAGTGTTTCTAAGTTTTTATTTAAATGATATGTGATAAAGGTTTAGGGAGGGAGTCTGTTAAGTTTACTCTTCAAGGCTTGGATGTGTAAAGCAGAGATATGCATCATTTTGATAGGAACTATTTTGTGTGCTAATTGGGAGAAAAACTAAAACTAAATTAGGTATCTCCACTGTGTCATATTTAGGTATAATTTAGATAATCTAGGAAATATTCACATTGTTTTTCATTTAACACACTTGTTCTTAATGATTTAAGAATCAATATTTACTTAGCTACTGGGAAAACCATTTCATAATCAATTAGACTCATCAGCTGTCTGCTCCTTTCAGAAACTAGATTTTTTTTCATTAATTACTCTTACAATGTTTAACCAATGCTGATTCTAACAAATCTTTTGAATGAAATGAACCATCTTAATTAGCATATTTTCTCTATTCAGCTAAACGTAATTCAATTCAACTTAATCAAATTAATGTTTGCATCTTTATCAAAAGCACAAAACAGACTGAGGAACGGCTCTATTGCTCTTTTGGGGGAAAACTGCTCCCTAGTGGTGGTCTGATGGAACAACAACACTAGCACAGAGGTTATTTCAAAGGCAATTACTGTGCTGTAATTAAGAAGGCAGCTAGAGAATGATTATAGGCCTTTCAACCAAGAATTATGCTGATTTTATTTAGAACCATCAATTTGTCCCACGCAGTAACAAGTCAAAAGATTACTGTGGGTACTGGAGTGCTAATATAGGCTAATGAATGGTTGCACATTTACTGATCTGCACATGGTGTTTATACGCTTAAATGAGAGAGAATGGATGCAGATGTTTGCGTGACTAATACAAACACAACCCTAACAGCGAGCATTTACACATTGTTTAAATAGGGCATACTAGCACATAGACATAGATTTTACAGATATTAATGCACACAAATGCTTGTGTGTATGTGTGTGTGTGTGTTCGTGTGTTGTGATTTCAGGCAATTTTATCTTACATAAGTCCCCCAATTCCTCTAGGACAGCTGCAGAGGAATGCACTGCCTACAGGCTTACAGTCCCCACCATTCTGGCATGGGTTAGGCATGCAGGATGTCAGTTCAATTTCACAGCGCCCCCCGGTGAATCCAGGGCTGCAACTGCACATGAAACCTGATGGGCAGATTTAAGTGTGGTCACTATAATTATTCTCAAAGTTGACTGTTAATCTAAAATATCAAATCATTTTTACAGAATTTGACTTTTAAATGCAACTGACTAAATACTTTGATATGAAGAAAAAAATGAGGGTTCATGGAACTACCACCACTGTCCTGAGATCTAATTAAAATAAAACATGCAAAAATTAACTCAAGTTATATAGAACTGTTTCACCAGTGTAAAAAAAACATGTTTACATAATTCAATAGTTCAGCAAGAGTAAGACTCATTAACAGTCATGGTCATATGCATATACACCAACCTCCAAAGGGCAGGCTGCTGCAGATGGCTCCGTTGAGGCAGGGCTGGCTGACGCATGGATCTGGATAAAGCACGCAGCCCAACTTGACATCGCTGAGACCAGCTATCTCAGCATAAGGGCTCCTCTTATTCTGGAGAGGCAGCTCATTACCATTCAGCATCAGTGAGCCCAGGCAACCTTGGAAACCATCCTGGGCTCTGGGAGGGCCCCTCACTACACGGTCTCCTGGTCCTGGCCCTACTTCACTCTTCCCTTGTCCGGGGCTGGGCCTTTCACCTTGTACATTCGGCGGCCTTACTTGAGCTCCAAAGAAAAAGGATGAATCGGGAGCCAGAGGCCAAAGGCGAACGGGGGCTCGGGCTGCTCTGCGGCGTTCCACGTAGCTGTCGTCCAATGAGAGGAGGCTGTAGTTCTTGGTCAGCTCCAAAGCAACTGTGTGCCAAAGGCCGTCGTTTATTGGTCTGTCAGAGATACCCATAATGCCAAGAGTGTTGTCACAGTTCAATTGGAACCAGAGTCGCCCTGCTTCAATCTGTGTAAAGAGTGCAAAAGGAGTGAAGCCTTTTAGAAAAGAAAAATCCAAAACAAAACTCTGTGCAAAGTGCAATACAAGCAAAGTCAACGTATAATTTACCTTGAGCATGGTGCAGGGGTTAACCCGTGTGAACATGATGACTCCCCTTCTCTGAAGTGTTCTAATCCTCAGGCTGAGCCTCATCTCTCCACTCTGGCCACTCTCTGTCACCCTGTATTTGATGTAACTGTTTCCCGAGAAGCTCAGAGAGGTTTGGCCTGGTCGTCCACAAAACGCAGAAAAAGAACGGAAATGTTTCAACATCAAGTCAATACAAGTATTCATACAGTATTCTCCTTCCCTCTGACTGACCTGCACACTGGTCCAGTCTCTCTGGCTGGCACTGGCAGACAGATGGCGCTGTAGGACCAGAACGGACACACTGCATGTCTGCTGGACAGGACTGACCTTCACAAAGCTCCATAGGGGTGGGGCATGTCCCTTCTGTTTTGGAAAATAATAGATACAAGATAATATGGATTTCAGAATAATATAATTTACAGTATCTGTGCAAACACATTTCGTCCCTATTTATTGTACACATAAAATGTTATCACTTTACCATCTGAACAGTACTACATATTTCTAAATATCATAAAACACAACACAAATAAGCTAAACAGAATTTAGTATGTCATTGCTCAGAGCCCTAAGTATAATACATATATATATATATATTTATTTTTTTAAATCAAAACTATTAATCCCTACAAGTCCCCATCAGACATAATGGAAACTGACAATGTGAGCAGGGTTTAGAGAGCTTGCGAGTGGAAACTGAGTGCAGTGCTCACCCGGGCAGATGCAGGTCTCTCTACGGCTGAAAGTTGGTGAAACTAAGCTGACTCTTTCTGTGCTGTACTTCACAGGTGAGTCCCCCTCCATCACCAGTACATTTTCACACACCCGCTCTCCGCAATCCAACTTCCCGGAGCAGGTGTTCCCCACCGCGGTGGCCCCGGCCAGAACGCCGCGGATCTGACCGCGTGCTGCGGCCTCCCTCAGCTTTGCAGACAGGTCCTGTGGGGAGTAGAACCCCTCCATCTTCCCACTACCTGACGTCTCGGGCATCTCCATGGCCAGAACCAAGTCCACGTTCTGCGTCTCCGGCACTGGCTGCACGCTGAGCAGGTGAAGGGGATCCTGTTGCCTTGGTGACCATTTCCAGCCTGTTATTTCCCTTAGGTTTAATTTGATCTGGTTAAGGTAGCGTCCAAGTATTTCCTCAGGGGATAGGGAGTTGAACCGTAAGGTCAGGGCGCTGCGCAGCAGCACATCAGTCACTTGTTCGACCTGGACTGACACGTCGGCGATCACAGCAAAACGGCCGTCACTCACTGTTGCATTCATCTGGTATCTGAGAGAAGGCAAAACAACCAGTTTTATAGCATAGTGTTTTGTTGTTTGTTTCAGTTATAATATCATGTTTCCATCACTGTTTGTGAGCTGAGTACCTCCCAGGTTCCAGGCCTGGCAGAGCTACTATGCTGCCATCTTGTCTGTTGATCTTAAACATACTCTGGGACTCAGGCTTCAGGATGAATGAGAGGACATCGCTGGGGTCGCGGTCAGTCGCATAGATCTGACTGATCAGACCGCCCGGAAATGTATCCGTTAACATGACAATGAAGATTTCCAAAGGGGAGACAGTTGGCTTGTACTGGCTGTTCCCAATCACTCTCAGAAAAACCCAAGAGGAGGAGGTGAGACTGGGCTTACCAGAGTCACTTGCCTGTGACATGAAAAAAAACAAAATGTGTGATATACACTAATTGTAAGCAAAGGAACAGATGATTAACAGAAAAAAGTTGTATAAAATCACTAATACTATTACTGTCCATAAGAGACATTCTGCTGATTTAAACCTATTCAGACACAATGTATTATACATATTTGTTTAAGTATTTAAAATTCACAACACATCTCAGTATATTAACTATTCACGGTTAGAGTTTCTGATTTGAATATGGTGTTGTAACTCCCCATGAGAGGCCGTGTCTAACCACACGCGGCATACCTGGATTTCAAGGCTGAACTCTCTTGGATCTTCAGGGCCAAACAAACGTTTCGATTTCAGAGTCCCAGTCTGGTCCAAAGTGAAATAATTTCCCTCATTTCCTGATTTAATGCGAAACACAAAGGGAGGGCCATGTCTTGGAGAGTCTTTATCACTAACTGACAGCTTCAGCAGGGTGGTGCCAGCAGCTTGGTTCAGCTGGAAGTATAGTCAGATAAGGATTTGAAATGACAGAGAAACAAAGAAATGACAACAGTGGCGAAACACACTCACAGACTCACCTGTAAGACGGCGGTGGAGTTGGGAGGACTAAAAACAGGAGGGTTGTCATTAATGTCAGAGATGTTGATGTTAACTGTAACAGTGGAGGACATGGCAGGGGAGCCACTGTCGAATGCCTGCACCGACAAAGTGTACTTGGATATCTAGACAGTGAAAAAAGACATTTTGGAACTGCATCAGTTTGTATCTGCTCACATTGTAAGTACTGTTAGAAATTCAAAGCGGGACATGACCTTCAAGCAAATTTCTCCTAATGTGTGTTTACAGATCAGAGAAATAAGTATTCATTTTCCCATGAGATGGTATTCTTAAAAAATCCTTCTTACTAGTTCTCTGTCAAGCCTCTTATTGACCTTAAGCAGTCCTGTTACAGGATCGATCCAGAAGTGATTGCTTCGATCACCTTTTAAAACGGAGTAAGTGATCCGACCATTCACTTGACTGTCCAGATCTTCCGCAAATACCTACACAAGACACACACTTACATGAGTAGAACTTTTTTTTTGTCAATAAAGGGAACAGAAACGTAAAGGTTTCCAACTCTCACCTTTGTAACTGTCTGCCCTATGGATGCGTCCTCGCCAATGAGTACATTGTAGATGTCTTGATCGAAAGCCGGAGCGTTGTCATTGACATCCATGAGCTCAATGATTACCATGGTAGCTGTGCTAAGGGGAGGATTCCCACTGTCCCATGCCTCTACAGTGATGTAATAATCCTTACACACCTCAAAGTCCAAGTCCTCAGCCACAGAAATTGAGCCTTAAAATACACATATCACAGAATACATTAAATTCTATTTACTTGGGTTGTGTTAATTATTTTTTCAATTAAACTGAAGTTACATCATTCGTGCTGGTCAAAGCTTAATACTTAATACTTAATACTTAATCCTAAATTGTTTAAAACAAACAAAGTACAATGGCTCACCCAGTTTTGTGTTTATGCTGAACTTTCCTAACTCGTTGCCTGACCGGATGCTGTAGCTGATCTCAGCATTAGGTCCAATGTCAGCACTTGTCGCTAACAAGCGTAGCACCTCAGTCCCCACAGTTACATCTTCGGGGACAGTTACTGCATATTCCCTCTTCTGGAACACTGGAGCATTGTCATTTACATCAAGAACCATGATAGTCACATCAACCTGGAGAAGTGAAGGCAGAAAGTTCATCTGTCAGTGGAGACGCCAAATAGAACTTGTTACAGTTCAGCATAGCTAACAACTGTCACCTTTAATTGGAGAAAAGAATGCCAAAGGTTCACAAAAAATAAATGAATACATAGAATTTTCTACTGAAAATATACTAAATAGAGTAAGGAAAGTTAGTCTAACAGTCTCAATGACAAGTTTTTGCAGCATGAAAGGACATAAGAAAGTCACACCTTTTAGATATGAGCCAAGACTGACGTTTTGTAGAAATGTCTGCCCTTTTTTCTGTCACCTTCTTCATCTTTCACATCCCAGCCACTCCACAGTTTGTTGATAATCTATCTTAATTAAAATCTACCTGGGTCTTTATCTCATCCCTTCAGTAAACACAGCATTTTTATTCATGCTCACTTTTTTTTTAGATCAATGCATGTGAAATGAGATACAGATTGCACATATTCATCACCACATTGTGTACTTACTACATCCTGCTGACATCACCACTAAAATTATTTAATTATATGATCTGATTTTTGGTTGCTTTGTTTATTAGCTAGCTATTCTGATTGCCATTTCAACGTAAGGGGAGTCAGTCACTCAACAGCCAGCATGGGAAAAACCCAGCAGCTTCTGACTGTTTTCATCCCTCGTGAGAAAAGCAGCAGGACTTGTGAACTTTAAAATAAAAAGATCTCCACTATCATCAATATTTCATAAGGCTCTGGAAAAAAACAAAATTTAACTTCTTCTTCTATAAAAAATCTACTGTAATACAGCAATGACCTCTTACATGTACCATTAAACTATTATGCTTAATTTAGTTTCAATTGAAAAAGTATTGTATGTGCCTCAGATATGTCTTATCTAGTCAATCTGCTGTAAAATGAGAACACATGAAATTGATTAAAAATAATAGTTTTGAACTGAAAATAGGTTCATACATTCTTTTACTTTGTTTACCCAGAGCCACACATTTATTCTGACTGATACATTTAATGCTCGGTTGCCATCACTACTGTGTTTGAAGATGCATTTCTAAGACTTTTCACCAACCTGTGAGGAAAGTGCCCCCTCTTGCCCAAGACGGTCAGTAGCCTGGACACGAAGACGGTATGAGTCACGGCTCTCTCTGTCCAGGGATTTCTCTAAGACTACTATTCCAGTTACTGGGTCGATGGAGAAAAACCCATTCAAAGAATCCACCAGGGAATAGACCAGTGTACGGTTCAAACCTGGAAAGGACAGATCTAGTCTGTGATACATATGTTACATACAATAGCTCCAGTCTTGGCTCATGAACTTGCTCAGACAGATCAGCCACTGGAACTGTGAACTGAATGATGAGTAAGTGTAGAGATAAACAGTCTGCAATGTGTTCCCTTGACTCCGATTTTACATTTCTAACATGCACAGGCGTAACAATCCTACCAGCTTACCTTCATCTGGGTCGCTGGCTTGCAGTCGGGTAAGTAATGCTTTGGGGGCAGCACTCTCATACACACTAACCAGGTAATGAGAGGAGGAAAACAAGGGGGCGTTGTCATTCACATCCCACAATTGTAGAGAAATGTCAGACCTGCAGAACAGCCCTCCCCCATCAGTTGCTTGGGAAATGAGTTTGTAGGCAGGTGTCATTTCTCTGTCCATCGCGGTGGCTGTTCGCAACTCACCTTAGGACAAAAGAAAAGGTGTCAGAAAAACACTTTAGTTATGTCCTCCTTTTCTCCTAAGAACAGAAAAAAAAGGAGAAACACACACACACACACATATATATATATATACATTATCCATTAACTTAGATAGAAGAGCAGATGTGTGTACCAGTGTTAGCATCCATATAGAAATCTTCCACACCAATGCCAAACAGTGAATATTGGATCTCTGCGCTAGAACCTGAGTCAGCATCTGTTGCACCCACTGTCAGAATGCCCTTGTTAGCAGGAATATCTTCAGGAAAAGAGGCACTATATACAGCCTGAGACAACACAAAGAAATACGAAATTTAACAAACACATAATGGCACCACACAAAAGAAAATAATACATGATCACACATCAGAATAGACAATTTGACTGCTGGGTGTTGGATGCATTATCTCTGCATAGAGGACAAGGTCAGCATGGTTAAGCACCCTTTCAACTCCTGCCAATAACTGCCTCTGGAAATGAACTAAGTGTCCACACAGTTTCATCTAGCACACATTCAGAGCATGGTTGGAATATTTCTGTACAATACAACACGCATATGCAGTGTGAAGTATCTCCCTGTGCTACTCTTACTCTGCTGCATGAGAGCTATCCGTGAATTATTGCAACAATTAGTTGATTAAGTGACCAGTTCATCAATAGATAATCAATCAGTAGTAATTTCTTATGATTAGTTAAGTCATTATTCATGCAACAGACCACCTACATTTATTGAAACGACCAGCCAACATCAGTGGTATGAAGTAAAGTATTATAAAGTAACAGAACTTAATTCTCTAATTTATCAATTTATTTGAATTTCTTTAATATAAGTACAAATCCAATCAACTCCAGTGTCTGACTTGAACAATCCCATTGTAATGTGACTTTGAATACATCTAAAATATTTGTAAAAATCAGAAGACGAGAGGAAAAATAATGTTTAAAAAATATACAAATAAAACAACTCTGAAAGCAGAATAATTCATCAAATGTTTAAACTTCCAGTACAGGCTTGGGTGCTCAAAGCAAGGATGGGTTGTTAAAAAAACAAGAAAAAAACAGAATCACTGATCATTTCAGAAGAAACTATTCTCAATGAAAAAAAAATTTTTTTTAAAGAGAAGAAAAGAAGTAGAACAAAAAGGAAATAAGAGTGCTCTTTCAACATTCTCTGGGCACATCACTGTGAAAAGATAAAGCAAGTCCTGGGCAAGCTCAGTCTGTAAAGTCCAAGACAAAAACCACTGACTCGGAGTGGCCTTGCATGAACAACTGTCACGCTAGTGTGATCAATACAGCCATATCGTGACGGGGCGTGGGGTTGCATCGGAGTCCATGTTATGGCTTTTTTGTTTATGAATAAGCGAGCCCTTGATGCAGAGGACTGTATTTGAATTTTTGGAGGGCTACATACTGACTGAGGCACCAGTTTTTTCTCTGGGGAGCCATGATTACTTCAGCCAGACTTCATTCCAGCATCATACACACAGATTGTACTTAACTGATCTATCTGCAGACCACATCTGTCCCCCTTTAAAACTGACTGTTGAGTAGCTTAAATCGTGAGTTGAGCAAAACTAGACAGTTAATACTAGCAAAATTACAATATTTGTAGAATGAGTTAATCCATTTGTAAAAGATTTAATCATGTAACTAAAAAGAAGGTTAATAGAAAAAAATATCAAAATAAGTTTACTCTCTAATATTTTCTTTTTATTCTCTTAATACATTCAAAATACTTTCCTACCCATAACTTTGTCTGTTTAATAAAATGTACGTTAATTAAAGATTTCAACTTTTGTTGCACTTTCTATTACATCTTTCTGTTCAAAAAACCCTGATTTTGTAACAACTCTTACAAGTGATATGCTCCAAAATGTCCAATAATGTACAAATAACACAACTATAGAACAATGTCTGACCACAAACGTCTTTGATGCTGCTACCATGCAATACCAGAGCAACCGGTTTCTAGTTACAGAGGCTTGAATTGCCCAAGAACAGAAAGAATATCAAAAGAGGGTGAGGAAGGATGGAGAAATTCAAAGAAAACTATTAAGGATTTTGAGGGAAAATGAAAGTTCCTCATCTAATTATATGAAACTGAAAAACTGCTGAATACTAATAAATTGAGGGATATACTCCCAGATGTTTTCTGTGCCCAGTTATATTTAAAATTTCTCCATGATTTAAATCTTCTGGAGCTAAATTAATGTTAAGATTTTAGAGTTTTTTTAGAGTCTTAAAGTTGGTAGGTACAAATTATTTTTAAAAAAGCGAAAACATCATTCTTCAATTTTTAGCTGTCTTGTATTTTCAGGAATCGGGTTACTTCATCACCCATGAAGTAGCCACCAAAAGTTAGATTAGACAGAGGTTCCAGCACATGTCCTGACTTATTATACATAGGTAATGTGCTTATTGTAATATACTTTCAGGTGGTTCTGTGATACACTGTGGAACAGAGAATCAATATTTCAGCTGAACAAACCCTGTCTCAACTATTGCAGCCCCAGACTTTGCTTTTCTCATTTTGTCATAAATATGTAAATGCATAAATTATCTAACACAGTTATATCCTGAACCAAGCCACCGTTGAAATTAGCCAAAAGGGAGTTCATTATTATGGAGACTGGATGTTAACAAATTTTCTGTCAATCAGAAAATTTGCATTTTTTTATGCTGTCTTTTGTTAACCAATGATTGTATGACATGATTGACAGTGTTGAGAATACTGCAGTGACGGAATAAATGGACCATAGTAGGATAATAAAGTCTACCTTGACCTTGTTAAACATAATTTGCGTTAAAACTGCTCGATGCAGTGAGAATTTATCATTACTGTAATATCAAAATGTGCAATATTAGAATTAGACATTGTCACTGAAACAGAATCAATAAAGGTGTAGTAACTATGGCTGCTATCCACTGGAAGGGACTGTACATGTTCTACAGCTATCTCGGATTAACAGATGCACAGACAGCAATTAACATCATCCACTGACGTGGTTGTTTGTATGTCATTACTCATATCATTATGATGATATCCAACAATATGATGATATATGTCATACTTTCACACCACTAGTTCACATTTGATAAGAGCTCCATGTATCCTGAATGATCAATAGATTACTTTTCTGGCATATTCCAAAGAGAAGCACCTATTCCACTGCCAAAGAAATGTTAAGTGCCATGTGGCTCAAAGACAATTTCAATTAATCCTACAATTAATTAAGTTGAAGAAAAGTTGTTTTTCTTTAAATCTCAACATTTTGCACTTCCCAATATTTCCCCCCCTCTGACCTGGTTGCATATGGGGCTGTTGTCGTTGGCATCCATGACGGTGACCTCCACAGCAGTGTGGGCGACGAAGAGGCCATCGCTGGCTGTGATATTCAGCAGATACCAGTCCTGCTGCTCACGGTCCAACTGGTCACTGACATACACCTTCCACTCCCCCTGCACAAGGGCCAGGCTAAACACACCCCGCTGATTTCCACCTGGAGACACACATCAATCTTTCATTCACGATATGAAGAGGAACCAACCTTCAACACCCAACCACCCCATGCATGAATGCAATGACGGAGTACCTTTTAGTGCAATCAGAAGCTATATCATCATAATTTAAGTGGAGCAACAGCCATGGTTCTTCCAAGTTTAAATCTTTGACCCTTTATGACCGACTCTTCCATTAGTCTAATGTGTTTAATAGCAGAGCAAAAGGCAAGTCTTTATCATATGCTGGCACTACAGCATAGTGCATTCATCATTCCTTATCAAGGTGAGAGCTTTATTTTATTACTCATGTACATATTTACTTTTATTTACTTTTTCTATAAGTTGCTTGATATGTAAAAAATATGTTTTACTCGCAATAGAACGTTAAAAAAATTCATCTTGACTATGATGGCAGCAACATCAGTGAAAAAAGTCGAGACTCGAGCATCAAAAGGCTGGTAAAATAAGTGTTTCCGAAAAGTAACAGCTGGGGCAGCATGTTGCATCTAATTAGGTTATTTAGCAACTGGCCAGTAAGATGACTGGGTAAATTAGAAGTGTCCTAAAAAGGTAGAATCTCTCTGGTAAATATGTGAAGAGCTGCAGAAATCTGCAGAAATCTAATAAGAAGACATCTCTGGGCAAAAGAGACACATCTTAAAATCCATATTGGATGCCTCGTTCTCTGGCTCTCAGACAGCACAGCATAAAAAAAGACATCATTCTGACATGGAAATCACTGCATGGACTCAGGAAAGCACCCAGAAATCAGCATCTATAGACAAATCCTGAAGCTCTATAATGTGCATGAAATGATGGAAGTCAATTTATGAACATTATTCTGATGCACTGTTGTGTTCTCCTGGGTTAAGGGTTGTTTATAATGGACTGGGCAAAAGTGAAATACAACAAATACAACAAAGATGACAAATCATTTGTGAGCAGGCACACAAATATATTTCAAGCTGTTTTGAAGTTAGGCTAATTACTACTCATGCAAAGCTGAATTCTGGACATGACATAAAAGACAGACATGGTCACAGTAACGTCATCCATTCCCGCCGTATGGATGTCTCACATTTAGTCATTTAGACATGACTACGTTAGTGTTACTTTTCTTATCTAGAAGAGACCAAATTTATGGAAGAAAGGGAAATTGCCGGGCTCTATCTAAAATCTTGCTAAGCTTAATTTAAAAACTACCACCAGTGAACTCATATGATGTCACCAGGATAAGATGGATAAAAGATGTATTTTTCCTGAACGAAGTTAACTCTTTTTTAAACCTTATGTCTTTCAGAGTCAATTCCCTTATTCTATGAGTGATATTGCCTTGTAAATAACTTCTGGATGAATCCATTAAACACAGTAAGTGTTGCAGTTTAAGAAGTGAGTGTGCAAACACAAAAACGTTGCTGTGGCTGCTAATGAGAAGCAGGACTTTGACAACAGAAGCAGAACTAAAAAAGAGTATCAGTCACTTTTCACTGACAGTTCTGTAAACTGATAGTAGCTCCCAGAAATAAAATAAGAGTTGCCTATGAAAATGTTCCTTGCTAAACAAAAACAAATCGCATTGAATGAGGGCAATTTTTGCCCGTTTGCTGAAACTACAAAAAAGATTTCAGTTTTGATTCGATCACCTGTGATATAAAAGCTAACAAGGCGGTTTTGATCGGTGCCATCTCCGTCTCTGGTCTTCAGGACAGCTACCACTTCACCGAGGGGATCGCTCTCTCTCACGGCACCTCTGTAGAACTCCCTCTCAAACCACGGGGGGTTGTCGTTCACATCTGACACAGTGATGGTGACCACTGCGGTGGAGGACAAGGGCAGGAACTCGGCCAGATCGGAGGCCACCACTTCGAAGCTGTAGCTGGAGCAGACCTCGTGGTCCATCTGACCCACTGTGGTGATCCAGCCGGTTTTACTGTCAATGGCAAATACAGAACTCGGGCTCAGAGGGTCAGCGAGGGGCGGAATGTCCCGAGTCAAGCCAAGACTGTAGGTGAGCAGAGGTCCAAGGCTGTAGGTCACCTGTGGTGAAAAGAGGAGGCAGCTTTACAAAGCATCTTCAACGCAGTGAGCTGAGAAACAGATGTATAGAATACAAAAACACTACTGACAGAAATTTGGCTTTCCCACCTGTCCATTAGAGCCCCAGTCTGGATCAAGTGCTCGCACTTGGATCACTCTAGTTCCCACTGGCATCCCCTCCATCACAGTAGCGATGTAAGTGTTAGTCTCAAATGTTGGCTTGTTGTCATTCACATCTAGAATCTAAAAAAAGGACAAGCTGTCTTTACTTTCAGGCCTAAAGTGCTTTAAGTGTGATCCATTTAATTGAAAATAAACATACACATGGTTTTTCTAATATTCGATGAGGTGAAATAAGAAACACCTTATCACATAAGCACATTTTCCTAAATTTGCATGTCTTTTTCATAAAGCCGATGTGGAAAAAAACATTTCATAGAGCGACAAACTCTTCAACGAAGATGTAATTACATTGATATATAGACTGATCAATGTGCAGAGTAAAACTGTGCTGGTGGTGATGGATGTGCTAATAGTGCTGATATCAGCCCTACATCTTAAAGCAATATATCAAAATGTGTATTTATCAGAAAACCACAGCCCTTTAAAGCACTTTTTAAAATGACACTGGTTTGCAGTGTTAAAGAGAGGCAGAAGCACCTGTCATCCCCATTACATATATCCCTGCAATAGTGAGCATATGATTTATTTTTGTAGACCCTTGTGACACTTATTTTCAATTTCTGGGTGGTTTAGTCCTACCCAATTTACATTTTTTCTTTACCACATTTGAAACGAAACACCGTCACAGTCCTTGCGTTGTATTGAGGCACCGACCTTAACTTCAAGGTCCACAGTGGAGACGGACTCGATCAGGTCTTTTCTTGTTGTTGCTGCCACTTTAAAGCGGTAAATATTGACCTCTTCGTAGTCCAGGGGCTTGAGTAGACGGATGAGACCGGTCTCCGTGTCCACCTGGAAGGTTTCGCCCTGGTTGCTGTCGGGCATCTCTCCTCCGACAGCAGTAAACAGCCCTTTTTGCCCAGGGCCCAGGTAGACTGACCCCAGCGCCGTCCCTACTGCTGTGTCCTCAGGGATGGTGAAGGAGTACTGAGGCTGGCTGAAGGAAGGGACCAGCGCATCCGGGGGGACGACGTGGATGAAGGCGGACACCAGGGAGTGCTTGGGAGGAGAGCCACAGTCTGTGGCCTTCACAAAGAAGGACAGCACAGTTCCCTGAAGGTGATCCACTACACTTTTCGTCATCATCCAACCACTGTCTGGCTCCACCTGCCCAGGAGCAAACAAGAACTTAAATCAGGTTTTGAGATGGTGACTCATGTGAATTCAATGTGTTTCTAGGGGATGAGAATAATCTTAAAATTCAGCAATTAAGTATTTTGCTCCATTTACAGGAAATGTTCTATATTTGTTCCTTACTTGGTCATCACTGTATTTCAGAAGTGACTGTCAGATTAACACAGTAAAATATTTAAATCAGACAAACAGGAATTTGTAATCATCGGTAAATAGATGGCCGTCAAACCCTAAGGGGGTGGTGTCAGGTGGTAAAATCCCCTCATTGAAAGTAATTTTGTACACATTTCCAATTTACATGTATTTGCTGAGATACATATTTAGTTTTATTGATGTTATTTTGTGTATTTTGTGGGAGGATTAAATCAAAGGCAATATTCAGTGTAATCCACTGACCTCCAAAACATCGACCAAGGAGAGCCGGGCCTCACTGTAAAGGGAGTAGGTTATCCTTCCATTAGAGCCGGCATCAGGGTCAGTGGCCTGAATCTGTGTGACCAGAGAACCTTTAGCAACGTTGGCTTTAATGCTCAGGCGGTATTCCACTGCCCTGAACTGAGGGGCGTTGTCATTTTCATCTGCCAGGACCACTCGCACCGTACAAAAGGACGCCCGGCCTGCAAGAAAAACTAACCTTTAATACTAACCTTTAATACACGTGACACTACAAGTCCAGCAAAGGCCAATACTTGTGCATCCGCGTTAACAATAGGATTTCTCCTTTAATCAGATTATCTGAAGACATTTTTATATGGTTAGATGAATAAATACCTCCACCATCCAAGGCCATGACCGTCAGTACCATGTCCTTAAAAAGTGGATTTTCTCTGTCTAATCTCTCAACAGTAGAAATGACACCATCTGCATCAATGGTGAATTGAGTTTTGCCAAGGTCATTTATAAAGGAGTAGGTGATCTGCCCATTCAGCCCCGAGTCCTCATCTGTAGCACGAACCTGCAAGCCCATTTGGAAATTTGATCAACATCTCTAACATGCTATTATTTGTGCATTAGTCACTTCAAAATGACTGATTGAGTCTGAATATAGGAATAAATTCAACGGAAACAAAATCACCTGAATGACATTAGTACCAGGAGGAGAATTTTCCTGGACCTCAGCCAGGTAGAACCTCTGGCTGAACACTGGACTGTACAGATTAGCTCCCTGCACGCGTACAATAACCTGTGAATTACAGTCTCAGTTACTCCATCATCACCCTCACAGCCACTGTCTGCCGACGTATTTTTGATGCCAACAGAATGAGTGTCCGCTGGATGATTTGTCAAACATGATCACATCAACATATAAGAGTCAATCTGTTAAGCCACTGGCAAACTATGTGATTCACAGACATCTACAGACACTGATGCCTCTCAGAAACTACTGTGTGTCAACATACTGTCTTTAAATCATGTGAGAATGTAGGACAAGTGAATAAAATGACATCCCATTTGCAATTATTACTCAAAGATAGATGTGAGCACATTATGGTAAATCTGAATAGGAATGATATTAGTCTCCAACATACAACTGTAGTTCTGCACAGCTGAGGCAGATGTAACCATTCAAATGTGAGGGGTTGCTAACAGTCCCCTAAGCTTTCGATACAAGATTTTAAAAAACAGCAACACTGTTGACAGGACAAGATTGTAAGTGCCAATGAGCAGCGTCACCTGTGCGGTGTTGGTGAAGACTCCATCTGACACAGACACATTGAGCCGATACAAGGATTTCATGCCTTGTCTCCTTTTGTTTGACAGACGGAGAACCCCTGTATCTGGCTCCATCATAAAGGTTGTTTTCTCATTCCCCGAGAGAATGCTGTACCTGGTTGGGAGGGGGAATACAGTTCAAACATTTGCTTCATGCTGAACAAAAACCAAATTTAAATAAAAACTGACAATGATGATCGCGCAATCCAGACTAAAACTCTAACTTTTTGAGACACACAGCTTACCTCAACCTTTGAGAGTCACAAATATCAGCATCTGATGCCTGGATACAAGTTACAAAATGTCCCCTCGGAGCCAGCTCGCTGACAAAAGCCTCGTAAAGTGCTTGGCTGAAATTGGGCGGATTGTCGTTTGTGTCGGTCACAGTCACAGTGACACTTACATCACTGCTAAGAGCAGGCTCTCCACTGTCTGTTGCTCTTACAATGAAATTGTAGCGCTGCATATACTCATAGTCAAGCATCCGTGATGTAAATACCAATCCGCTGTTGCTGTCAATTTGGAAGTAGTCAGAGCTATTGTAGATGTCAGATAGGATCTGGTATGTCACCACTGCATTCTTTTCTGAGTCTTGGTCCTGGGCAAAGATCTATGGGGAGAGGAACAGTACAATTTTCAATGCTCAAGATCTGATTTGTTTAGGCATTTAAACAGTATGCATACAACATATTATGGTGCAAGCACTTTCCATTCCAAAAAAATGAACAATGTCTGCTTCTGAAAAGAAATATCTACCCATCCCTGCAATATTGTTTCTGAGTGAGTTCCAAGTTTTATAGACATGGGCTGCAGATCTTTGGAAAATAATGAAACTCGATAGCTGTGAGCTTATTTGGCTCAAGACAAAATATATATATATATATATTTATATATTTCACTCACAGGGGTGTGGCAATCTTTATGTAGCCTTTTGGTCTTCCTTCAAAATGAAAATAATCAATTGTCCTACACTGTAGAATGCAATTTGCTAAACACACTGCACAAAGTATTTTTAGGCAGTGCAAGATTGCTAGTAAACAAGCTTTGCCTCCTTGTCACTTTTATTGTTTTATTCAACGTGGCCATATAATGAAAACCATTTTCCAAAAATGCAGTTTTCATAACTTTTTGTCAACACAATTAGTGAGAAAGCGGAACGACGAGGGAAACAGCTTTCCTCCTGTGCTTTATGTGCATCAGCTCCACTATTAGATTGCTTTTGTTCTAAAGTTGGCAGGTGGCTACGTCCAGTCAGCTCTGTGTGCAACAGATCTCCCGCTTCTCTGAATTGTTAGTGGCTTGGAAACAGCGACGGTGGGGTTTGATTTATGGGTGGAGGCAAAAGATGAGCAATCTTTAAAGATTCCGGAAGTATCTTGTAGTTTGCAAGATCTTTACTAAAGTTTTAACTATTGCCAGTGATGTGATTACAGCTCAGCTGAATGGGACCCATTTTACATGCTGTAACACACAGAGCCTGTCCTATTTATATGCACCGATCCCTTTGCACAGTGAAACAGCTGACAGTTTCAGTACACCAGAATAAAAAATTACCTCGACATGAAATCTGCCTCAGGGAGGTTATTGAATCTTCTTTTTTTATTAGGTCATGATGCCCAGAGAAAGAATTAGCAGTGGAGTTTTTAGATAGATATACATTTTGTTTGTATTTGATAAGAATGATGGACAATATATGCTGCATCTTCAACCTACACCTTTTTTGGACTATCTATCTCGTATTTATGAGCCAGTAGGTATGTTTATTTGAATGTTTTTTCTGTACTTTGAATAGAACAATCTGAATAATCCTTCAAAGAACAGACTGGATAGGTAATGCATCTGCTGTAATGAATTATAATAGATCATAGGATTAGAAGCAAGTTTTCTTGTGAAACAAAATGAAAGCCTGCTGTATAAACCATACTATACGCACAATGGATTTTTCTGATAACAGACAAAAAATAACACTGGAGAGATGCATAACTGCAGAAATATAAAGCTTTAGTTCTAAAAAAAATGCATTCAATCGTTTAACAAACCTTCTGAAATGCAAACAAATAACTAAAGTACCTTTTTGACGCAGATGCACCCACCTGTAGCACCGATGTTCCGGTCATGGCGTTCTCAGACAGGACCGCCGAGTAGGAGGTGTTTTGAAACACTGGTGAGTTATCATTCACGTCCAGAACAACAATGTCCACATCGACCTCTGACTTGGCCCCGGTCAGTGTATCAGTGGCCTTCACTGTTAACCGGTAGTATTGAGTGGTCTCATAGTCTAATGGATAAATTACACTGATGACTCCGGTGTCAAATCCAATGTCAAACTGCAGGGAAGGGTCTCCATCTGTGATGGTGAATATGACATCCTGGCCTTCAGGACTGCTGGCATTGATGCACAGAACAGAGTTGGAGACAGCCACATCTTCTTTGACAGTGACACCGTAAAAGGGCTTGTCAAATACCGGCATGGCCTTGTTTACAACTGTTACAGGCACCTCAACCTCACTGGACAGACGGGGGGTGCCTCCATCGGTGGCTACAAGAGTCACTTTGTATTCTGCGTTGGATAAATCTGCTTCAAAAGCTTTCTTTAAGATTAGTTCTCCTGTCAAAGGATTCACCTGCACAGAATTCAAAATCAGATTTAAAAAAAATAAAAAACACACCCATACAATTGCAAGACAACTAGATTAAAAGCTATCACCTCAAAGTTCCTGTGTTGCGTTTTGAGGCTGTAAGTCACTTCTCCATTTGAACCATAGTCCTGGTCAACAGCAGAGACACTGAAAATGGCTGATCCTGGCTCCGCCTCCACCTGCGCCGCAGCGTAATACGGGAGGTTCACAAACTCTGGTGCATTGTCGTTCATATCATCCACCTGGAAGAAGGTTGATATTTAAAAAGATTACAGACTTTCAGGGGACAGGGAGTGTTTTGTTAAATCTAAATATTCATGTTGCCTGTACTGAAATACAGTACAAGCATATTAGCAGAAGCCCTCACAAAACTAAAAAATATAACAAACAAGATTAAATTGGTTGAGATAAACAAACATAAAAAATATGTGCTTTTTTGGGGGGTTATATTTTTCGCACAGTTCACAGAATTCAATTGATTTGAAATGTTCAAAGCAAACCGACTGTCTTTTTTACAGAGTTGTTATGGTACATAAACAAGTTTAAAGAAACTTTAGATTCCTGATCAAATCTTTATGTTAGATTATACTAACATACAAAACTGCAGATAAGGGAATAAAGAAAAGCAAACAAATAAACAGCCAACTGACTAAACAGATGAGACATTTCAAATTAAATGAAAGTCTGACTGTGGGTCTAAGGGGAATATACTTCTGGCTTTAAAAAAACAAGATAATCAAGGTGAAATAAATTTGGGAGAACGATGCTCTTGTTTGGGCTTGTGCTCTGAAACTCAAGCTTTCTTTCCAGCAGTGAAACTGTTCTCCAGCAACCCAAATTCACCTCCTGCCAAGCTGTGGCAAGTTCAGCTTGAACCAACTTAACAGGAACAGAGGTTTTGATCAATACTTAGATTTCAAGGGAGCTGATGAACAACAAGGAATACAAACAGGAATTATTTTATTCTAAGATCAATATAATACCCTAACCGACTGAAGAGGCACTCTAAATGCCAAAAACAATTTGCCATCAGTATTGAACTTAAGTCCTGTTTTGGACTGAGTCACTTATCCCACCATCTCACCCATTATAGCTGACTTTGCACAAACTCCAATTTCCACCTAAATTGGGACATTGCATAAAATGAAAAACAGAGCAAATAATTCTTAAATTTTGGTACAGTACAATGACATGATGTTTAATGTTTGAAATTAACCCTAAAACCTTATTGTTTTGTTTTTCAAATTCATTCATTGTGATTTTGATTAATTCAATATGTCCTCAAACAGCTGGGACAGGTACAACAATAGACAGGAAGAAGTGGATTAGAGTTAAAAAATCTTTTCAGAACATTTTACAAGTGAACATTCATTTTATGAGCGGGTATAAAAAGAGTATGCCATTACCTCCAGTGATTCATCACCTTGGAATGAGCAAGGTTTATCACTTTGTGAACCACAACATGAACAAAGAGCCCTGCAGTTTAACAACGTTTCCTAGTGCTATTTATGTATTTAGGGTTTTCATCTTCTACTGTCCGTAATAAAAATCGAAAATTAGAAAGAATCAGGATTTATTTTCAGAATGTAAGCTGCAAAGCCTTAAAACAACACTGAAAGCCCATCCCTTCAAAAAGTGACCTCAATCTGTAAAGGATATCAGCACATGAACTTCACAGAACCATTTTCACTTAACACAATTTAAACTCCACGATGCACAGCAAAATCCAAATATCCTCTGAGATGGACCGATTCATGGGAAAGTGTCCTAAAATAGATTTCAGAACTCATGGACATTGTGTCCAAAGGGCCATGAAAAGGACCATGCAGATTGGCATAAACACAACGTTTCTGTGACAGTATGGGGCTGTGTGGGTGCCCCACACATCTGAGAAGGCACTGATGCTGAAAGGTACACACAGACTTCGACACAACATATGCTTTCAAAGAAGTCTCTTTTTTTGGGATAGCTTTTTTTTTTCAGCAACAGAGTGTAAAGCCACATCCAGTATGGCTGCAGTCAATACCTGGCTCCTGTTTAAATGTGTGGCTCTGTATGAAGCAAAAAATACTGTCAAGCAGTTCAAGCCATACATCAGAAAGAAATTCCACCTCCAGAGGTGCAAGACCGCAGTAAACAAGTCCCTGTTTAAGATCATTTTGGAACCTGTTGCAGGTGCGAAATTCAAATTAAGTGATCATTTGCAACAAAAAAAACAAACAAACAATAAAGTTGATCAGTTCAAACGATCAATATCACAGTTTTGTTGTGTTTTAAATTGAACATATTTCAGAAAAGATTTGTAAATCTATTAATCAATTTTGATGTAATTGTATCAATTACCCAACCTCATTGGAAATGGAGTTTGTATTATGTTGGAAATGTATGATGAAATAATTACACATTTCAAGGTATTTTTGCCCAACAGCTGCAACAAAATAGGCTATTCAATACATTCCACAAATTCAACTCTAACAATGACACACTAGTATGCAATTAACACCAGACTGACCTGTACTTGCACAGTCACCCTGGCCACTCTCAAGATCTCATCCTCTCTGGTGACTTCTACCACCAGCTCGTAACTCCCCTTTTCCTCACGGTCGAAAGGCACACCGGTGGTGAGCAGCACTCCACAGGTGGGTCGGATGGTGAAGCGCCCTCCCGGGTTCAGCAGAGAGTACCTGAGTGGCTCATTAAGGCGGTGGCCAACTGTGTTGACAACAGTTACTACAGTGACATTGGGTATGTTCTCTTGGATGGAGGCGGTGTACACCGGGAGGGTGAAGAGAAGACCACTCTCAATAGCTTCTCTCACAAGCACTGTGACTGATGATATGCTGAAAAAACGTCCATCCCATACCTGAAAGAAACAAAACATAATTTTTTCATGGCATGATGTGCGATAAATGTTTAGGATATTCAGGATAGTCAGATATGAATAAAAAGTAGTTATATTGTAGAGATACAGAGTATTTATCAAACGCTGCATATACAGGATTCTTGGGATTTTCTGTAGCAGTAAAGCACTTTGAATTGCCTTGTGTATAAATTGTTCTTTACAAATAAGAATCACTTCTGAGCGTAGTGTGCCACTGACCAGGTCTTCTGGCCTTCTGCAGAGCCCATCCCAGACTATCTGAGATACTGAGCGTGCAAACAAAATTTCAGTTTTTTCACCCCCACAGATTGTCCATTCCTTACCTTGACATTAAAGCGGTAACGGGCTTTACTGAGGTTCTGATTGATTACTGTCACAAGTCCTGTGTAGCGTTCCACTGAAAAGTGTTCCATATTTCTGTCAACAAGAGAGTAGGCCAGTAGGGGTGTGACAGACTTGTCAGAATCAGCAGTAATATCAGGGTCTAAAGCCTCAATCCTGAGGATTTCCACGCCCACGTAGGTAGGCAGCAGGAGGACCGTCTCATAAATGTCCTGGGAGAACTTTGGGGGTGAGTCATTGATGTTGATAACCTAAGACAGGGTGTACGAAAGGAGACCTCTGAAATAACATACTGATAAAACTGATAAAAAATGGATGGTGGCTGGTGAGAGCTGACTAATTAACTTGCCTTTAAAACAACCTCTGCTGGGCCGTCAGCGCTCATAGGAGGCAAACCACTGTCTCGAACGTGAACCCGAAAGACGAACTCTGAGAAGGTTTCATAGTCCAGAACCGCAATAGTTCTGAAATTTCATAACCATGTGAACAAACTCCCATAAACACATGGATTAGATCAAACACCTTTCAAATGATTTGATTTCTACAAAGTACTCAAACCCACCTAATAGACCCAGTCCCAGAGTCCACACTGAAAAACATACGAGCGGTCTCATCTATTATCTGGAACACTAACAGGGCATTATGATTGCGGTCATTATCAACAGCCCGTATAACCAAAGGGTTACCGTCCTCCCCCATGACCACGCTGTTGACGGGAGCAGCCTCACTGACTCTGCCCACATACCTGTTAACACGAGAATAGGAAAAAGCTGAACAAACTAATACCAACCCCGAAAGTCAGACATCAACAACCCCAGGAAGACAACAAGCAGCATTTCAGTGGTAAAGCTCTACTTATCTTTGAGTCAACACTGATACCTGATCTGTTGGAATTGAGGTGGGTTATCATTCACATCCCCTACTTGGACAATGACAGTGGTGCTGGCCTCCACCCCGGCCATGCTCAGAGCACGCACCGTCAAGAAGTAGGAAGTTGTTTGCTGTCAGGGAAAAACAACAAACTCTAATTAACTTTCAAACTGCATCAATTCCCAAGAGGACGCAAAGAATTTCCTGGTACTCGTGTGCTGGGTTCCTGCCAACATTATGTCAAACTTTACTTACTTAGTACTTTGGGGGAAACTTCAGTCAGAATCAAAGAATGTGAATGACAATTTGTGGCTTCTGTATTATTACAAATGAAATTTGGAACACTGGGATCTCAAGTTTTAAGGCGGCAGTAGAAGGACATCATTTACTTTTAGGAACCGTATCAACTGTATGTCTTCTCTCTGCTGTGTGCCATGTTGTTCCATGACTTTTCTGTTTCATATCAAACTTTAATTCTTACATTTCAGTTTTAGGATACATTTCAACATTAGTACCAACACATTAGGAAATTGACACTGATATTGAAAAATGGGAAATTCTTGAAGACCAATACTTCTTCCTATTAAAATGTAATTAGGTTTGACAAGAGTTTTTTTTGTTTTGTTCTTTCGCTTTTTAAATAATTTACAAAATCTCATAGAGGAAACCCTCTAACTTCTTGGAGATGTGATATCCAAAGATTTCTTTTTCACTTGCCCTCATTTATTTTTTAAAAAGTCAGACTCACAGCAAAGCTAATGATGGCTATTTGTCAAGGGACACAACAGTTACAAAGTGTCAAGCCACAGTTTTCACCAACAGAGAAGCTGTTTATTTATGTTCTCTTTTTGCAAGTGCTCATCAAGGGCAAATAATGTTTTAGAAGACTGCAATTCGTTCAGAAACAATCTGCTGAGACATTCAAAGGATCCGCCTTGGTAACTTTAGCAGATGTTCTAAATGAACAAACTGACAACAATTAAGCAAAGACTTCTACAAACCTCAAAATCTAGCATTTTTTGAGTAGTGATTACACCAGTGTAATGGTTAATAAAGAAGCGGCGCTCCTCATTGCCTCTGGTGATGTCATAAACAAGTGGGGAGCGACTGAAGGCAGTAACAGTGATGACATGTGTTCCAATCCTGTTGTTCTCCATTATCTGAAAAAGTAATTGCATAATTAGTAACCACACTTTAGACATTTTGACGAGTGGTGTTAATATTGTCATTCAGACCTCCTGCAAATCAGTCAAGATGTTTACATCCATCTTTGCCGAACAAATTCTTATTGCAATGATCCCTCTCTTCCCCAGCCCCTCTCCCATCAATCTATTGTTTAATTCAGCCCACTCTGTCTTTACCTCAGCCTGATATTCCTTCTGAGAGAATTTGGGTTTGGAGATGTCAGAGAGTATTAAGGAAATGCGAACTGAAGCTGTGGCCATTAACTGAGGAAATCCGCTGTCTGTGGCACGCACAGTGAGGGTGTAAAAGCCCACAGAGCTGAAGTCCAGGTTCTTTGCAATGAAGATAAGGCCTGTGGTATTATCAATGGCAAACACCCCCCCTGTGTTACCTGTGTATGGGAGCAAAGTTGTAGTTATCTATGGAAATACAAATCAACATTCAATGAGCACAGTTGATCAAACTAAATGTGAACATCAACACTTTCTAAAATGAATAAGATAATAAAAATCAATAAAAAATGGAAAGACATTTCCTTGTAAATCAAATCTTACCTGCGTCAATGTTATATATGAGTTGACCATTAATCCCATTATCTTTGTCCAGGGCTGTCACCTGCAACACAGACGTGCCGACAGGAAAAGTCTCATAGGCCACAGCATCGTACACTGTGCTGGTGAAGTAGGGAATGTTATCGTTGATGTCCTCAACTGCCACCAGAATACGAGCCAAGTCCCGGTTAAATGGAAACTCCTGATCCTTAACCTGGAGCAGTTGAAATGACAAATGAGCTATGGGAAATTATCATTTAACTAATTAAACTAAAAATGGGAAGACACAGTTGTCAAAAGGGGCATCAGAAGGGGCTTGACATTGGGTCACTTACACCAACAGACTCGTTGGAGTAACAGCCAAAGAAAAAAAAATGTTTCTTCCATCTCACCATAATCGTGAGGATGTGCTGAGTTCTGGCCTCATAGTCCAGGCTGTCCGCAACGTAAACAACTCCTGTTCCAGGATTGACATTGAACAGTCTCATACTGGCTGGGTCCACACTGCCGTAAATGGAGAAGCTTAAACGGGCACGCTCATCCTTATCTGACGCTTTGACCCGCAGAATCTCCATGTCGGCTGGAACATCCTCTGAGACACTGATGTCATAGGCTGGCTGTGAGAAGACTGGTGGGTTGTCATTGCTATCTTGGACGCGGATGAAAACCTGAGTGACAGGGACAGGGATGGGGAAACTGCCAAGTCACCAAGGTAAGTACAAATTGGAATTAGGTGTCTGTATATTGTCTGTAGATATACAGAATTGCCTTTGTTAATAAGACTGGGTGTAGTTGTTGGGTAGCTCACGCCATGTGTTGCTTAATACATGCAGGTGGAAACACTTCTGATATATTATTCAATTTAAATTAATTTAATTTCTTTGGTATATTGACTCCCGTGTGAAAACTTTGAGTGGGAAGAGAAAATAATAGAGAGTAGCTAGAGTAACTTGGAGAATTTAAGTGTGTGTTAATAAAAATGCCAAGGAGAAAAGAAACTAGATGAAATAATAAAAAATCAATTATTGTTGGTGAGTCCATCATTCTACAGAGAGTAGCATTATTCAAAAGTAAAAAACATTCCAGACAGTGGCCAATCCACTGTCAACATGCCACGGTGAGTATGGTGACAGTCATGACAACATACATGGCAATTACAAAGAGACTAAAAAGTATGGCTTGTGTGTAAGAGTAACTGGGGAAACATCTTTTCCACAGTGGAAAACATTTCCTTTGGATAAAAGAAACAAAAGTGGAGATGTCTGGTCATGGATAGTATCGTGTGTACTACCATCACCACTATCATCAATTTCTAAGTGGTAGTGATGATTTGGGTTTGTTTTATAGCCACAAGGGTGGGGTATAATGCATTCATTGAGTCAGCACCACCTGTTTGACAAAGCTTGGCTTAAATTGGTTCAATAAACAATTACCCCAATCCCACCAGCCAATCTACAACAGGTTGGCAGAATTTATTTTTCTTAATCAAAGTGTTGCAATGGCCCAAACAAAATCCAGACCTTGACCTGATTGAAATTCTATGTAGGGACTCTGACTGAGCTTCGGATGAACGGATGTCAGTCGTCCTCAATGGAATGAAGCAACACTATAAGTAAGAGTGGGACAAAATTCCTCATTACTGATGGGAGAGGGTGATAATGTCTGACAAAGAATGACAGAGGGTTGCTATTGAAGGTTGTTCCACAGCCATTTGTATCAGGGGGTTTAGTTACATTTCACATCATCTCTGAATTTGTTTTTCCTTTAGTTATTTTCTGTGTAATATTTCATCCATTGTTGATAATCAGAGGTTGTATTCTATTATTATCATTTTAATTTTATAGAAAGAGGCTGTGCTTTCTTTCTAAGTATTGGCTTAGCATTAGAAAAATAGTAGGCCAGCCCATTTTATAGTCAGCAGGAGGTGAAAACCGAGCTACGTGTTTTAAAATAAAGCTGAGAATTAATAGCATCAAGGATCGAGGTACAATAACTTAATCTGATGTGGATCTCAAGTGTATTAGATGTGGTGCTTGTGCATAGATAACAAATCAAAACTTTCTTTACCTGTGTTGTGGCTAAATTGGTCCCATCGGTCACTTGTACAGTCATGTTGTATACTGACTGCAGCTCTGCATCCAGGGGCTTGGCCACCACCAGAGTCCCAACTCCAACTTGAAGATCAAACTGCATGTCAAAGCTCCCTGACAACACACAGGCAGACACACACACACAGGTATACATGCATAAACTCCCAGAGGTACTTGGTTCTCACTTCGTGTGTGAAAAAAAAAAAAAAATCTGATGCGCTGAGTTATTACGGTGTAATTGTTTTGGCCAGGAGCTTTCATCTGCAGCTGGAGGGTCTGTGAAATAATATGAAGTAAAATGCAGCATAATGTAGTGGTGATCCCAGTTGGCAGCCCGAGAGTTGTTAACAGCCATACAAACATCTGTCTTATCACTCCAAAACACAACCCATCACAGAGATCAGAAACCCATGGCCGGGTCTTTTCCACAGGCGGTGAGCATACAGTTTAGAAGCTTAATGTTTGATTAAAGTGAGGCAGAGGATTGATACGTGTTACGTATTCAGCGCCATCCTTCGTCTCATCCTGGCCCCTCTCTGGAGATATCTGGGAGCTTGAGCTCCCCTCAGCATATGAATACTGATTGAACATTTTTCACAGAATCACTGATGCGTGTTAAGTGAGTGCAAACCGTCGGACCCCATGCTTTTATTTTGCATGTTGCCTTTTCTTTTCTTTGTTTTTCTTCATTTTGGAGGTGATGTTTGTCAATATTTTGGTTCCATGTGCATCTTACAAAGAAGAAAATTCAATAATCACATATTCAGCTAAATGTTTATTTAGTTTATGGGTTGTGGCGCTATTTTGCATACGAAAGTCAATTGGCTGAGTTGATTTCTATCAACAGAGCAAATAATGAATATAAACAAAACAAGAAAATACTGATATTTGTTCAATTCAGTGTGGAGAAGAATTGAGGAAAATGTTGCCTTTACTTGAGCTGTATCATCAATTCACAATTGTTCTATTCTTTTAATTTAGGCCAGATATAAATGTAAACCGTTCAAAAATTTATTGGAAAAAAAAGTTGATAACAAAATCGACGTAATATCAAGGTTGACAAATGAAATTGTTGCCATAATACTTTGATCGACAGCTCCAGTAGTTATGGGTAACATTAAAATCTTACAGGACAGCAGATCCTCAACAGTAATGATTTAGACTGGACAGCCAATCCATTCGCAGCAGCTTAGTTAAGCTTCAGCTTCTTAAATAATATGTCAAGTGATTCATTTTACCTAAATATCCATTACATTCAATTTAGACATGGTCGGAAAATACGTTTTAAGCTCATAAATTACACCCAATGTGTTATTCAGACACATACGATAGGCAAGAAAGTTGCAAACTATTGGAAATGTGTTATTAAGGTAGAAAGTATCACAGTCAGAGGAACACTATCACAGCACACCCACATTTGACTTCCAAAGCACCACCATTGCAGCCGAACTAATGAAATAAACCTGTCCAGCATGGACAGACAAAACTAACTGGTGCTGTTTGTGTGAGGCTGACTGAGAATCCTTCTACAATTTCAGATCAATCAACTCTGCCTTTGGCCAAACAAGCTCACGGTGCTGTCTGCTGCACTTTCCAAATTTTTTTTGTAATTTCTTCTGAACCCAAAGCGTTTAAGAGAGGGCAATGGCAAAATCAACTTTGATCATACCTGTGTCCAGAGAGCAGTTTCTTCCACATGCATTCTGCGGAATGTAGAACATTTCTTTGGCAAGCCGTCCACCTTAACAGCGAGACAAAAGAAGAAAAGCATACTATCAATATTTATGAAGTCAGAATAGTCTTTTGATCAAAGCTCAGCAATATCTATCCACTCTGTTCTGAAGTTAAATCATTTTTTGGCTTTTCTGTAATTGACTTTTCTGTTCTTCCATTTTTTCATACTTTTCCATACTTAACACCCATTATCCATACTTAGTACAAGTATGAATGACGAGTTTGGAAAATCACTCCTTGAATTTTTAAAAGGAATAGGTAAGCATCTCTTTGATTTCACACTAAATTTTGAATCATTACTGACCTTCCCAGAAGAGTAACCCTGATGATATCGACAATACGAGCTGCACTCAACATAACACACAAAAAACTAATTTTTATATCTTTCTGTGAGGTATGAAAAAGTAATAAATTTTCTCATAACATCTGTGCAGACCTTTTTTTTCCTCAATGTTGAGATGTAATACTTTATAAAATCATTTCTAAATTATCTTTCAAAGATTAGAACTGTGCGGAGTTCCCTGACAGTAAACTGAAAGGCAGGATTAAGCTTTAAAAAGATTTATTGCATGTAAACTATTTCTGCCATTTGACCACATAAACTGCACATAACTGAATTAATCTATATTCCTCTTTCACGTTTGTAAATTCTGAATGGGGATTTATCAACTTTATTTACCTATCTTTATCTAGTTATGATATTAAACAAAGGTGATTAATTTTGTAATGAGCACACATTCCCTGCAAAATAAAAATCACATGAATTGGCTTTTACAGTTTATTATTGAATATCTCACATGAAATTACTCACCGATGATACTGAACCAGACAGGTGTGCTCGACTGGCTAACAGCCACCACACCCACCGGCTGAGCAACAGCAGTTGTCTCTGAGATGGAGAAATTGTAGGACCTCTGGGTGAAGACTAGGGGCACCTGCGAGGGCACAGGTTTGCGAATCCATTCCACATAGAGTTTGACAGTAGACCAAAGTGGCGGATCTCCACTGTCTTCTGCTTTTATCTAAGATATGGAAGGGGAAAAAAAAGGAAAAATGGCATCTAGCTGACCAACCCAGGAGGAAGTACAAAACATTTTCACAAGAGCAGAATGGAGACTTGATACTGCTTGATCTAGTATGAATGAAATCAGGAAACAACAGCTTTGAGTGATGGATGCTTCGGCTTGACTTCAAATGGCTTGCGTTTTTGCAACAGAGCCAAGCAAAAATAAATCAATGAACTAATGAGAGAACTAGTATGACATATGTTTCTTAGATTTATGTTGGGCTCATTCAACACTTTTGCAGGAAAGGATTTTGGTCTTTGCTTTCTGTGTTAAGAGGCTTCAGCTTATCAACTTTTTCTCCTTTCAAAGTAACCAAGAATGAGCACAATAAATGGTCCCAAAGGGGTGTTACCCGCTAATCAGTGATTGAGATGTGTTGGGCATTTTCACAAATTAGGCTGATTTGGATAACACTGCTTCCCACTGCTGTTTGTGCTAATGTTTGAGAAAGGAAAAAGGCCTAAAAAGGAGTGTCACTTCACACAAGATCAAAGATTTATCGTGTCATTTGATGTTGATAAATGCAGGTCTCACGTTGCCATTTCCGAGCAATATGTGACTTCCGCCTGATGAGATAGAAACTAGAGTGTGTTTACTTCAGCCAATTTAGTGAGTCTTACAAAGGAAATGATCCCTGAAAATGTTTCTAGAGGTAGAGTAATTGAGAGAGTGAAACCGAAGAAGCACAGAGCTAAAGTGACAATGTGCCTAAAAGAGGTAGAGCTTAGACCCAAGTAACATTATTCATGGTCTAAAAATTCGAACTGTGTGTTGGTATAACTTTTTTGCGCTTTAGTTGAGGATAATACACTCACAGTTAGGATGTCGGAGCTGCCTGCTGTCACCATTTTCTTTGATGACACCACACCAGTCCTGGGATCAATAATGAACTTTTCCTCCTCGTTACCATCAATGATAGCGTAGGTGATGTTACCATTTGCTCCAGAGTCACGGTCATATGCAAAGACACGGTATACAGGTTCGCCCCGTTTGTTCCGGTCTCGTTCAGGCAAGCTGATGCGATAAGTGACCTCCGGGAAGGTTGGCGGGTTGTCATTCTCATCGTCGATGTGCACTATGACCCACACTGTAGACTGCCGGGTCGTCACAGGGCCATCTATTACTGTAACCTATAGAAAAAGCATAAACAAAAAAGCTAATATACAACATACCGGTAACATAAAACACACACATAGTCACGTTTGAGAGACTGTCTTTGTGAGTGAATACAATTATTGAATACTTAAATATTGCTTGTGCTGTGTGACTGCGGGGCCATGTGGGGCTGAGATCCGGGGAAATCTCTTTGTATTATTGATCCTTTGGAAGCAGAGCCAGAGGTCTGATCACTGATCAATGGGATCAGATAAGGGTGAACATCATTGTTGCCAGCGTGACTGCTCACTAGACTATTAATTACAGACGGACAGCACATGCAGGCAGTCGGAGCACTGGGTGGCATGTGGGGACTAGCAGTCTTGTTGAAATCACTGGTCTGAAAGACGTGTAAAAAAAACGAATCTCCATTCCACTTCAGATACATTTTAGATTTTGTAGTCCATGTCACTGTTCATTTCAACTTTGTTTCACCATGGTTTTACTGCCTCCACTCTGGAGTGCAATGCTATAAGCTAGCTTAGTCACAATATCAGTTCCGGAGTTAATTCACCACAAGAATATAGAAAGGTTATCTGAAAAAGCAAACACACAACACATAACAGCGCTGAACGCTGGGTCAACTGCAGGTTACTTTCCTCCATTTTGAAAAGATTTAAAGTGCCTCTAGATTCATCAGCATTTGATGAGATGAAAGAGGAGAACAGGAAAACAAGTTTGCTCCTGTCTCTAAAGTCAAGAATCTCTAATTATCAGGCTTATCTGCATGCAGAGCGGCCGCTGCAACAGAAATGGTAATCACACAACTATCTGTATGCCCAGTGTCTGCACCTATCAAATACCGGGCACACCAACTCCTCTCCTCACCGTTCCCATCCTGAGTAGAGAAGATAACCAATGATGAATGATTACATTTTTAAAATCCTAAAACCCGCGCCCCAAAACTACACACATTCATCATAGTTTATGCAGCCTTGAAAGCTTGCCAAGGTTGTCCTCCACCCTGTCTTTGTTAATAGTGTGCTGTGGCAGGTGGCAGGGTAGGATAAATAATAATACTATAAACCAGTGAACACCGCTCAGGTTTTACTGTACCTCTAAAAAGTGCTCGGCTTGTTGTTCCCTATCCAGTTTTCTTGCGGTTGTTGTGATCAGACCTGAAAATCACAGGAGAGAAACTTTAGAGAAAAGAGGACCATAAGTGCTTTAAGTGAATCAGGAGCTCCGGTTGTTGCAGTTGGTCTCTCCTCATTCCTCTGCAACTGAAACCTTTAAATTAGAGCTGGAATGCTGAAAAATGCACAAGCCATTTTAATTCATTTTATTAATGAGCCAGTGAATTCATATGCACTCTCTAAAAACCATAGCCTGCAGTCCTGGCACGGACAGTTATATCTGGCAGATGTTCGTATGGCTCTGTGTGGCTGATGGTCTGACAGACAGTAGTAGTCATTTCATTTGGCAAACTGCACTAAAAATCAATGATTCCACCGTGATCTTTCAGAATGTGTTTGTTCTTTTCCATTGTGCTTTTTGTGTTTTCTTATTTCTCTTTTGTCATTTGTGTGATCACAAAGGTTCTCCTATCATGTTCCCATCACTCTGACTGACATTTATCCACAAGAGTCTTTTGCTTTGACACGAAAACAAGTATTTGCATTTAAATGTAATGATTTCAATCACAGGAAATATATTCTAAAAAGAAGGCAATTCCCTAAAGCAGGAGAAAGAGATATAGTGTTGATATGCGCAGAGTTCAGATAGTGAGAGCTTGAAGAGTTGAACACATTAAAATCTCCCCAGCCATTGCTCTCACGAATAGGTAAACAACATAAAACACAAACATTAATACAAAAAACGAGTTTCAGTCAACCTCAAAACCTTTGTTTTCCCTAAACAAATGTCTGCTGCTGTGAAAAATGCTTGCGTTTAGTGCAGGTTGTTCAGAATTTCCATCTTAGTAGCACCTAGACAGAGTGAAATGGTTATATTTGTCAAAGGGAATTTATCCTCAAACATAAAAAAACAACACAGAAAAGAAATAACACAGTTTTATAAAAGATAGAAGTTTTATATATCAGTATAAATATTTATGTGATTTCTTGTGGATTTATATTCATATGAGAGAGTCTGTGAGAACTGCCAAATGGCCAAGAGATGTCACTTTTGAAGCTTTTAAAATGTTAGTCCCCTTCAACATTATCTCACCATGTAGTAATTCATAGGCCCTTTTAAACAGCTGGCCAACACAAATAGATAGACTGGTAGCATTCTGTCCAAAAACACACCTATTTATCTGTTATTGCCATAAGGGTAATATTTACACAAAACCTCGTCTGTCGTTATATCAGTGTGAATTTCTATGAGGGATTCTTCAAAGTAAATAGGCCTTAATGGTGATGGTGTTTTTCTTTCAGTGTAATGAGGCATTGCAGTGAAATAGGATTATCTGGAGAGCTTTGAATGCTGCGCACCTAATGTTCAATGGTTGCATTAAAATCTCAGTGCTCTCACATACTCGCAGACTTACTCAGGCATTCCATCGCCTCCACAGTGTCACCTTGAGCTTGCTACGCAGGCTAACTTCAATTAGGCAAATTAGGAGTAAATCTAGAGCAGCGGTCACAAGCTATAGGAGAGGGACCAGAGAGGGGAGGAGGGGCTTGTTCAGCAGAATACAGTGCTAGTAACAACTCATACGAATCGATAACCTAAAGCTCACGTGCAGAAGCACATCAGATACTGAACAGAATGCTAAAATAAAATCCACCAAAAAGAACATGTAGACTTAAATAATGGTCTACTGAAGCATCTGGAATGATCACAAGGATGTCTTTACATGATATGCCAAATATACTTTTAAATATTTTCAACTTTAAACAACATAAGAAATCTTTATATCTAGATAATCAAGTGTACCCTCGCTGTTGATTATAAATACAGATAGAACTGAGTACTAAAGAGATACTCCAAAAGTATACACCGTAGAGCCTTTGGGACTCCTCAATTATGACAAATGTGTAGTTTCACTGTACAAATTTTCAAATGAGTCATTTAAAATTAATCCATAGACTTATTATTTGTAAAAGATGTTCATTTTTAATAAATAAATAAAAGACTATGCTCCTTCATGCTCATAAGCGAGAAGGAAATCATTTATACATACTGAGAAGTTTTGTTGGCCCACGAAATGTTAGTGTGTAGCAGTACAATTAGAGCCCAAATATGCTGGGACATTTTTTTACTTCAATTTCCATCTTTTAATTAGTACTGAGTTCAATTATTACGCTTGCTGCTGTCACGCATCATATGCACTCTGTTTTTATGTTGCCATGCCACCCTATAGTGTCTACAGGAATACATATTTTCTGGGGATTGTTCTGACCAAAAGGTGACGTCATCTGTGATTAACCCGAGTGTGTGCAAGTGTCTTGATACAGTAGAACCAATTTTATCCAACTGAGGTTAGTAAGAAAAAGGTCACATAGCTCGTGGGCCCTTTTGACTGCACTATACAAGCATACATGCTTTTACAAACAGCACTCCGTCTAACACCCTGTGTCAACACAAATCTGCTTTGTTTTGCGCCCCAAAGAGGCAGTCTTCACACACAACCAAAGACCAACAGACAGCACTGTAAGCTGTCACACCACATTTACACACTTTGCGCTCATTCGGAGTTTGGCTTCAATGCATTTTGGGAATTGTTCCGGCATCTCAAACCCATCAAACTGACACTTCCTGAGAGAACTTGAAAAATGCATTACTTTGAAGCTCCCCCACATGAGTTTTTAAGAACAATTTGAAGCTGCAAGAGAGATCTCAGCAGTTCAGCTTACGGTGTTGCTCTTACTCGCTTCATGAAATCCAATCATTCAACTGAATTGTGTTTATTAATAATCCCAGTGAAATCACTGTGGTACATAAAAAAGTATTTGACTGCTTCCAAAGGGGGATTAATTCATATTGAATAAGCAACATGTCTTCATATCACACTGACACTGTCAATCACAACACACTGACAATTACATTAGCAATGCATTTAGGCTCATGATATAAAACGAAAAGAAATAAATACATAGAAATACAAAAGAAATAAGATGGTGCAACACAGCTTCTCCTTCTGAAAGGAAAGCATTTCTTGAAATTAATCAAAACATTTAATCCCCATTGTTATTAATCAGAGAATTAACAATATCAAACTTTAATTCCCCTGTATGAAATAATAACTAAGACACTTTAAGCAGTGAATTTTTGACAGGAACAGAAAGCAGGGCTCAGATGGCTCAAAACTCCAAAACTCCCCTGAGGCACAAATACACACACACACACACACACACACACACATACACACACACACACACACACACACACACACACACACACACACACACAACTCAATATACAGGTCACACAAACACATATTCACAGTTGTGCACAGAAAGCAAACATTTATTTTCTAGTGTGTGCTGTCATTGTGTCAAAATGCATGTTGGTTCTTTGCAGCAGGACGGTCCTTTCTAACACAATGACGTAACCAATTCATCGACTGATTCAGCTGTCAAACGAAGTCTCTTTCTTTCCCTCACACATCCCCACATTATGCATACTGCAGACACAGATGCATCTGTTGGCTGTTTGTTCTAATCTGTACCATAATTAATCACCTCAATACGTAGCTGCACCTGCTTTACAGCTAATCATACAGGAGGGCCGCTAAACAAGACCCCTAAATCATTACAGGTACGAGATCTGTATGGAAATGTCTGTGCTGGGTCCAGGTTCCATATTAATGAGTGTGTTAGGGCCGGAATGTCTCTGCTGGGATCAATATGAGCCCTTCACTTCCTGGTTCAGCCGAGTGTGTTACACTACATAAAGTCAATATGATGGTGATAATGCACAAAAGCGTTTTTAAAGAGGATTGGAGGATGCAAATAGAAATACCACCTTCGATTTACAAAGTGAACATGCCACCGCATACCATTAGGAATTTCCTCCTTCTATGGCCGTGGCCGACATGCTGCATGTTGCATGTAGGCCACTGGTTTTTTGATCATTACATTGATAATTTTCTTTTTTTAAATGCAACGCTGGTTGCTATACCAGCTGAGGCTTTCAGTATTGCCTTTAGTCCTGAAGAGTTAGTCATTTCATCTAGAGCAGAGACAGCACCTCACAATGTTTTCTTCCCTCTATCTTTGGGATTTAAATAAAACATTCCACTACTTCAATAATTCTTCAATGCAAATGTCAAGCTTAGTTCAGAATGCATGAAGAAATATTTAGACTTGAAAGCTGACAGCGAAAACTGACACAAATCAGCTCTCATTTGTCTTTGATAATGTTTGTCAGGTAGAGACACAGCTCTTTGATTTGATTATTAATCGAAAAGACAATATCATGGATCAAAGGTTAAAAAAAATGGTGGAAGACAGGGACTGTGCCTTTTTACCCAACAGTGAGTTAGAGTTTTGTAGGCACAGTGCTGTTCACAGGCTGCTGTTAACAGCACCATATTTTTTATGAGAAATATATGTATTTGAATGTCTGAGGAATATTTGCAAAAATCACACATACAGTGTAATTTGGTATTTGGAAAAAAGTCAGATAACTGAAGCACCAACCTGGTTTCTGAGATATTACTTTGCTCACCTGTTGCAGTCTATCAACTGAACTTCCATCTTATATGTGACAAGAATTGTATATAGCTTTTTTTGGCAGCATCAGTTGAGGCTCAAGATGACAAGTTTGAGAAAATCAGAATCAGAAGTGTGGTGGTGGAAATAAATGAAGAAGGCAAACCTCAGTGGCCAACAAGTCATATCTGTTTAAGACTCACATCTTAAGGCTGCATTAGTTCTTAGTCAACAAAAAACAAACGTTTTTAATCTCCATCCTGTGTGTTGGAGGGGTAGTTACTACGTTTTGACAAGGAAATAGTATTTTTTCCTCATCTGTTACAACACTTACGTGTCAAACCGGTGGTGCAGACCTTGCAATACAAAACTAACTGACAGTCCGGTTGTCTAATCTAATATTTACAACCCTTTCCGAAAAGATAATTGCTGCTCACCACCTATTGCACCACCGAGGAAATCTGAACAAAGAAAAGCACATTTGCATGTTCACATTAAAGGGAGTTTTATGGTGTGACTGTGATGTTGCAGATGTGCATGTGGTGTGATTTACTCTGTTACTTGGGTGAGGTGCACTACAGATGTCTGAAATGATCTGCCTCTCCCGTGATTATTCTCATGACTGGCATCCCTATGAGAGTAGGCTTGTTAGCCAAACACGGGTTGATAAAAAGGAGGATCATTTTCAACCATGAATTTAACACCATATGCACTCTTCCAAAGTCAAAACAAGCATTTATTGCCCTTCCTGTGTCTCTGTCCTCTTTGTCTGGTGCGCTTTTTGCATCCAGCATTTAAAAGCAAAATTGATTCAGGGTTAAGTGTGGTGACTGTGCGTGTAATAAGCACAGTCTGTGGGCTTACAGGTCTTTGGGCTACAGAGGAGTCTTGTAGACTGGTGAAGATGACCAAATCCATGTTGTCGATATGGTTGAAAATGTATGATTAGTTCAAAGGAAATATTGAGACCACATACCAACCTTCAGTTGTCCATGGATAGGGGCGATATTGTTCACACTGTGTTTGTTTTGTACTCAAAGCCCCCACACTTACTTCACATTTCATCACATGCTATGAAAACACTTGAGTGTCTGAAACCGTCTTAAATAAGGCACATAACCAAAACATATTTCCCTTCATTATATCATATACTTCCGCTCTGTGTTTTGAAAAGAGCTTAAGACCGGAAAAGACTGGAAACAATATAAGATAACAGAAAAAAGTGCAGTAAACTATAGTGACTACAGGCCTTTGGAGTTGTATTTTTCTTCCTCTGTTTAACTTAATTTGTGTTAGTTTTCTCTCCAACTTTTGTTTTCAAGCTGCTTATCTTAAGATTTCTGTCAAACCTCGCTTTGGTTATATTGCTGCTTCCCCATCTTTTGTTGGTAGTTTGTCAACAATGTGAAAAAGGTTACTTTATCTTTTGTATCTGTTTAAAAAAAAACTCACTTAATTTTTTTTTCAGTTTCATCTGCTGTCAATTTTGTGTGCACACAGATCTTTTTGTTCATATTTTTTTCTGGATTGCCTTTGAAGAATGCATTCTCTTGGATGACTGCCTGAACAGGCTGACATTTTCTACTTTAGCTTTTGCTTTTAAGAAACCATCACAAGGAAAATTAGTATTTGTGTGTACTGGTTCAAAAGTGTCTGAGCATTTATCTTTATCTAAGACCTTTAACTGAATTAGATGAAAAAGGGTTAACACTTACACCCAGAAAGTAATATTGTTATTTTTACATCAGTGTCCAAAGTCCTAGAAGGCATTGTTCCATTACAAGTATTTTTCAGTGGAATCGTGTTTGTGACTCTTGCCTGTTTTAGGATTGATAGTGAAGAAATTCTGTGGATTTCCAGCCGTAATGCGGTAACTCAGTCGACTGGGTGTGGCTGTAAGGTCAGGGTCTTGAGCTTGAATATGAATGACTGGCACATCCTTTGGCGAGTTCTCCATAATGACTGGATGGTAGATAGGATCCGAGGTTAGGGGAGCATTATCGTTGACATCTTCCACCTGGGAAAGAATAATGGGGGGGTTCAAAATAGAAGAAGAAGCAGAGAGACATAGGGGAAAGAGTTGAATAAAAAACAGGGGTGAGCTTGAATAAGGATTGTTGTCTATGTGTTGCATACATTTATTTAAATCTGACCTGATAATCTACAAGCAATTAAAGCATAGCTTTATAAACCTAGACAAATCCAAAGGGAAAATATACCTGAATATGTTTGGTAATCAACATAAAGGCTGGGTCTGAGTTCATCTATTGTTATCAATCACAAGATTGAAAATAAATATATATATATCAAGTAAAGTGTTGATTGAGCATTTGCTAGGAGGCACAAAAAGGCAAGACAGTTCAACGGCAAATGAGATACACCTGCGCCTGATTAATTTCTCATTTTGTGCCTGTGATGAAAAGGCCAGGGGTAAAGCACCCAATCAGATCACTATACGTGAATACCCTGGAGCTAGAAAAGGTTTTTTCTCCATATGCGAGTTGTCTTCCTCAAAGGGAAAGCTCTGCTCCAACAGTGATGTGTGTAATAGAGTGTTTAGTCAGAAAATTGTTGTTGGGTTTTTTTTTGCCAAGGAAAACGGAAGAGAAGATGGGACAGAGAATGTGTAGAGCATATCTCTGGCTCACAGACCTTGCACAATTATCATTTTTGAGAGCAATCCATTCATTGTTTTTGGTGTCTTATTGTTACATTGGATAGAATGCTCCATGAGAATACACAATAATCAGCATCTAAATGAGTTTATAGCCACCGAACAATGTCAACAATTGAGGACATTGAAAGGTCAATATTGTGGATCAGCTGGAGGAGACCTTTTTTTTTTAGATTTCTTGTCATCAGTATCAGTTTACCATCAAAGGTGAGTCTCTGTCAGTGAATTGGGTTCCAATATGCACTGACACATTTTTATAGATAAAAAAGGTGGCTTGATGTAACTTTGAAAGTGTCTCATAACAAACAGTATTTTGTCAGTCAGAGCAGGTACAACTACACCACAGCCTCACCTGCACAACACTGTAGCAGAAAACACATTATTGTCAAGCAGACAGTGGAGCAGAGTCAGAGGGGACTTTGCAGTAAGACCTCACCTGTTTAGTCCAAACCTTGCTGGAAAATTATTAATAATTATTAATATTATGAATATTAATATTATATTAATATGTTTATCTACATCATTATGACTATATCAAAATTAAAATTTTCCAAAATGATCAGTTTTGTCTGGATCTTTGTACTCCCTAAAAATCATTATCTATTGAACCTTAAGCATGATGCAATATTGTACAAGTTGTAGAGTATATTTTCCTACATCCCCACACTTTTATCTGTTGAATGTCTGTTCCATGACATTGCAAATGACATGGCTGAGAAGATGCTTTACAAAGCCTCTGACATGACTTAATGTGAAAATCATTCAATTAAGGCATGGATTTGTTACAATTTATCATTCTTCAAATTATCAAGCAAGGTCCACCTTATTCTTAAGGTTTAAATATGATATAAAGTCTACGTAAAGCCAATATAAAGTGTATTAATTACTTTTTTTCAAGTAGTTGAGAGAATAAGCAATGTTCTTAGATGGTGTGGATGGGTAAACATAAAGTAACCTGTGCAACAGAAAGTCATACATCTCTCTTCTAATGACAGATTATAAAACTACCATGTGAAAAACAGACATTGGCATTGTAAGGATTTTATAACTCGGGCAATGTAATACAGTTTTCCTTCATGTCATCATTTCAAGGATATCCCAATAAAGAACCTGCAATGTACTACAAATTCTGGCAGGGAAGATGCATTTGCTTGACAAAGGCAGCATTGTTAAATAATGAAAGGTCAGCTCTATAGCACAATTAGCTTAATGTGGTCTGGTGCTTTAAAAATTACGATATAAGAGACAGGATCATTTTTTAATTCAAGTCCTACTGTTTCATGAGTTCCTAAATTCTGAACCCTTTTCAAAAATATCATGGCCATAAAAATGCTTTAAAATAGTTTAGTGACTTCAATCTATTATTACTATTAGTACAAAGTTTACCAATCAAGTAAATAACTTATTTTTAGAAACAATGTCGTCCTAGCGCTTATACCTGAATATTCTTGGAAAAAGTCCTTTCATGCATGAAGTGCAAAATGTCATACTATGATACTATTATTACCTGAATGAACACCTCAACAGAAGCAGACAGGGGAGCAGCCCCTCTATCCGTGGCATAGACAGTGAGCCAGTAGGAGTCTTTGGTTTCACAATCCAGGACTCCAGCCGTGTAAATCACTCCTGTTGAATAAAAGAAAAACGTTGAAACATTCCTGTTTGTGTGTCTGTAATTTGGTGTGTGGTGCTCGAGTATGTGAAAGTGCAGACTGAGTGTTGTCATCCTTAAATAGCCCCACCGTTAAAGTCTTTGAAGAATACATTTCCAAACTTTTTGCCCTAATCTTAGTGACATTCCCAGGCGTTAGTGGCACTGCAGTGGTCACCTTCAGTGTTTCAGCATCTCTACGGCTAATCGCAGCTGACCAAACTGCTCCCACTGCTATTTGTTTAGTGCTAAACGTACCCTGAACAGCCATGCACAAGAAAACAGCCCGCACACACCCGCACAGTTGTCCAGACTCTAATATATACACACTGACTGATGCGTGTTTAGTGGCCTAAAGGAAGATGAGAAGCTGACAGCTGTGGTGACCTTATCAGGGACAAAGGGAACACACACACAATGGATGACAAATGATAAGTTTTTAACTTCCCAATCAGTCATCCTTGAAATATGGCAAATAATTGCAAATGCCTGAGTTCAGTCTAGGTTGAAGAGTTCATATACGTCATTTCTGTAGTAAAAAAAAAACACTGCAGAGCAAAAATCATGCATCATCCACACCACGATACTGTCTGTTCGGTACATTTTTCTAATACTAAAGCATATTATGGAGTTCATGTCTCTGTGCCTTAGAGAATTATTTTGCTTCTGAAGTTCTTACCAACATAAAATATCAAATTCTAGAATTTATTTTCTGAAAAATAAACCGATCAGTTGCATAACCTTCCAAAGTAAGCCAACCAGCTGACCCGTTTTCTAAACCAATCTGCAACTTCAGATTAATTTTTATTCGCTGTATCGAACAAGTGCGATTTTGAAAAAGTTGGAAACCATCTACTTATTTCATATGCAGTCATATCAGTTATAAACAAACAAGATCCCCAAAAAAGAATCCCACTAAAACCATCTAGGTTGTTTTTTAAATAGTTTGCCTTTTCTCATTTACATTTGTAAAAAAAATATTTCAATGAGGCGGTAGCTTGGAAATGTGTTGCAAGATAGTGAAGAACATTTTGAAAGAAAGCAAAATTCAAAACTCGCCTTTACTCACCTTTTTTTTTTAAAGAAAATGTTTGTCTGAAACTAAGCTGAAGTGCCTACTTAGGTGTCAGCTTTCATCTGGTTGCTGGTGCATGACGTAAAGCAAAACTGTGTTGTGCCAGTCTGGAAACTAAAGTTGGAGATTGTGGTATTTCAGCATCCGGGCGCTCCAAGGCAATTTCATGTATGGTGCATAAAAAGTTGGCATGCTTCATGACATGTCACAAGCACATAGTTTTAAGATTCATAAACTTCTCCAGGGTACTTTAATGTTTTATATACCAACAAGAACATCTGAATATTAATTGAGTTTCTATTCATCACCCAGAAGTAAGAGATGATAAATTCCCATATGCAAGTGAATGCATCAGGATGCACTGTTAGCTGTGAACACTTAGAACAAACACTGTTAAAATATTAATCGAGTAAGCAAATACTCTTCATGTTAAGCATTACATCAAAAACATAAAGGGATGGTGTTAAGGGAAGTCCAGATTTTGCAGAGCCAAAAGGAGATGTGGGAATTATGACGTAAGTTTTAGTGCAGTTGTTGATCGACCAACGTCCCTCACGTCGTGCACAGCATGTTTCAACAACTTACATCATATTGTTCTTTGTAGGATATTGCATCTAAAAGACAAGTTGGAAGCCCACCAGTTGTTGATGATACTAATAGCTATTTGAGAATTAAATTGTCTGACAAATGTTTTTCTATCAGCTTTGCAAGAGGTCTTAGATCTCAAAAACTTTAGTATATATTTTGAAGAGTTATTTAGCACCACAGAGTTAAATATATGTGTCTTTGATATTGAGAACAAAGCATGTCATATCAAATAATTTAACACAAAATGAACCTGCAAGCATGGAATTCATAGACCAAACTGATCATAAGAGACAAATGAGTAGGATATTCATTCCGTAAACACAAACTTTCATCAGGTCCTCGGTTTTCTCTTAAATCGCAGCGGCCAGCTTGGAACACATAAATCTGTTACTCGAAGTCAGTTGTAGATTCTAAATGGGAACTAAGACAAATGAGTCTGTCAACACTTGCAGAGTCTATGATTTATTGTACATAAAAGTAACCTCAAGCGGATATAACAGAGGAGGAAGTATTCACCTTCACCTCAATAAAGATCCTAATATCTCACTGTAAACCTACTCCTCACATGTGAAAGACCTGTTATTGCATCTCTGATGTCACTTAACTTAAGATAACATTAGAAAGTGCAAACATGAACATGAAAACATAATACAAAATAACTAATTCTCTCTATTGAAGGTGGATTTTTTCTTCACCTTGTAGTTACATAGGGCCATTTGGTATTAAAAAGTAAATAACTGTGACCACTTTCTATGTTGTTATCAAGGCAAATTAATTGTTCTCTTAAAAATGGGAGGAGTTCTAACATCAAGGTGCCCCTTGTAGAGAGGCAGTGGTAAACATGAACTGTGCCTTGATTCCAAGATTCTGCACTAAAGCTCAGCAACCCTATCCTTGCACAACATATTCTCAGCAGTCACTTAAACTCGAAAAACATGGAAAAGTTTCATGTCAGTGCAACATTCTGCACCAAAAAGTGACCGTTTCAAACGAGTAGTCATTTTCCGGGTTCTGCTGGAGAAATTGATTTGCTGTCATGCGGTGCAGGTCTACAGTTGTTGTACTCGCTCTTCCATTTAGCCACAAGCTTCACAGACCCAGGTACACTCGCACAAATCAGCATCAAGAGGTGTGACGCTTTATCAGAAAGAGTGTGTACATGTGGGTTATTACCATGCAGCTGCCCAGGGCACACACAATGCATAGTAAAAGTGTTTGCTGAAACTCATCCTTGTCCTGCCGTCCTTGACCATGTCCTTTTCAAACCTCATCTCGTCTCTGTCAGATGGCTCAACGGAGAGACAAGGAAAACAGAGCTGGCTGTTTCAAAAGCTCTTTGAACTTTAGGACCGACAGCTGCTATTCACTGAAGTCAATATAAATCAGACCTGACAGCATCCATTCTCACCATAAATAACACACTGCAAAGAGCGGACAAAAAAATTAAGGGTCATGCCACATTTTCTAATCTAAAACTTCACAGTACAGCTAACGTCCATCTGTCACAGCTCTTCATTGTACTCACTCTGGAGAAGATGGTCTTGTCATCCAAATATCTAATGCATGCAAACAAATAATCAATCTCAGCACTGATAACAAAATACTGTGATCATTTTTCTTAGAATAATTGCTCTGAATGTCTGTTATAAAAGAAGACATAAAAATGATAGCCCATTAATTTTGGACAAATATCAAAAGTCTATTGCTTTAAAGTATTTGCCCATAATTTAAAGAATATTTTATCCTGACAACGACAAAACCTAGAGATTGCCCGCCACATAATAGAGAAGCAGAGGCTTCTGTCAGCCTTCCAATGACAGACTGCAGGACTTGCTTCCATAAAAAAACAAATGACAATGGTTCCATTTTTTAAAAAGTATAGGAAAGCTAAACATGCAAAATACTAAAGATCCTATTGCTTTCTTATAAATAAGACATTGTATCTACCTTATATGCTTTGGTAAAATCATAAGAAATGTCTACAGATCAAGTGCTGAAAAAAGGGGTATTCACAGGTGACAAATCTGTTATCAAATGGGAATGTCATGGAAAAGACAGAATGCATCAAAGAGCAGGATTAGAAAAGCTGTAGATGGGGTGAGGTGATGCATATGTTAGGCAAAACTAAATGGATTTTTCTATCCTTCTCTTCCTTGCTCTCTGTTTCAGTCTCTTTTCATATACTTAGTCTGGCACTAAGAGCCACTGATTGACAAGCAACAAGAGGCCCAGTCACTCAACGTGGCCCAATGGAAGGAAGGAAAAGTGCTACTGCACCTGTAGAAAAAAGGAGCTGTGACTCATTTAGACTTTAGGTTTAGTCGATGTATTAGGCTGTATAATGTATGTGTGTGTTTTTTGCAACATCACAGTTTCAGCAGTATTACATTCTGCACAGTGAAAGGAGAGGACACATAGCAGGGAGAGTTACTGTATATCATGATATGGACCAGGACGGTCTAACCTGCATTTTACTCCGTATCTTTTTGTGACCCAAACAAATGACTTTGCTTAGATTTGTCTGTCTCCAGATAACTCTTTTATGGCTCTTGTTGCTTTGGAGCACTTTTAAGATCCATTTTATACCTTTATTTTACACTAATTGGGGTGAGTTTTAATGGATGGATGGATGGATGGATGGATGGATGGATGGATGGATGGATGGATGGATGGATGGATGGATGGATGGATGGATGGATGGAGGGAGGGATGGATGGATGGCCAGAAGACTGTGACTACACACACATTTTTGCAAACATAACCTTTTTACACAATTTCTAAAAATTAATAATTTCATGAAGGAAAACACATCCTCTTAATGTATCTACAAATCTGATACTGAAATCCACAAGTATTTGGCTTTTTATATTAAAGTAAAAAATGAAAAAAATATATGCAACAAAAAAAAGGACCAAAGATTTTTTTTTTTAAACCCAGTGGAAGAAAGACATATTTTCATCTGACACTTTTTATGTACTCCCAACTGCCTCTGTATCCGCATCCTTCCTCTCTTCACTTCATTTCCACTCCCCTCTTCCTTCACTTTCTGCTCTAACAAGCAGTCTGATTTCCCCTGGAAAATCTGCACTCAATAAACGTACTCACTGCCTGTGATGCTCCTCCTTTATAGCAAAGTGAGTAACAGCACCAGGCCCTATTTCGGAACGGCTGTAGCGATCTGAAAACTCCCTTGCTCCAGCAGTATGCGTGTATATATATATATATATTTATTCTATATATATTTATATATAAATATAAATATGTATAAATATATATATATTTATACGTGGAGGCATGGTGTTCGGGGAATCTCTCTGTCCATCTATTTCACTCTCAACTGCAGTCAATAGTAATTAGCCTAGTTAATTATCAATACAGGCCTCCAGTGGAAGTTGTGTACAGTAGTGCCACATGAGATTAGGACAATGAAAGGAAAAACTGAAAAATGAAAATAGTGCAAAAATGTATGTGAGGAGATAAACTTTCGACTATCGACTAAGATACAGTCAGAACGAACTCAATTTTGTAGACACCTTTAACTGTATTACAGCTCTACATGTATTTGTCTACCTAGTGGAGCTTTTTACACAGAATAATTGCATATTTTCTTTTGAATAACAAAATGGGGAAAGCCTCGACTCAACAAAATTCTTAATTATTCTAAGCTTTCTTGTTCAATACACTTTTTGACATTGGCATGAATATGTCATAATGTGCATATAAAGTCTTTTTAAGCAAATTGAAGTTCAACATTTCAGCACCATGGACAGAGATTAAAACAAACATTGGATGCAAAACTGGATGTTGCAATAAAACATGGAAACCTCGAAGAGCATTTTCCTTTCTAAGAAACACTGTTGCAGTCTTTTATTTAAAAGATAAAGCTCTCACCCCACTCACACCTGACTGAGTTGCCAGTTACATTTCAGTGATAGCCACGCAATAGTCTGGCATTTATAGCTATAAATCTGAAGGTCACGTATCTCTATTAATAGATATGAAAGTAATCTAAAATGCCCACTTCTCCTGACAAATAAATGGTGAAAGACAAGTTCCTTTTTTTGTTCATGTTATTATGATACAGGTTTTCATGTTGGGAAATGTAACTTTTTTTCTATAAAAGGTATGCAAGCTTCATGTGTCTCCTAGTAATGCTTATCCTTAATAACATTGATCACCTAACTTTATAACAATATTATTGTTTAACTGCAACATATGCCTTGGATATCCATGTTCATTTGGCTTGCTGTCTGCATGTGAACAAGCACAGAATAATATTAACTATCCCATTTTCATACTAGGTATTTGATTCATTCTATCTCTGGGCCAATGATTTCCCTTTCTGGATAAACCTGTTCATAGTTGTGTTTTTGACAGTACAAAAGAGACGGGAAACTTGTTTTAGGTCATGCTTCTTAAGTAAGTCAGAGTGATTTCTTCCTACTTTGATAAGACAGGGTTGGTGTACAGGAGAGCCTTGATCAACGTTATCTACACAGCAGTACATCAGTCCTACACCACGGCCTAAGGCCCAGGCACTATAGCTGTCATGCTGCCCTCATTACAGCTCCCACGTGAGGTCCAGCAACATGCTGACTGCGACCATGCCTCATAAGCTTTCTTGCCTCTCAAACTCTAATATTACTGTACAAATTTACCTAGTAAAGTACAGCATCACTTAGTAAAGATGTTAGCAAATCATTTAGTGAACAAAGTCGCTTTTTGACATCAGCAATGGCTAGTCATGTGAATTTTATCATTGGTGACACAAAAAGTCTGATATCCCACTGGCCATTCATTGGCTGTTGGTATTCTAAGCATGGTGCTGCACATTATTGGATTTCCACTTCACATAAATAGGCTTCAAAATTGATCTTATGTCACACCTGTGTCTTCGTCGATTGTGAAAGTGCCCAGTCCGCTGCCTCCACGGACAGAGTACCTCAACACGCCATCTCGTCCCTTGTCATCATCCTTGGCGCTGACTGTCAGGACGCTTGTCCCTGCACGAGAGTTCTCCTTCACAGAGCCTCTCATGGCAAAGTCGGGGAAGTACGGTGCATATAAATTTTCATTGACATCCACCACCTGAAGAAATTGAATAGTTCAATTAAATTTGGACGGAGGAGTTGAGTGCAAAATGGTGTATATTTCACAGTAGGTATGAACATCACGTTGATTAAATTCAAACTATTTCTGTGGATAGTTGTTCCTTTGGTATTTGCATTATTTAATGTGTAAGTGTACCAAAAAGAGGCCCTCCAGGAGAATTGAGCAAAGTTATGAGCAACCATAAAGTCATCATATTCTAGAATAGTAAGTTATTTTGTTGATTTTGGCAGGTTTAATGTATTTTGAGCTAAATTCTATGATTAAGCATATAGGTAAAAAGACGAATTCAATATGCCAACACACGCATGTAATGATAAATTGAACAAATGTTTGTTTTTCTGTTACGCACCTCTACCTCCGCAAATGTTTGGCTCCTTAGGCTGGGTACTCCTCTATCCTCAGCAAGCACAGTCAGGTTGTAAAACTGTTTTGTCTCATAGTCCAACTCCTTTTTTAACCTCAGCAGACCGCTTAAGACATTGATCTGCAAAGAGCATCAATTGAGACACAATTGTATCCATACCTAACTGTATGACATTCAAAGCCGTTAAATAATGATTCAGAACTCCTTTTGCTGGAAAAAAATTCAACAGCTGTCAAAAGATGGTAAGATAATAGACTATAGGTTTCAATTAGAAATCTGAAAATACTTACTCTAAAAATGTCCAATCTAACACATTTCCAACATTTTATCAGTATTGTGTGGTAAAGCCATCATTCAGCTTAACAGTTACTAGTAACCAAAATGCATACATGTGTTAATGTATTAAATTTTTTGTAAACAGTCACTCCTGTGTTTGTTTATCTAACTATGTTGTGAATTATTCTGATTTGGGTTCTAGGTTTGCTCAGGCTTTTTTTCAATATTGACATAATTTCATTCAAACCATTTCTTCCCCATTCCCCGTCTGTTTCAGACCACTGCCTTGTTTGAAGGTCAAATGGTGCCTTAGGCTAAGCCCCTCTGCAGACTGCCTGATGTCTTCCTCCAAATTCTTACTATAACGTCCTTGTTGTTTTGATGCCATTTACTTTGGCAAATTTCCTGAAAAAGTTGAAATACTATAAGAAAGACTCCATTCAAGAGATGTAGAGTGAACCGAAGACCAAAGTAATAACAGAAGAACCCCGTTTCTATCTAAAATACAAGGAAATCATTACGGAAGATGCCCAGTTCAAAATCTCAATTCAGACTTTCAGAAAGCATGGCAGCTCCACATGATCACTTGAAAATGACTTTAATGGTTTTGGAAGGGGAAGGGGAACAAAGTAAAATGTTTTAATGTCACAGGTCACAATTTTTTATAGCTAGAGGAAGCCAAGGATTTTTTTACGGTAAAGAATATGCGATGTACAAACAATACAGATTATCAAATTGAATCAATTTAAGACAAAATCTGTGACATGACCTACCTCAAATGTCTCATTGAAGTCATTAACCAAGGAGTATCGAACTTGTCCACCAGCTCCAATGTCTGGGTCCTGAGCCTGCATCCAGGTAATCACAGTCCCCGTTGGCAGGTCCTCTGGTACTCGCGCACTAAAGCTGCTCGGGATGAAGGCTGGGGAGCAGTCATTGATGTCCTCTACTGTTATACGTAGAGTAGTCACTGACGACCTTCGAGTGCCTCTTTCTGCCTTGTCTTTCACTTCAATCTTCAATATGAACATTGGAGTTGATTCTCTGTCCAGCTGGCTGGCCACAAATACACTTCCACTCTCACTGTCAATACCAAACTGAGAGACACTGGTCAGCATTGCGTATGAGAGTTGTCCATTCTGTCCCACATCTCTGTCGAATGCAGTGATTTTAATAATTTCCATGCCAATATCTGAGTTTTCTGGAGCTACAGCAGAGTAGGCATCCTGATCAAACTGGGGATCATTGTCATTTACATCCTCAATTATCACTGTCAATACTCTCCAGTTAGACATTTGAGGAGTGCCCTGATCGTAGATGGTGATATTGAGGAAGTACCGATCCACTTTCTCACGGTCAAGTGGATACAATACAGTCATAATCCCATTCTCCATGTTGATATTAAACCTGGTTTCTCTGTTGCCATCAGAAAAACAAAAGAGAACGCAGCCATTCAAGCCTGTGTCTCCATCTCGTGCACGCACCTGAAACACACTGCTGCCCACAGCCTGGTCTTCTCTCACCATAATGCTTGGAGGTAAGGCCTCAAACTTTGGTGCCTGCTTGTTCACAGAGAAAATGTCTGTGTATCTCTCTTCCAATCTTGATCTAGTCAAAGCGGATGCTTTTGAGAGTACTTTCTCTGCCAGCAACTGAGCTACCCTGGTGTCCTTGCAGGTGAACCCCTTAGGTGGCATTCTACCCCGCACAACTGTTACATTTACAAACGTAGGATCAGAGAACCTCTCTCCATCAGTTGCGACGACTTTCAGGTTGAATGTGGCTCTTTTTAAAGTCTCTGTTCCAAACCTTCTTTTCAAAGACAAAGCCCCTGAGTCTGGATTTAAATTAAAATAACCCAACTCATTCCCTGACAGGATCTTGTACTTTACCATTCCTAGCTCATCAATGTCTATAGCTGACAAGGTGACAATTGTTTGGGTGGCAAGGAGATCACGGCTTATCATTCCCTTGCACGACACTTTCTCAAAGAGAGGCTGGTTGTCATTGATGTTTATCACACGAATAGTGACATTAACCTCACTCTCCCTTCTGTACGGTGAACCCCAGTCAGAGGCGCGTACAGCAAAAAAATAAATATCTTCTGATGACTCAAAATCCAGATCTCTTGTGATCCTCACCTCCCCTGTGTACTGGTCTATAGTAAATGGAAGAGACTGCTCTCCATTAATGGTGTGAGTTACATAACCGTTTTCTCCTTGATCATCATCCACAGCAGACACTACAAGAATTACAGTACCTACAGGTATGCTCTCATTAATCGCAATCTCATAGGATGGCCTGTTGAATACTGGGGAGTTGTCATTTGCATCCACTATGGTAATTTGAACCCTTGCTCGCAACTGACTGATATTATCAACAACCTCCATCTCCATGAAATCCTGTGATATTTGTATCAGTGATCTTGTGCTTGTAACAACTCCAGTAAAAGGATTTATTTCAAAGTATACAGGATCTGAGAGATTGCTGAAGCTATAATTGACACTCAAAGGAGTCGGGGATATTTTCACTACTTCTATAATAGTGCCTGGGGGAGCTATTTCACTTAGCTTGACCATGTAAACATCTCTCTCGAAATTCTGAACTATTTGGTCCGGCTTTCCAACCAACAACTGAAGAACTTGGGTATTAGAAAACTTAGGAGGCACACCTCTGTCTTTAGCCTGAAATGTTAAGTTACAGCCAAAGGGGAATGTGTCCCAGCTCACCATTTCTGATGATTTAACCATGTACTCGTTTCCAACAGGTGAGCGATCAATAACAAACTGCTCCAAAGGGTCACCTTCAATAATTGACACCCATTCTATATCCCCAGAAAGCCCCTCATCTTCATCTTCCACAGTCACTATGGCATACACTGGGTCTTTTTCTGTCAGTGAGGGGACGACAGCGACTGCACTGAGAACAGGAGCAAATTCATTAACCCGCTCCACAGTTACAACTAACCTAGCAGTGCTGCTAATACCATTGTTCCCATAGAGTTTCATTCCTCGGTCTATCACTTGCACCTCCAGCTCAAAACGTTTTTTACTGTCCATCCTTGGTAGACCCGTCAGGGTTATGACCCCACTGGTCGGATGAACAGCAAAGAGTTCTATTCTGTTCTTGAAAAAGTAGTAAAACTCCCCATTGGAATTGATGTCAGCATCTGTTGCTGTTACACATCCTATGCTGGTGCCCACAGGGGCACTTTCAGAAACAACAAATGAATAGAAGGTTGGGGAAAACAGAGGTCGGAGGTCATTCGTGTCCAAAACTTTGATATAAACGGTGGCAAAGGCCTCTAGGCCTCCTTGCGTAGATGCCTTTACTGTAAGAGTGAAGTTGTCTTGTACTTCCCGATTCAATATGGCACCGCTGGCTCCACTTGTAAATATGCGGAGGAAACAAAAATCTCCCAATAGAAAGTCCTCAGCTTGGAAGATGCCTTCGCTGTCACCAGCCTTGATGGAATATTTCAGTTCAAAAGACCAAGGTGGCCTTAGGGTGATACCCATTTTGACTTCACTTCTGATATAGGTTCTTGCAGCAGAGTTCTCAAATATTGAAGCGTCATAGGTAGGCTGGGTGAAAAGAAGCAAGCCTTGTTCTGCCCTGGGTGTGGGCAAGAACTGGGCAATAGTTGAGGGAATCTTAAGTAAGAAGAATGAAACAAAATGGATAAGAGGAGGAAAGCTGAGTAGAGGAAGCATATTTCTCCATGGATTTTGCGTCATCAATATTCCATCGTTCGGTCAACCTATTTGGAAAAATAAATTGACAGAAAAAAAGGACCTGGATTATGTTGTAAAATTTTACAAATGTTGCCGTCACGATTTTGAAAGACAACTCTCGGCAGAAAAGTTGTAAATAAACTAACAGAGAACTGATTATAACCACATAGAACATATAACATCACACACACCAGTGGTTTGTATTCAGACATAAAATACTGCAAAGACTGACATAAAGAATGGTGTGACATTAAGCAGTCGGCAGGTTTTATCTCTGGGAAAAAAAGAACATGTCATCCTGGTAATTTAAGAGCGTTTTGGGACAATTACTGTTGCTGCAAGTCATTCTCCCGGTACAAGTTCTCTCTCCACAAGAGAAAGCTCCTTTGAGTAATCACCCTTCAATTTGGATCTCTTTTAAATGTGGTTGCACAAATAGTTTTCAGAGTAGGCTACTTGTTTTAAAGCAATTGTGTAATTCTAATCCAAAACTGCATCAAGAGCTAAAATGATCTATCTATCTATCTATCTATCTATCTATCTATCTATCTATCTATCTATCTATCTATCTATCTATCTATCTTATATTCCCTTCTTAACTTCATTACAATGCTTTGAAATGTTTGATATGTTACGTATGCAGACATGCATTAAAAGGCACGTTTGCTCAATAATACATAATTAGATAAATGTTACCATGTTGATAATACATTCGAATCCAAAAGTGTGTATTAGATCATAGGTGAACAAGAATCCATCATCTTTATGTGCTGAGACTGTCCCGTCAGATATTAGGGTGCACTTCTCATCTGCCGTGGGTATGTTTAGCTCCAATAAGCTCCCGTTCGTGACAATTCACGAGTTCGTGTCACTTTTAACGACAGTCTCTCGTTTGAGTAACGTCCCTCTACATAACCACACAGATCACCGCAAATTGGAAATTCTCTTACCTTTAGACGAAACAGATTTTGGCTTGTCAGTGAAAGTAAATCCGCTTCCATTCTCTGTATGACTGAAAGCAAAAACAAAACAAAAAACGCTCGAAAGAGACGACGGTAACGCAGAAGCAGTCATTTGTTGCTAAATATCCCGACGGACAGAAGACTACTCGACTGCAGCCATCCCCGTAAAACTATAACAGCTATTGCCCCAGTTTCGTGCACCTTACTACTGACAACGTAGGGCTTCTTGGCCATTTATCAGCAGTATTTAACTCCAAATTGTCTTTCCAGCAGTTATCATTCGTTTGCTCGACTCGTAGAAAACATATTGATACAAAATTGTATCGCAAGTTTAGAAGCGGTCAGTTGACGCTGGTCTGAGAGCACGGTGCGCTCGATGGATGGATGTGGCGGGCAAGCTCCGATCTTTTCCGAGTGTAGCCGACATTACCCGGAAGTGCGGGCAGTGTAACACAGCCTTTACACGGCAGTAGCGGCTTTACATCTCACACGAAAGACTTAGTGGTTTGTCAGAAGTGTGGTCCCCTTTTTAAAACTTTCAGCTTCCACCATGTCTTTTTTATGTTATAATAAAGGATGTGGAGAGCGATTTGATCCCGAAAACAACCCAGACGGTGAGTTGAATAATAGTTTACGATGGCATGTACATTGCCAGAATATTCGCAAGCTAACCTCTGATCATCTGGAAATTTCTACAGTGAGTAGGCCTGTTGGGCCCATGTGTCCTACCTGGGACGCATGGTATGGTCTCAATAACTATTCGGCTTATTGAATTAACACCACTACACCTGGACAGCCTGGCAGTTTATATACATCTTATGCGGGTTAACTTTCAACACGCTGTTGTTAGCATTTTAAGCTCCACCGGTTAGCAAGTTAACCATGTACTTTGCGGTCCCATTGGCTGTACAGCACACAGTTTGACGACCGTTTAACTCTACGTTTGTATTACCTGGGGAATGTCTGTTGTACAATTCACAATAATTGAATGTTAACTTTGTCAAACGGTTAGCGTTATAAGCCAAATCGTTATAAACTTCATTAATGTGCGATAACAATTGTCCTGGGTAGTTCAACGGTTTGGGAATAATTCAACATCCTGTATGAGACGGGGTCCCCAAGCAGCACATGAAAACTCTTAAGACCGTCGTTTTAATGTTGTTTTTATTATTAAAAAGAAGGATTTCAACTAAAGGCTGAAATGAGGATCAAATTGGCTACATCATTGTTATCTTAAGTCAAAAACCTTAAAGTAACTGCAATCTCATGTTTGTCAAACCGCCATAAAACAAGACGAAGAAGAAGAAGAAGAACTGCAATCTCAGGAAAGGGAAATCACTACTTTCAAGCCTACAATTGAATGGATCGTCTGGCCTCATATGGTCAGCCAAACAGCATTTTAGTTATTACACCAGGCAAAATCAGTACATGGGAAATTTAGCACACCATACGATTAAGTAACCTAAAGCCAAAGCTAAAAGTAATTATTCTGACTGGTGTTATCGGGCTTTCACATGATTGGAGATGATTCTTTATGATGCCAGTGTTATTCACTGAGGATTGTCAGTATTTCTTTGTAAAAGCTCTCCTATGATTCCATCCCAGCATTTGTTTCAGGTTGAGGTCTTGACCTTGACTGGGACACTGCAACACCTTAATTATTTTATTTGTCAGCCATTGAGCCGCAGACGTGTTTGCTGTATTTATAAATTTTTTGTACCTTTTGTTTTTCAGGGCATTTTTACAATTGCACTCTAAAGTATTTGCAACAATCTCACATCTCAGAGGGTTTAAATGCACAAAAAGATGCTATAGGAGATTTTTCAAGTATCGCTGTTTGACACTCTTGATATCTGATGAAAATGTCCTGAAAATAGAAGAGGCCATTTTTGTCTCGCTCTATGTTTGTTTGTTTATTATAAATTGAATAAGGCGATTGTCAAAATTGATGTTCAAAATGCACGTCCTATAATTGAACAAATCCACTTAAAAGTTGTGTGTGTGTGGATAAGATCATGGTCAAGATAAATGACTTCTTAATTCTAATTTTTCTTATTCAAGTGTAGTTATATGACACCTTTGTTTGTGTAAAGGAAATGTAATTGAACTGTCAAGATGTGGATCCAGTCTTCAGTTCCTGAGACAGAACTCCAGAGTCCTCTTATTGCCATTCTTTAGAATCTACTGCCCCTGTCCTCTGGTAATCCAACATTGTGTATGGGCAGACATTTGAAGCTGGAGTCAAATCTAATTTACATTTTAATAGAATGCCCCTTTTTCATAACAGTAGAGTATATTGTAATTACCTTTAGGGATATCTAAGTGGTGTATCTATGGCGGTGGCACGGAAAAGGTGTAACACATGCTGCACTGCACAAAAAATAATTTATGACCCACTGCGTCCACCAGCCTTTTTCATATATTCATTCCTTGATTATTTGTAGACAAACCACTTTTTCAAAGTACACAAAATATTCAAATACTTATTTACGGGACAGCAAAAGACAGATTTTCACATCAGTCCACATCCATCTCGAAAACGTACCGGGGTGACGATACACGATAGATTGACTATGAAATGAGTATAAAAACAAAGGCAGCCTTCATCTTCGCAAGTAGTTTTTTTATCAGAGGATGTTTGATGTCCCTATTTGACATTGCTGAATCCAGTCCTCTGAGAGCTGTCCCACACACGTAGGGGTCATGAATCTGGACTTGACTGGTTTGGTTTGTTACTTTAAGCTGAGAGGTATGGTTCAGGTCCAGTCGTTTCTCTTATTAATATTCAAAAAGATTCCTCAATAAAGAGCAAGTTGCTGCTGTAAAACTACATTCATCCTTAATGATATTTTGTATTCTCTGTTCCATAGATGGCTGCACGTATCACCCAGGAGTCCCAGTATTCCACGATGCCTTGAAGGTAACGCGCCTGGAAATGCACAGGTATATTTTACTCTTTGTTCTGCTCAAAGTTTATGTCTCTGTACCTTCATTTCAGGGATGGTCCTGCTGCAAGAGGAGAACTACTGACTTTTCCGACTTCCTCAGCATTGCTGTAAGTTTTCCTGCCTCTGCCTTCATTTCCCCCCGGTCATGTCTCCATTGTCTGTTGTTTCGTAGGTATTGACTGTCAGCATTTCTCTGGCTAGTTAGCCAGATCCATTTAACTTTTCAGAGGCCAACACACTGACTCTCTTCTCACAGGGCTGCACTAAAGGTCCACACAACAAAGAGAAGCCCCCTGAGCCAGTAAAACCAGATGTGACTTCATCGGGACAAAAGAAAGAGTTAGATGACCAAAAACCAAAGTTTAATGAGTACATAATATCTGCACCAAAACCTCAAGAGGCCATATGCAGACCAAGGTTAGTCCCAGCCAAGCTTTTAAACAAGTTAAAAGAAGTAGAGGTAGTTTTTATAATGACAAAAAAGATTTCACTGGTAGACAAAATGTATACTTCAAAAGTTTGGAAATGGTTTCTGCATTGCAGTTTACAATTTTGCTGGCCTTTAAACATGCCTTTTGTATGTTTTTTTTTACAAGGTCTTTTAAAGACATTTGTGCTTGGATTTATCAACGTACAACTTGAATCATTTCAATGTTTTAAAGCATGCCTTTTCGTGTCCTGATGTGTTTCTGACCCTCTCAGTGCGGATGAGCCGGTGGTAAGGCTGCAGCATAAAGTGTCTGCCTCGCTAAGGCAGGCCCTGGAGAAGCTGAAACTATCTGAAAATGCAAAGGAGAAGGAAGGTCAGTTCCCTCTTCTTTTCTCTTTTTTCTTTTTTTTTTACTAGAGGTTGTTTTTTGTTTTTCTTTGTGTGTGAGTTTTTTCATCGTTTTAAACCCCAGATGCAATCCAGTGCTTGTTCTAATTGACAGGGAGGTCAAGTTGTCAGAAAAGCTTGATTTCCACCGAGAATTTGCCATCAACTGTGTCAGTCGCATCATGGTAGTTGAGTTGAAGCTGACGGGTTGCATCACAATGCCGATGCATTTTTAATTATCTTAACGGGCAACATTTCTTCTTCTTCTTCTTCTCCTTCGGCTTGTTTAATTTTGTTTAGAGGAAGATGAAAACGTGATCAAAATTGGAACGTCATGTAAAAATGGAGGATGCACAAAAGTGAGTACCACGTGGAAATATATGAAAAATAACAATACATGACTGCTGTGATTTCATAGCAAGACAAAGGCAACACATTTGTATCATCCAGGTTGATTCTTTAAGATAAAAAATTCAAAGGATGAGGGTGTTTCCTTTTTTCTCATTAGCTGCCAGGTGTTTGTTTACTTGACAACTGTCCTGTTGGAGTCCGAAATATCGTTTTAGGTGGTGTTGTTTTTATTACCTCTGTAAAAGAAATACAGTATTGATCAACTTCATGTTTTTGACTTTCTAATCTGCAGCATTAACAGTAGGACTGAATCAACAAACACAGTTCTGTGACAGCGTTCAGGGAATTTCTAGTTGAGCAGAAGGCTTATTCCCCGGCTGTTTGTCCTTTTCTCTCACAAAAGAAACCCATCTTCAGGCATTGAAACTCCTTTTTTCCCTCCTTAGACTTTTGAAGGACCTTCAAGTGACTCAGATGTCTGCATGTACCACTCTGGATGTCCCATTTTCCATGAAGGGTTAGTATAGTTACTTTCTGGGCTTTCCTTTATTTCATACTTGCTATTGATGTGTAACAGTGAGCATTCTTTTGCAATCACCTCGGAATATAGAAGAGCACCATTAGAGTGTTTCCCTCCCTTTGACTGGCAGCACTGTTTACTGTTGACTGACAAGTTGTCTGCTAAAAATTCAGCAGGTGTTAATGCCTCTTGTGTCTCCAGGATGAAGTATTGGAGCTGCTGTAAGAGGAAAACCTCAGACTTCAACACCTTCCTCTCTCAAGAGGGTTGCTCTAAAGGGGCTCATCTATGGAGAAAAAAGGATGAGGTACGTGTGCCAGCTTCTGACGAGACCCCTGACCGGTACGCCATCTAGTGGTGTCTGCAAAGCACGCTGCTCCGTGGAGGCGGAGCTCTGAACACAGTCTCTTTGCAGGGAAATAAAGTGGTCCCCTGTCGGTTTGACTGGCACCAGACCGGGACACAGGTCATCATCTCTATTTATGCCAAAAACGCCGTCCCAGAGCTGAGCTACGTGGATGCCAACAGCACCAGGGTGAGAGATGCTGTAGTCTGTTCAAAGCTGTACCTCTGAGTCCTGAGTTGTGGTCCTTTTTCATATAATGTAATGTCTTTCCTGTCTCCCTTCAGCTCAGCATCCATGTTGTATTTGAGGAAGAGAAGAAATTTGAGCAGAATGTCAGCTTGTGGGGCGTAAGGATATTTTTTGGTTTATGTAAAAAAAAAAGTTTTTGTTAATGGTGGTCTTTTCTGATTCCTATCATCTGTTTGAACCGGCTGCTCTTTTTTTCCTTGTGTTTGTAGGTGATAGATGTGACCAAAAGTATTGTGAACATGATGGCAGCAAAGATTGAGATAGCCATGAAAAAGTCCGAGCCAATGTCCTGGGCCCGCCTGGACCTTCCTCCTCCTGTCGCCCCGCCCAAAGAGAGTGAGAAGAAGAAGGAAGAATCTGATAGTGAGGATGAAGATGAATGATTAGCATGAAAGATAATGACGTAGCTTGTATTTCTAGTTGAATCACACTCTGGGTTCTTCCCCTCTTTGAAGAGTTGCCTCTTTCTCTCTTTGACATTCAGAATTTTCCCTGTCATTCTTTACTCTCTCAGCAGGGTGCTCCAGTTTGACACTTTGTTTTTCAACTGTATTTAATTTTTTTTCAATACTTCCAAAAAAGTACAATATTTTTTAATCACAAACAAGGAAGACATAAACTTTCATGACTTGAGTCAAGTCAGTGACAGCTTGCATGTTAATTTGCACTTTAACTTGCCTGGGAAATGAGCTCATATGGTTTGACTACGCTTACACTCAGATCAAATGTTAGCTGTTAGCATCGAGTTGTAATTGGCCAGAATTTTGACCCATGTTTCAGTGATGTTGGCTAAAAGATGATTCCATTTGTACATTTCCATTGTTTCCTACTCAACATGTTTGAAGTGTCATACGTCCAGTTGTCTGTTGACTTTTCATTCCATGTTTCAGGTTCGTGAATAATGCAAATTGTTGGAATATTTTGCCCATCCATACCGCGAACTAAATATCATACATTTTAAATCTATTCCTGTCTGTGTGGTGGAGCTGCTCTTTGTCGTTTTAGTTGGACATGTGAAACTCAGAAGCATCCATTTGTTTTATAATGAACTGATATTGACTTCACGTAAGGAAACAGGGCATCAGTGAGTTAAAATGTAAGGGTTGGCAGGCTTTTCTCAAAGTTGTTTTTACATCATATTTAACATGTTTTGTACACTTTCAAATACAGCAATTATCTCTCTGTTTCTTGCCAAAACAACATATCCTGGTTATATTAAGAATGTACTGTAATATCTAAGAATGCCCACTGAATACTGAGTATTTTGAGCAAAGTACTGTAATACTGAAGTGATATTCTAGACAGCATGTGTCTAGTCTTAGAATTTAAGACATTAATTTGGGTTAATGAGACCAGAACAGAGGGGGGGATTTATTAAGGAAAGAGTTTCTCTCACCAGAAAATAAACTTTTGTGATGAAATTTTTAAAACTGGAACACTGTTTACTGGCAACAAAACTGTGAGGAACATGCATTATTTATTGGAATCCTGAGAAACGAAACACAGCATGAATTCAAGTATGTTTGAACATTAAAGTCAAAATTCCAAAACGCTTCCACTCAAAGGGCTTCTGTGAATTGTAGCAATGTTTGTAGGTTTAGAATACTGAAGTCTGAATCCATTAAGACTATAGAGCTTTAAGCTGAGAGGTTTTTAATTCCTGACAGAACCATCTCAAATAGTAATGACAACGTGTTTCATACCTGTCTAAAAACACCCAGTTCTGTAAACCGTTTTGAACAGCTCAGTGACTGCATTGCAGTAAGATTGTCACTTGTTTGTAATAAACTCTCTCACTACAGGATACTAATTTTCAGGGTTATCAAGAGAAACCACAAACTTGTTGAAAATTCATAACCAAATCCCAAACGGCCCATCTCTAAAATAACCTGGATCGAATTCAGCGTGAGTAACTTTCCTAATACCTGATGTGCCCCTTTCCTTTTGCCAGTGTTCCTCATACAGTTATGTACCTCATTTGAGACATTTCACACACAATGTGAGTGTGGATTACAGCTCCATGACACTCAGACCTGTATCTCTCTCCCTCAGATAGTTGTTTGGTAGTTCCGGTGGTGGCTTTCCTCTGTCTCACTGCTCCTGATAAGTGGCTGTCTCTCCGGAAGAGAGAGTGCATTTCTCCAGCTCTTCCCGTGCGCCCAGGACGAGCCTCCGTATCGCCGTTTGGCAGTGAGGAAAGCGGCGGCCATGGTTATTGCTATAATTCCTCCGCACATCCCCACAAGCAGCAGCCAGGGCCACACGTCCCGCAGCTCCTCCAGATAGGGACGCATGGATTCTGCAAGCCTCTGGTCTGTAAGGAATACACATGTGGTCAGAGCTTGACCGAAAAATCCTTTCTTAGAAAAATTACAGTCTGTATCTGTTTATGGCAAGACTGTTTATTCATGTTTAGTGGGAGGAAAAAGAGACAGCAAAAGGCGAGAGAGGTGCTTGATTTCCTCAGAGTCGCATACAACTTACTGGCATCCAGCAAGTAGGAATACTCGTATCCAAGGTCTTTGCTTGAAATAAAGTACTCCCTGTTCCTGTGGAGGGGAAGGAATGGCACCATGTAGTAATCACTGTTGTGCCCTATGGGAGCATTAGACTCTGGGTACTGGGACGGAGATGGCCGATGCCTCCTGAGCCACTGCTCATAAATACTGCCATAAAGAAAGAGGGAAGGCATTAATATTAAGTGCCAGTGTTACCAATTTGTAAAACGCTTGCTGGTCATCCCTCACCTGTCAACAAAAGCATGGTGGAGGAGAAATATGGGGTCGTTTGCCGAGCCTTGCACAGAGGACATGGATCCGTTCATGAATACGTGAAGAGCAGCGTGCATACCCAAACGAGAGCTGCTCCCCAGGCCAGTCCGGGGGTCCCCGAATCCTGCAAGATGAAAACCTCCTCTGCAGATCTGATATCTGTCATCTAATGGGACATTTCTACAATAATATCCAGACAATATATGTCTCATTATAATTTTTATTTCCTGGGTAGAATTAAATGCTGTGGAAGTTAAGCTGTTAAACATTTAAGCATAATATACCGGAAACAAAATTAATGGACTTTATTCTGTTTATTATCATTTACTGTTACTCTAGACTATGTGTATTTTTTTTAGGAAGACAGAAAGTGTGATTATAGTCATCCCTGATTAAAATAATATAAATATAATATGCATAAAAAGCTACATCGGAAATAATTTCGAGAATCTGGGTTGAAAACACTCAGACTTCTTTGGTTTGAACCTGTTCAGTTCCCTAATGTGTTTTATCTTATATAGGATTAAGGAGATTCCTCCATTCCATCTCTGTGCCGTGCCAGGTTCGTTTGAATTTATGTTGGGGCCAATGGGGAGAAGTGTCACATATATACCTGAAATCCACCATCATGTGAGCTATTAGGAATGTTAGGGTCACAGAGGGCCCGGTTATCCACTCAAGCATCACGTTGACCGCAAGCTTTCAGGAATGAAGTTAAAAGCAGTGGTGAAACCGCCTGAGGCTACTATCTCTGTGAAATGAAAGATCATCTCAGTTTACCAAAGACAGCCTGCCTCACACTTCTCAGACCAAATGAGCATTTTACTGTTCTCAGGGAGGGTCTGTTGTAGGCCTGAGGAGTCTTGAGGTGACTCCTTGTGTGGTTCCTCTGTATCAAATCTCCTCAGCAGGGAATTCTGTGGATGACCGACTGCACTGACTGTGCAAATGCATCTGTTTGTGTGCCACAAGGACTTAAATGCAGCACACTCCACTGTCCAGGAAGACTGTGAGTCTACACAGACAATGCATTGTGTTCATTTTCAGCCAATTCTCCACAGAAAAAATACATTTGGTACATGAATGTGTCATTCAGCTCTGGCGTGGCACATAGATTTTTGCAGATTTTTTAGTCCTGACCCCTGATAGCATCAACCCTGAAATTGAATAATGCTTATCTAAACAGCAACTGCAATTGATCAGAGCGGATGTTAAGATCGGAGTGCAGAAACATCATAAACAACCAGCAGAGGAGCGTGTATACAGGCCCCGGTCAGAGAGAATATGAGAACACCACAGAGTAACAGGGCGGACTGGTAAATCACACTGCCTGTCGGGGCATTCGTGTTCGGACTTATCTGACCTTCCAGAGTGTTCCTGAAGCTCATGTTGGCACTACGGTCCAGCGCTCCACTGTCATAGTTGGGCAGACTGAGAGTGAACTCCACCTCTGCAGAGGTGGGTAATCTTTCCACCAAATTACGGTCGTGGTTTCCAGGGTTACGGCGCACGGGGCCTTCATCGCTGGCATCACATAACACACCTCTGGCATTGTAGTCCTCAGCCTGGGAGCACAAGACCTACAGACAGATAGAGAAAGCCCCAGAGAACATTACCGTAATGACCTGAAAAACTGCTGGTGGTGAGTAGATTAAGTGGTTGCCATCAGTTCACATACTGTATGAATGTATGCTCTCTGTAAAAGCACGTTTGAAAGTCTCTTTTTTAATGACGCTTATAGAAAGGAAATAGTTGTCATTTTTATTTGTGAAGCAGAAAGAATGTGGGCTTTCAGAAAAACTAAAATCTTTGAAAATATACTTTCAGTGGAAACTTAGGGGTATTACCCGGTATATTTTCTGATGTTTATGCTGTTATTACATGTTCATGCTTAAAGAATTATTTCCAGTAATTTTACAAAGGCATTGAACGTCTTCAGTGGAAGACAAAATGGGATAGAACAGGGTGATATTCCACTGTGTGGCGCTCAATTGTTTGGGAGCTAATAAAGAGGGTAAATTACTCTTGGAAAGCATCTAATTCATGGGGACTTTTCATTAATATTTTAGTTTACAGCAGACATTCAAAACCAAAATGCTGCCAAATGTGCTATAAACCAAATAGACGAGCTCAAAAGTTACAATAACCTGTGTATCAGGGGAGCCAACTTGTGGAAATGGTTCACTAAAAACAAGTAAATTTATTTGTTCATCTTAGAATTACATTTGTATGGCAAAAATGACAAATGAGTTACTTTACGCTTTCTTTGACCCTCATCTTACAGTAAACAACATTTTTATTGATTTGTTTGACGCATTTACCCTCCAGGAGGCGAAGACGGAGCCCGGGCTGATGAGACTGGGATCCCGGGCGCTCCGGCCCCCCATCAACTCATCCGTGCACACGTCGCAGTCCCGGGCATCCCTCCAGTCCCAGTAAGGGATGGAGAAGCTCGTGTCTCCGGTCAGCTTCCTGATCTCGCGCTCCCAGTGCAGCAGGTAGACGCGGTGCCAGGGGAGGAACGCGGGGGCCCAGTGCGCAAAGTCCACGTCGGGCCACACGTTCCCCGGCCCCCCGAGCAGCGCGCTCCGCGACACGTAGTAGTGCATCCACACGAAGATGTCGTACACAGACACGTCTGCAAACATGGGCCGGGTGCCGTTCTCCATCTCCCTGTAGGTCCCGGTCACCACCACGTAGTCCCTGCTGGTGGTCAGCTTGGCCAGGTTGAGGTAGGACACCAGCCTGCTCCTCTCGGCTCTGGTCAGGTGGAACACGTTCCTCCTGAGGGACTCTCTCCTCTCGTTGCAGTTCACTCCGAAATAGCCGAACCTACACTCCGCGCAGTTGAAACCCATGAAATTTCCTGCGCAATGGCACGTCCGGTTGTAGAAAACCAGGGGCCACTTCTCTCGATCGTCCAAACCAGAGAAGGGGTACTGCGCTCCGTCTGGTTGTTCCGAGACCTCGACGTCCTCACAGGAGCCCCGGCCCGAGCGGGCCCCGCAGGCCGAGCCGTCCCCTTCCCACGGAGGGCAGCACTCCTTCCTCCTCAGGGCGTCCTGGGTTGCGCACAGCCGTGGGAACTGTTGGTGAGTGGGCACCGAGCACAGCAGGAGGCCGAGGACTCCCAAAGGCCACATCGCAGCAGTGAGGGTTTATTTTTTGTGGTGGCAGTCGCTGAGAAATGAACTGAAGAAACAGAAAAAGTGAAAAAAAAGTGGGGATTTGTAACGTATTCTTGGCTTAAATTCCAATCCCTCCTCCACTCTCACCCCCTTTTTTTTTGAGGCAGTCACATGCCACAAAACCCTCTGGCTTATTCCTCATGAGGGTTACAACATGCCTGAGAGCACACATCCTAACACTCCAGTCAACCCCAACAAAAGAAGTAGACTAAAAAGAAGTATTTTATGGTGTTTATTTCTCCCCTAATGAATGTATAGTTGCTTTTGATTAGGACAAAACTGGCAACTGGCTTCATTTTGGACATATTTAGTCATTCGCTAAAGTTGAATTTTAGTAGGGTTACACTTTTGCCAGATAAATGGCACAAAAACAATTATAGGATGACTTGCACCATGTCAGAAATGGACCACAGAAAAAAATAAACATGGCTGAAATGGACCCCCACAGAGTGGATGATATATGATTGTACTTTATGTTGAGTTTTTCATTGTAACATGAAGTTGTTGAAAGCAAATCTCACAGGTTGCCCTCAACCCTCTGTATTTACAAACTCTAGCAGGCTTGTGAAAGATAATCCCCATATGAATTTATTAAAGACTTACTAAACATCCTTACAGGATACAGTTTCTTTTACAACCATTGGCCCTTTGTTCTATGACCCAATGTATGTCGTTTACTCTGCGCAAAAGAGCAGGGGCTTTCAACAAGGTATGAGGAGCAGCTGATGAGCACAACATTGCTTCTGGCAGTGGTTTTCTCGAAAATGCTTTCCCAGATTTAAATCTCTGATGGCTTCATTCATGCTGCTGCTCTCTCACATGACTTGCTTCACTCACACTGCTTCACTCTGTACACCCAGACCTTTGTCTCTGCTAGTCTGATGTGCAGGAAATTCATTGTGACGTCCATGACAGCAACTGTACTGACACTAGATGGCACCGTTTAGCTTGGAATGAATTTCTTGAGGTCTACATTATCTGCGGAACTGAAAAATATGCTGAACCTTAATTTTTAAACTTAAAAATACTTTTAAGAACTTTAATTACAAACCACAACAATGGTCTTCCTACAACAATCTACAGATACAATTAAAAGGCAAATTGATGTTAATTTGTTGATGGATAACTATGTCCTAGCTTTGTGATTTGTGAGGTTTTAATGACAAACAAAGCAGTGGACTGTGTAGTGGATTTCATCTAAGAGCAGACTTGACAGACATATATTGCATTTGGACATCAAACCTCTTGGTCCAAGTCATGGTGACCTGAGGCAGGGGAGTGAAAGCTGGGTAGTAGAAAAACTCCCCTCGTGTCTTTTATTGCAGATAGCTCAATTTTCTATTCAGCTCTTTTCAATTTCAGGCTCTTTTATCGTTGATGACAATAAGAAGCTTAATATGGAGCAGTGAAGCTTCATGCTGAGAGGGTAAAAGTTTTTTTTCCCTTTTCCCTGCAGATGGAGACACAGGGTCAATGTGACCTGGAGCACAGGAGGGTCAGCCTAAAAGTAACGCATGGTCAAAGTAGAAAATATGCTGTTATTTTTTATTTTTTAAATGTATTTTTTTTACAAGAACTTTGAAAATCAAACATGACATTTTTAAAAGACCCCATTTTTAAAGCTGAAGACACAACAGAATATTTTATGGACTGCTAATGATGGAACCTTTGGGCAATATTTTAAGAACATTCCCTGAGGGGTTCAGGATTGTTCGGTGCACCTTCTGGCGAATGTTCGCTCATAGTTATTCTGGTATATGTGTTTGTCATATCAGAAAAAGTTCCAAGATTACGCCTGGAGGTTTGTAGGCTTCTTAGTTATTATTAGTACCGATACCTTTATACCTTCACAGTCTCCTAATTTTTCTCAAACGTTTCTAGAAAATAACTCAAGGGATTTTGTGCTTGAACATTATCTGAGATTTCCTTTAGTTCATAACGGCCATAAAAGACAAAAAATGGATGAAGAAAAAGAGAATTCTTACTTTTAAAGAAATCTTTAAAACTAAAACATGTTATTGCAATTGACAAAAAGAACCCTCCGATGTCCTTGTGGAGTTTATTCATTAAAAAGGTTGTAGAACCTCAAGTAACCTCATGGATGTCAACAACAAAGAGTTAAATGAAAATCTCAGTAAATGTTCATTGCATCTTACATCAGTCTTTGTTTTTTTAAAACTGTAACCTTCCCACAGTATATGAGAAATGTTCTCTGAAGGTTTAGACTTGAGTTGTGGTTCATTTAGAAATCTCTGCGGCTTTATTGATCAGTTTGGGTGTGTTACTTGCAGCATGAAAGATGAGGATTGTGGGCCATTGGTTCCATTTAAGACATCTTAAAAACAAAGGATGATCACACTTTGCCCCCGCTAAACTGTCAGCTCCTTATTATCATGCGTCTGAGTAATGATCAACTCGGAGATTTCCACCCCCCGCGGGAGCTGATGCTTTTCACTGTTATGGAGGAGGAGGAAGAGGAGGAGAGGGAGGGGGGAAGGAGGGGGGCTGTCTTGTGCGTCAGTAAGTCAAACATGTTCCAATAACGGGCTGTATTACTGTATCTGCTGCTATTTGCAGTTTGCTGTAGCCAGGCACCAGACAGAGCCCGGGAAAAAAAAACCTCCAGCAGCATCTCGTACAGCTCCTCTATTATGGAAACGTTCTCAGCAGGACTGACATCTGCATGGCAGCAGGAAGACAAAAAGGTAGGCAGAAAGTTGGCTGGGAGGTCATCCTGTCTGGTTTTCTTTGGTTTTCAATAGGTTTTTCTGTACCTCTTTGCACCATGCGGCTACATTTATGTGTTGGTTTACATCTTATCCGTCTTTTTTCTTCAGGAGGTTAACTCTCGCCCTTAACACTAAACTCATCATGCCCAGCAGAACACATTCATCTGAACCTCAGCTTTAACAGGACAGAGGATGGCAGGAAGTGTAAGGAGAAGCGCAGGGTTAGGGACAAAGTTATGTCTGAGGCTGTTTGCGGCTGCCCTGTTGCTGCAAGCTGAACTGGGCTGGCTTGGTTTAAAAGACCAGGTTGGGGTCAGTGCCCAGAACAGCGAGAGGAGAGTATTGGCACACATCCCCGGTGACATCATCATAGGAGCTCTGTTCTCTGTCCACCACCAACCACCTGCAGACAAGGTACCCGTTTTGTGTGAATGCGCGTGTGCCGATCTTGTAACTGCGATGTAAATGTTGGCGTCTCATTTGTTGTTCCGCCGAATTCAGGTTCACGAACGAAAGTGTGGTGCTGTGCGCGAGCAGTATGGCATCCAGAGAGTGGAAGCGATGATGCACACGTTGGATCGGATTAATGCAGACAGCACCATCCTTCCCAACATCACGCTGGGCTGTGAGATCAGGTCAGCAACCTGTCACAACACAGCAAGTTGTCGGTGGCTTTTTACTGGTGCACCACCAGGGAGGTGTTCACTATGTGTTCACACTTTGACGAATTAGATAGAAAGGGAGCACGGGCTCAACGCTTTGATTTCACCTGTTTGTCACTGGCATTACAAAGTTATTGTAACATGAAGATAGGTTTAATAAGTTCGACACGCCTTACCAAAGTTTTTGGTTGAAATAAGACATAATAGAGGATTTGGTGGTATCCAATTTTACATTAAACTCATGCCATTCTAATAGTATTTTAGACTTTACTATTTAGTCAGGAGACTAAATAATTTGCAAATATATATATGTACATATGTGTATATTTATGTGTGTCCTCACCCACGCTGCTCTTATTTCTGCAAATCCATTGTGATGGTGATTTTTCCACACCAGGGACTCCTGCTGGCACTCGGCCGTGGCACTGGAGCAGAGTATTGAATTTATTCGGGACACACTGGTTTCCAGTGATGAGGAGGAGAGTCAGGGCAGATGCACTGCAGAGGGAGGCACCATGGTGCTTCAGGGGAAAAAACCCATCGTGGGACTGATAGGACCAGGGTCCAGTTCTGTGGCCATCCAAGTGCAAAATCTTCTCCAACTCTTTAACATCCCTCAGATAGCATACTCAGCCACCAGCATGGATCTGAGTGACAAGGTAGGGCGAGTTCAATCCATTTTCAATCCAATGCATTTATAAGAGGTGCACTTGCAAGCTGCTAGACCACTGTGCTATCATATTGAACATGCCAAATTTGTTGCCTGTCTTGAGAAAATCTAATTCCCTGTCACCAGAGCTTGTTTAAATACTTTATGAGGGTGGTGCCATCAGACATGCAACAGGCCAGAGCCATGGTGGATATTATCAAGAGGTACAACTGGAGCTATGTGTCTGCTATTCACACCGAGGGTAAGGTTGTATAAGCATGTGCATCACTTTCTATTTCAATTAATTGCGATCCTATAAGCCAATTAAGTATTTAAAAACAATGAAACAAATTTGGGTGAGATGAAAAGAACAAAAGAAATACAACTTTTGGTTTATTTTCAGGGCAAAAGTTTACAGCTGTTAACACTTGCTGCTTTTGGTACCAATAATTTCCATTTTGAATTTGACGGTGAATTATAGTCCGGTTACAAACCCTAACCCCAAAACAGGTTTATATTTCTTGCAACAGTCCAACGCATTTGTATGACCAAAGTTTATGACCCAGTAAATAATAACAATTTTGAGAGTGTACATTGGCAACAACAGAAACTAGGTGACCCAATTTCTATCCAAAAAAGGGAACTATTACCCTCAACAGTTCCCATAACAGGGACAAATTAACGAGATGCTCAAGTGCTGTGCTGGCATTATATCGCCACTTGTTGAATGCATTTGGTCCATACATATGGACATAAAGAAAGTTTTTTTGCAGAGGAGTTGATGTGTGAATCATTGGCTGATTGATTTCATGGATTTCATCGATAAGTTAAAACAGAAAATCAGGTGGTGAAATTCCAACACACAAAAAAGCATAAATCGTTTAAAAATCATCATGAGAAATGTGCCCAGTCTTCCAATCGGTTAGCTTTAATTTAGTAACAAACACCTGATTTTGCATTCATGTGAATTTTGGCTCTTCCGTAGGTAATTATGGAGAGAGCGGCATGGAGGCGTTTAAAGACATGGCAGCGAAAGAAGGGATCTGCATTGCCCACTCAGATAAGATATACAGCAATGCTGGGGAACAGGGCTTTGACAAACTATTGCAAAAACTCAGAGGCCATTTGCCCAAAGCGAGAGTGGTGGCCTGCTTCTGTGAGGGAATGACTGTCCGAGGCATTCTGATGGCCATGAGACGACAGCGCCTGGTGGGAGAATTTCTTCTGGTTGGAAGGTGAGTGGCGACTGCTGCTTACAAAACATGACGGTGGGGGCTTTTTCTTCTTTGTATATCTGGAGGCTAAATGAGGTGACAAAAAAAATTAAAGAGAATTCTCATTCTAATGCGCTACTATCTTATCAAGACTTTCTTCAGATGTCCATCCTCATCTTCAGATGTCAGATTATTTGTTGTCCCTGAAACCATCTTTGTCCTCTCATCATCATCCTTATCATCACCATCACTGCATCTGTCAACTTCAGGGTGGCCTGTGTGCCTGAAGGTATTTCCATATTATTTCTTACACTAATTGATCTTCTTTAGTGTCAAATGAGTTAAACATGGTGCTCTTTTTCTTCAATAAATTTGTACTTCAAGTGTACCCCAACTTATTGCTAAATGCTACTATAATGGGTTTTTTAATATTGAACCATTTGCAGTTTGTAGGAATACTGTGTCTTTAAATGTGCTGCATTTTCTGTCACCCATAAAATATGAAAATATTAAAAATCAATCCCAATCTAATTTTTTCTATTCTAGTTAAGAGAAATATTATCTGTTCAGATTTACCATGTCATTCATAGGTCCAGCTGTGGACTATTTAAGCTGATAAGCTATTAATGGTACAACTAAAAATGCAGGAGAAAACATAAACGATTAAACTGATAGGGGACAAAAACAAGCAGAAAAGAGGGGGTTGATCTAGCATGAGATTTTACTCTCTCCGAGAATAACGTGTTTTATTTTAAGGTTCACTCTCTGGCTCAGTCTCGTCCCTGGTGTTCTATAAATGCCTTTCCTCATTAGGAGCCACATATGTAGGCTGTCGCTCAAATCTGACAGCAGGAAACATAAGATAACCTTGAACTACATAAAGCAAAGCGCAATACTTCATGAGCTCTTCAAGAATGCGTGCAGGTCCTTTGTTTTTATGCTATTGTCTCATTAGTGGCGATGCTTGTTTAGATGGTTCAGGTTTCTTTTCACTAGATTAAAAAAGCAAATTGAGGTGGAGACTTTGATTCGTCGCTGTTACCCTCAGTCTTTTAATTTGGAAAAGAGCAATGGGCATCAGAGCCTGTGGTCGGTGTTAGTTCAAACGCACCTTCATTTCTGTAAGTGAATCTTTGGAATTTTTATTTGACTTTTAACTTTCATTTTGACATAAATTTCTCTGCAAATTAACTGATAACATCAATTGTGGTTTGGATGTCCACCCACTAAGATTCACTCTATTTGATAAAAAGAAAAATCTTTTAACAGTGACCAATCATCAAGGCCAACTGGATTAGCTGTTGCTCAAAGAATGGGAGATTTATAGAAGAATTTTGAAATATTTCAATGCCTCTTATCCCAGACCAGCGTAAAATTTTGAAAACACCAACACAAAAAAGATTTTTAACTCCTGTCCTGTAGGAACAAATAAATACATTTCCACTGATGTTGTTTAATCTGCTGTCATAATCATCCACTGTTGTTCTCTCCAGTATCTTCTGGTAACCTTAATTTCCTGAGGGAGTCTTCCCAAGGGATCAATAAAGTTCAGTCTAAGTCTAAGTCTAAGTCTAAGTCTACCAAGCCCTGTGTAACATGGCTGGAGCATATGCTGCATCCATTTCAGCCCACTTCCAGGTGGCCTCTTTTGTGAATGTGTCATACTGGGCAACCTTTGCAGAAAGCAATCGTTTTGATAAGACCTATAGGCATCTGGGCTGGAGGAGGTTATTGACAAGCACTGACAATGCTGATTCCATCTCTTTTCCTGCAGCACCACCATCAGGTTGAGTCATGTGGTTTACCAACAATTGTCTACTTTTGTGTGATGGATTCGTACTGTGACACACACAGTCGCTTCACAAAGTGCCCCTATTGACCACTTGGAAGTTTTTGTGTCAGTAAAGCAGCATGATCCCCCACTGGCTTCTGTCCCGTAAATGTTGCCATTAGAGCAGAAATACAGCAACTAAGTTTGCTCAGGTGGTCAAAGACTGCTCTCACGGATTCACTTTTTCTCACTTTGGCGAACAAACTTTGTCTTTTTTTGTCATGTCTTGTCGAGTTTTGAGTGGAACTGGACGCCATTATTGGTTGTAGCTTCTTTTTTCAAAATCTATTTATAATGTTTACTCGGAAAACAGCTGGCTGGGAAAGTTGACAAGTTTCTAAGCCAAATCAGACCATTACGTGTGTATGTGTGCAAAGTTTTGTGTTCACTTGAGTGTGTGTGTCAGTGTTAGTAACACATTTGTACACTTATGTGTGTCCTCAGGCACGTAGGTGGTGTAGCAGCGTGCTGCATGCAGCATATTGCCCTCCCAGGTCGGTGTGTGGGTTTCAGAAAGCTTGCTGAAGAGTGATTCAAACTATCCAGAGTCAAAGCCCTCCATGCTTTCATATCCATTCCATCCTTTTTTTTATGCCAGCATACCATTTCTGTGCTCGCATCTCTAAGGATGTGTTATGAAATGATCTCCTGCCTCACCAGAATCAGGCATTTTAAAACACCCACACAACTGTTGTATAACTCCAGCTTGGTCAGAGAAGTTTTCAAAAATCGCTTTTTTTATCTTTTTTTTTTGTCGAAGTCTGTTAGAAGTAGTTTGAGGAGAATGGTGTTCTTTGTCTCAGAGAGGTGTTTTTTTTTTTTTTTTTTTTTACATGTATGCACATGTGTGTGGAGGAGTAACCACCTTCTGTCTCTGTCAGTGGTAGACATATCCAGATGGAGATAATAATAGATAGAGTGGAAATATCTTCACTGAAACAACTCACTGATTAAATCACCTCCAAACTGCAATGTTATGCTTTTGTAATTGGTTTTCTTTTAAATATGAGTAAATTAAATGGCTGCTGCCTGGTGGTATTTGTGTGTCTTCTTAAGGTGTCCCAAGTTATGCTTTAAACTAACCTAAATTAGATTAAACGAAATGTATGTTCAGTGCATCCGCAATGAGGCGTTTCTAAAGGATCATTAAAAATGTCATTTTTGTACCAAGCTTTTTATAACAGCAGGTTCACTTTCCATGGTCGAATACAGTCTGTAAATGTTCCTATTCCCAAGAAATAAAGAAAGCTGTCAATGTCAAGCCCACCTGCTGATACTGAAAAGCAGTCTGCAGGGGTCTTGTTGTTTAGGAGTAAATGTAGAGACCGGTTTTGAGTTTCCAGTGCTTCTGCTGACACCGAAATTCAGATTTACCAGCTAAGGAGATGATAGTGTTAATTAAGTATTAAAATACTGTTGTGGGTTGCACAGTTGGACAATAGTTACAGAATATGCTCAAAATGTTGTACAATATCTAACATTTCTATTTAATTAAAAGAGGTTCATATCTAATCTGTTGATTAATAGTTGCTGTTCTTTCAACTGGTTTGAGAAAAAATAAAACTGGACATAATAGAAGCTTGGATCAGTCTGTACTCTAACCATCTACTGTGCTCTTGTTTCCCGTCTCTTCCATCCGTTCAGTGATGGCTGGGCAGACAGGTATGACGTGACTGATGGCTATCAGAGGGAAGCAGCGGGTGGAATCACCATAAAACTTAAGTCAGCATACGTGACCTGGTTTGATGATTACTACCTTAACCTCAAGCCTGATGCCAACCTGAGGAACCCCTGGTTTCCTGAGTTTTGGCAGCACCGGTTCCAGTGCAGGCTGAGAGGACACCCGCAGGAGAGCACTCTGTACAATCGCACTTGCACATGTTAGTAAAATGAACCTACTTGAACAATTCTTACATAGCCTGTTTATACACCCTAAAATGGGATGTTCCTTAAGTAGATTATCATCAACACAATGATTTGGTTGGTCTAATGGGAATTTTTCTCTTCTTCACAGGGAGAGAATCTCTGCGCCACCAATATGCCCAAGACACCAAAATGGGATTTGTCATAAATGCGATTTATTCCATGGCTTATGGCCTTCATACCATGCAGCAATCCCTGTGTCCAGGGTATAAGGTACGATCCCCAAAAGTCTGCTGGGTCGACATCCTCCCTACAGGCTGTGAGCCGTTAACTTGAACTCATTTTCTTCAGGGTTTGTGTGAGAACATGAGGCCTATTGATGGCCGCAAGCTGTTGGATTTCTTGATGAAAACCAACTTCACTGGCGTATCTGGAGAGGTCATCCACTTTGACGAGAACGGAGATTCCCCTGGCAGGTTAGCATTTTGATCGGTAACAAAAGAAAAAAGGAGAACTGGAGGAGAGGGAGAGGTTTGTATTAAACGTGTGCTCTTACATGTCTCAGGTATGAAATCATGAACTTCAAAGAGACCGGGGAGGATGAATACGCTTACATTCATGTGGGGAGCTGGGATCAGGGTGGCCTAAAGATGAACGATGAGGAAATCTGGAGCAACAACAGTGAAATAATCCAGTCAGTCTGCTCTGAGCCATGCCAAAAGGCACAGATCAAGGTATGACGAAGACTGGCAGTAAACCGGTGGACTTGTATATTTAGATATGAACTAAGTGTGCTATGAACTAAGATAATTATATCGTAGTCTTTATATATATATATATGTCTATCCTTTCAGTTGCATGTTAAGAAATTGTAATTGTTTTAATACTGGCTGATCTCTAAAAGACATTGTTTCTTACTCTCATTATTGATCGGAGAACTTGTCATGAGGACATTTGTCAAACGCACCCCACACAGCAGCCTTAATTGATCCCATAGGTTTATTATCTTAAAAAGAAGTACCATCACATCATCAAATACTCCACCAGGGACTCAGTCCAGCTCATTGCTTAGGACTTAGCCATCTCCCATCTGGGCCTCACCACATCCCTCCTGCCCATCCACATAATGGGGAAGACTACATCCCCCCCCCCCCTTCTTCTGTATGGTGCAGCATAGTCCACAGTTTGTAAAGAATGCGTCAGTACGTAGCTCCAGCTCACACTTTGTTCTTCATGTTTCTCTGACCTGTTAAAGCCTCATCAGTGTCCTCATCTTGTTCTGTCTTCAGACTCAGAACAAGCGAGTCATTTCCTGCCTCAGTGTGTTGCTCTGAAACGAAAACCTCACATTATCTTTCACAGTTCTCTTTTTTGTTTCTGCTCACGTTTTCAAACATGAAACTTAACCAAGCTAACTGTCACTCCGCACATTATGGAGAGCTTGAGTATAAAGCAAAATGTTTAAATGATACGTGCAAATATAAATAATTTCATATAAGAAAGGGTTATGTTGATGCACTGTGTGTTTTACCTTTATATATTATCACTGACGCACCCATTTTGAAGCAGCATAGAAATAGAACAGTAAATGACTATTTATCCCCAGTGGGATCAATTTGAATAAAAATTCAAACTTAGAGCTTTGCAGAGAACTTGTGCACGGTGGTGCTGTGGTTTGCACCGTCACCTCACAGCAAGAGGGTTCCTGTTTTTTGTTCATGGCTGGAGTCACACTGTGTTGAGTTTAAGGCAATTAAGGCTGTGTGGGGATTTGAATCTAGTCTTTGATATTTTTTACTACAACCCAGGAAAATCGATACACCTCTTTTACCTACACCACTTGAGCTTAAATGTGCTAAACTAAATCCCTTTTTAGACATAACATTTAACATTACCTGCAATTATTTTATCAGCCTTGTCACAACATATCTCTTTGTTGATGGCAGTTTTTAAGCAGCATGCATTCATTCAAAATTAGTTCAGGGCAACATCTCTTTATTGTTTTAACAATTAGATGATCTGACAGCTGATATGCCAAATTGATCACCGATGTCCATTTCTGTCCAATAATGTGACCGTGTTGTTTTTTAGGGAAATGCTTGTTTGAATTTTTCTGCCCTAGTCAGACTTCTGTTGAGAACTGTTAGGAATGAGCACCAGGGCATTCAGTCAAGCAGTTAACTTTTAGACTAAACAGGTGGTGCATTTGTGAATGGGCCTCCTGTGCAGAGAGGTTTAAAAAAGGAAAGATTTGATGTAACTGTATGACCTTCTACACATTTTCTTTCTACTTTTGATCCCCCATTGAGACAATACCCCTACTGGGCAGACAGAGTGCAAGATTATCTACAGAGAAGTGCCATTAGAGCTTTGAGGCCTTTCCGCACTTTCACTCAGGTGTGTGCGCTTGTGTGTCTTCAGGTGATCCGCAAAGGAGAAGTGAGTTGTTGCTGGACTTGTACTCCCTGCAAGGAGAATGAGTTTGTGTTTGATGAGTACACTTGTCGAGCCTGTCTCCTGGGCTACTGGCCCACAAATGACCTCACTGGTAAATACTTTGTTTATGTCACTGTACAAGATTTTCAAACAGGCCAAATCTGGGTCACGCACTTAAGGCTCTCCCACTAATCCCATTTGAAATTCTCATGTACTACAAACACACAGACATTCACATATGCACACACATCCATAGAGAACTAACTGGCAAGGCTGTCAGAGTAGTACTGTACAAGAGATTGTAAATTCCAGTCATATAAAACAAATTTAAATGCTGGAATTCTCAGCTTTAAATACAATATAGAAAGCATTTTTACTGGTTTGACGTGAAAGATTTGGATGTAGATGAGCCACTTTGTTAACATCTTTAAGGATTTGCAGAAGATAAGAAAAAGCTACAAGTTCAACATTTTTTCATTGTATTCTTCAGAACTTGAAAAGAGGATTTCACATGTTTCTTGAGAATTACTGTCCACATAGTAATAGATCTAAAAGGACTAATGCCTTTTTGGTTAAATCCCAAATAAGTTACAAATCTATCACAAACTAAGCCACGTTTCAGGATTTATTGGTTGAATTTCTCATTGTCTTTAACTGCTTCCAGGTTGTGAGCCAATTCAAGTCCAATACGTGCGTTGGGGGGATCCAGAACCTATCGCTGCTGTAGTCTTCTCCTGTTTGGGCCTCATGGCAACACTTTTTGTCACTTCTGTCTTTATCAAGTAATTACACCTATACTTTCATTCAATATTTACCATTATGTCTACAGATTCCTATATCATAATGACATCAAAGAAAGGTCTTTTAGATTAGTTGTTCCCTATGTAAAAAAAAGAGATTAAGTCACATGATATCAACAACTTAATACAAACAACTAAAACCATGGGGAATCAGGTAGATCAGCAAGAGGAACAATATTCTGTTTACATATACAAAGAATGCAACACACTGAATTAGAGGGGACAGCCCCAAATGCATACCATGACCTATTTAAACCGTACTGTCGGTATCATTGCCAAGTTTCAGTTTTTTTCTAGCACCAGCCTTTTGATATACATGTATTATATATAAGATACTTTATAAAATATCATACTACTTTGTTGATGGCAATAATGTGTGTAATATGAGTGGCATTTCTGTTTTGTAGATCTCAGATTGTTTGATTTTTGCTTTTTTCGACCGGTGTTAAATTATTGTAATTAAGGCTAATTATTCATCACTGATCTCCAGTTCTGGGCCATTGCAAGTGGCTGAGTTGACCTAGATAAAATGAAAAACTATAAATACAAACATTTGTTAGTAAACCAGATGTGGGTGACCCTCATTTAAACCAGAAGCTTGAAATAATTAAACAGCCTTTTATGTTCTGGAAAAATAAAAGGAAAAATATTGACAGCGAAGCTCTTACTGATTTACTGTTTTCATAGATTTTGGGACACTCCTGTGGTGAAGTCATCTAGCCGTGAGCTCTGCTACATCATCCTCGCTGGAATCTGCTTGGGCTACTTGTGCACTTTCAGTCTCATTGCCAAACCACACATTGTTTATTGCTACCTCCAGCGACTGGGGATTGGCCTGTCCCCTGCCATGAGCTACTCTGCCCTCGTCACCAAGGTATGATAAGTAAAATACAGGTACCGTCGGCCCGTTTCATATTCTCCTTCCTATGAAAATTCACTTCCAATTCTTTGAGTAAAAAAAAATCCATATAATCGTGACATGTGACAGGGTCATCAATTGTTAGCAAATCTGGCATTGGATTCAGGCAAATGTGGATTTGACTGGAGTTTTAGTTCCCTTTATAGCACGTTATGTAACTGACAAATATAAGCTAGTAATGATATTATTTGACATACCACCATCACGTTACCTTCAATTCAGTGTATTTCTATAGAGTTGGCACATAGCAAAGACATGGAGAGGCGACAGCTAAAATAGTCAACTTCAATGCAAGTTAATTAAATACAATGTCTTGAAATACAATGTTTTCATATAAGACTTATTTAGAAACAGAATCGAACAGAAAGCAATTATTTGCTTTTTAAAACACATCCTACAGCCACTGGCACAGGAGAGAGCTGCCGAACTGCAAATAGACATAACTGCTCTTAATATGAGTCATCCTTGCAGGCACGTGTCCAGAAGAACTAAATTAGATTCTTTTTTTTATGTGTATCTGCTGTAGGATTGTATTGGAATACTAAATTTGAACTTTGACACTATGAATTGTCTTTTGGGTCAACTGGATCTATACAAGTGTACAGCTATCATTAGTATGACAACTTGTCTGCAACTTACTTGCATGCTTTTGGCAATGTCAGTGTCATATGACCAACCAACTGTAAAGCTGTGAAGACCTATCTCCAGAGACTGGATGATAGCCATTTGTCAAGGAGACATGGTAGAAACTGATGCTGTTTGTGGGTTGAGGTTGATGTTTATGATCAGGGAAAAGGATTATTGTCATGTATCAGCAGACAAACAATATTCGCGGTTGATGTAACTGAAGCTAACATAAACCATTTAATTTATTCTTGATCCAGACCAACCGTATAGCTCGGATCCTGGCAGGCAGCAAGAAGAAGATCTGTACCAAGAAACCTCGCTTTATGTCCGCCTGCGCACAATTGGTCATCGCCTTCCTACTCATTCTGCTGCAGCTGGGAATTATCGTGGCGCTGCTCATCATAGAGCCACCGCAGGTACGTGTGTCTGTGTGCACTCCTGCTACAATGTGGCAGATGATCATTTAACAATATTTACAAAATGCAGAATGACTGTTGTCTCCTCTCAGGTGATCTATGATTATCCCAGCATACGCGAGGTACATCTGATCTGCAATCTGACCACCTTGGGAGTAGTGGCACCTCTGGGCTACAATGGCTTGCTTATTCTCAGCTGCACTTTTTACGCCTTTAAGGCAAGTCATCTGAATTATACAAGGATATCTCACTATACTTGCAAATATATACTTTGTTTTAAGTTTCCTCTCCATGTAGTCTGCTCTCTCTTCTTCAGCTTGCTTTACACTCTCAATTTTTCTCCCGCAGACTCGTAATGTTCCAGCTAATTTTAACGAGGCCAAGTACATCGCATTCACCATGTACACCACCTGTATCATCTGGCTCGCCTTTGTTCCCATTTACTTTGGCTCCAACTACAAGATCATAACCATGTGCTTTAGTGTCAGCCTGAGTGCCACTGTGGCTCTCTGCTGCATGTTTGTTCCAAAGGTAGGAAATGACAAACGAGATTAAGTCTCTCTGCTAAAGTTTTTTTAATATCTTCTGTTGCTTTGTTTATTGTTCTAACAGTTATGTGCTGTTCCTTTCCATGGTCAGGTGTACATCATGCTTGCCAAGCCAGAGAAGAATGTCCGCAGTGCTTTCACTACGTCCACAGTAGTGCGCATGCACGTAGGCGATGCGAAGAAAGCGGCTAAGTCTGGAAAATCTACAAGCAGTATGGCCAACCTGTTTCGACGTCGTGGATCTACGCAGGACAACATAAGGTAAAAGGGGATCTGTATACATCTGTTGAATAGTTTTTGTTAATAGGAACACCGTGTTGACTTAAAGTTGCATATACACAACTTAAACTATACACTTCTTTTTGCTTAGCTTACCTAAATTGATGAAGGCCTGTCAACATAATTGTTCTTTTTTCCTCCCACACAAACTTTCAAAGAGGAAGTAAGGCCAAGTATTGTTGTTTGACGTATCCAGACAACTCTAAACACATACATTTCTTCTGGTCACGTATTCATTTGATTATAAATTCTTCTTTTCACAAATAATGTAATATTTCCTGACGTCTGTTGATTAAGCTTACCCGGAGACCACGAGGTCCCTGTCACTGACTACATGTTCTGTTGACATATTATAAATACTAGAATTTAAACACCCCTGTTTAGTCTTAATTGGTCTGCATAAAGCTGCAAATACTGCAACAGGCTGAATATGAAGCCAAGAAACACTGCTCCCTAAGCTGATAAAAGCCTACCTCATTTGGGTTACATACTCCCAGGGGAAACTCACAGCCTTTAAGGATTTCTCTTTCGAGGGAGGATGAAAGAAAATGGCGAGAGTTGTTGCACAGAAAGCAATCGTTAGAGCAGGGAATGGAAAGGATACAGGCAAGACTACATGGTGGAGTACAGACAGGATTTTTCTCATAATGTGCAGATAATACCATGCAGAAGACTTGCATTCTGTCACTGTGGCTGTGTCTTTTTTCTTTGTGAAAAAACTGATATATTGTGGCACCCTGTATGTTTTTGCAGCTCAAATGGGAAATCAGTAACGTGGGGACAGAACGAGCGAGGCTACAGGCCGAATTTGTGGAAGAGGATGTCATTCCATGTCAAGAAAAAGGACCCCGTTGAGGTTAATCAGACAGCTATCATCAAGCCCTTCTCAAAAGAAGGGGACGCGCCTGTAGACAGTGGCACGAAAGAGCAGTATGAGGAGCCACAGGTGTCTCAGTCTTTCACCTGCCCCCCCCCGCAGTCACCTCTGCCCGCCATCAGCCATCATGCAGCGAAGCAAAGGGGTCCCCACAGGGGCAAGAATGGCGAGGAGGCTCAGGTTCTCCCCACATACGTCCCTGAGCCCCCCGCTGGGGTCCGGCGCCGAGGCGGGGACAGCGGCCAGGGCGCTGACATGGCAGACGGGGGCGACATAAGTATCATAAGCGTGGGTGACATCGGCCAAACTCAGGGCGCGACCATCATGGACCAAATAACCTGCGTGGTCAGCCGTTTCACCGCGAACATCAGCGAGCTGAACACCATGATGCTGCCGGGAGGAGCCACCGTCACCCCCCCCTCACCCACCGCTCTGCCCGCCGTTGCAGACATCCCCCCAGGTCCACCTCAGTACCTCGCCCCCAGGGCCAAACAGGCCCCCTCCACCGTCACCACACACGCCGAGGTGATGGCCGTCTCCAATTTCTGCGATAATCGACCCGCAAGTAAGATTTACGAGCACTTATCGGGGACGTGCGGGGGCGGCAGGCGAGCCAAGGATGCAGAGGAGCTTATGGCCCTGACACCGCCGTCCCCGTTTAGAGACTCATCTCTGAGCTCCAACGGAAGCTCCCCCCCCTCCCTGTCCCCGGCTTCTGAGGCCGAATATGACCAGCTGCTGCTGAAACACTACAGCCAAAGCTCCTCCTCCCTCTAAAGCCACTGCCCAGTCAGCGTTCATCATTTACTCGGAGTATCTTAAAATTCTTAAGACAAAAGCTTCAGCCTGGACCAAATTCTTTGATGCCTTTCTACATTGATAGACGTTAAAGGGCTCTTTGTGCAAATGTGCTGAAGATGGGACTGAACGCACCCACACATGCCCTGATTTTAGGGGAATGAAAGAAGAATGCCACTAAGAGGATTTGTTCCACAACCGCAAAAAACTGCAAAAAATTAAATGTAAAAGGAAAATAGGGAAATGTCACTGCTTTTGTCAGTGACTGATTGTTAATTCTGGCACTGAAACAAACATGTGGGCATTTTAAGGACTTTCTAACCCAGTTTCAACTCCAAAGACAACACTGATAAGATGAAAGGAAAAACCGTAAGGTGCATTTAAATCTAATTTAATTTCACCATAGCATCATCCTCAGCCATAAATGACAGGATTTGCAAAAATATTTTTGTTTAGTGTTAGGATGATTTCAAAATAGAAAACTGATTTTAATATAACCTGTTCCTCTGGGAAGTTAAGACAACAGAATTCACTATAGGATGGACTTCAGTTGTACATTTTTTCTAAATATTAATTTATTAATTTTTCTTATCATCACTGCTTGCATTTGAACATTTGTTCATCATATGTTGTTTTTTAAGTCCCAAAGTGTAAGAATTGTTTTCCTAATCTGGATGCAGATTGTATCAATCTCAAAGCATGTCTCCAGATTTTTTTTTCATCAACCCTGACCGTCATTAGGGGACTAAAGTATTGATACTTCAAAAAGAGAGCATAACCTCTGCAGATATGGCTGAATTATTTTGTGTGCAGTGAGCTCATCCGTCTCTGGGAAAGAAAGCGAGGACTGAAACTTAATCCTCTTATCCTAAGAGGACAGGAGCACTTTGCATCTCCAGGGACTGTAGGATATATCTCAGTGGACACAATAATCAGGTGTATAACCCACAAAGAGCTTACAGACCAGTTGGATGTCTTATTCTATTCTTTTTATCTAGATGTGACTTAGCTGAATGTACAATAAGGTATGATACATAGTGGACCAAAACAGTCTTTAACCTCAGGATGCGTCTGAACCAGAAAACGTTCCAACTTGTTCCTCTATGGACGAGTGCAATCGTGTTTGGCTCAAAGTATTTCCAGTTTGCATGATGTCAAGATTTGTTTCCAATGAATAACCATTTAATATTGTAATGTCAAACTTATATGATTGATAGAGTCCGTAGCAAAGTAATGATTTTAATGGTGAGTTTGATTTGTTTTGGGGAAGCAAAGTCAAAATGTGCCAGATGTTTCCTTACTTGTGCCAGATGCTTTTTACATAAATGTGTGCCATTTTTATCCTTTTGCAGTGGATTGCGTTATGTTTCTTTGAAAAAGATCACAATAATTATCGTTCTCGAGCCAGTTTAGATTTATAATAGTTAAGAATGAATATTTGTATTCACTAGAAAATCTTTTTGCTTTTGTAAAGGCATTTTCCCCTCTCTAAGGATAGAGGCTAGTTGTAGTATTCCCAGGTTTGCATCTTTACAACCTATGCTTTTTTCCTTTTGTAAATGTTGTTTGTAATTCATACAGTGTCAATGATATGTTAATATGCCGAATTCCTTTTTCTTCTTTTTAATTTTTTTTTTTTTTTTTTTTACAAATTTTCAATCTAAATACAATAATAGGACATAACCATATATGCATGCAGGATCGTGCCAACTCAATATTTTCAAATGTATGTTTTGCTGTGTGCCGCTGCTATATTCTCCTCTAAATGTTTGTTTACCTTTTCATCTGCCTTTCATATAGGCTGATTTTCCAATGTAAATTCAATAAAGTCCATTTTAAATGCATTGAATAAGAAGTACAGAGATGTGGGTAGACTTCATTATGATTATGTGATGATACCTAAACGCAGCATTAAAAAAGTTAGACTGTTAAGTTTTCAAGTACATCAATTAACGTTTAAACAACTAAAATAGAAAAAAATAGGTTAACTTTCAGTTCAGTTTCGGGGGGGAATAACCTATGCTGCAGTTTTTAAAGCCATGTTACTTGAAGACTTATTCTAAATTAAAATACAACTGTGTCAAATCACCACCATTAATAAATGTAATAGGAAAAAAGGGTTTCTAGGGCCTTTATTAAAAAAGGTGATTTAATTTTCTATGCCAAATTTAAGTGCTAAAATGTCATTCATCAGAAGGTGGTCAAACATCATTTATAGATGCAGGGTAATAGTTTTTGTGAGCACAGGGAGAGCGAGGCCTCAGTGGACCGTTGTCTTTCTCATGATCGTGCATGTGGTGTTCATCACGTGTTTTACGGGGAATAATAGCTGAAGTGCCTCTCCTGGCTATTTCACAACTCCATAAGCCACACTTAAAGATGCATTGTCATGAGTCCATGTTAGATCACCAATAACTACTATCATCTTTTCAGAAGTAGACCTACGCTGCATTTGCAATGGGTGGAGTTGGTTTAAATTATATTAAAGTATAGAGGAGATGTCAGTAATGTGTCATTATCAAGTATTTCTCCTCTGGTTGCCTTACAGGGACTGGACTGTTATTAACTTCACAGTAGAGCCACAAAATGCTACTGGGCCTTTTTATGCGCGTTTTTTTTATGTTGTCTGTTTCTGATGTTTTTTTTCCCTGTTAACACACCCTGTTTTACAGTAACATTTGGTACATTCTGACTTTAATTGAGCGTTATTAATAAGGACAGACGCGCCTAATCCTCCAGCGCCCCGACGTCTGGAGCTTCAGCTCCATTTTTCAGTTCTAACTCAGACGCATCCAGTACTTTATCGATTACTTAAGAGTGAATAACTTCTCACGCATGATTTAAGAGTCACTCAAGGCGCATTATTAAATGAAGAACACCCTCCATTAAACGATGCGATGTGATCACTTTAATAAACGGCGGATGCAGAGAGGCGCCTGCTTCAGATGAGACTCAGAAAGATGACCAAACCCGCTCTGAGACACACTCGTGTGCACTTTCCGTGTAGTGAGACGAGGTCACAAGTTTCAGAGCACAGCCCCTGAGCTTTCTTACGCCTCCGACGGGGGAGGGCGGTTCCCAGAGCCCTCACGAACCGGGACACAGGGGAAGGGAGACTCACAACCCTCTGCCGTGGAGTCAAAGTTTGCTCTTGACATCCGACAGTTGAAATGACCAATCACCCATCGCACTCCAACGGCATGCAGAGTCTCCGGAAGGAGCACCTGTACAAGGTGTTGGTGATCGGGGATCTCGGGGTCGGGAAGACCTCCATCATCAGGCGTTACGTCCATCAGACCTACTCCACAAACTACCGGGCCACCATCGGGGTGGACTTCGCCTTGAAAGTGCTGAACTGGGACTCAGAGACGGTCAGACTTCAGCTGTGGGACATTGCAGGTGGGACAGGGTGGAATTTGATTATTCAATGTGTAGCCTACCATTTATTTTGTACACAAATAGTGTTAGGGATAAATTATCCCCTTTGCATACTGTTTGGGGACTTGAATTTAAGACATTTTCCATGTTAAAAGTTACAAAAACGGAGAAATCCTAAGTTAAATTAAAACAAATACATTTCATTGTTGATGTTTTAGTCTCTGAGAAGCTGATGTTTTAACAGATAACTTTTCTCTCAGAGCTTGCAGCCAGGCATGAAAATTATAAACGCAAAGTAAATGTGCACTGTCATAAGGGATGCTGTCTGACGACATTTTCATGAGAACACGGGTCCAAAATTATGTTAAGAAGACCAGCACTCTGTTTACCAGTCATCCATTTAAGGTATGATGTTACATCATGTGATTATAGGCCCATGTGAGGGAGATTTGAAGGCCAGTCACAGGAGTGTCATTGTAGCTTAAATTAAAAAAGAAAAAAAAACTTACTCAACCTTACTCAGTAGCAGAAACATCTACATGTAGATGTGGCTCATAAATTAGATTATGAGTCACATCTGTCTACCCGATGTGAGTTAAACTACCCATAGTAAACTAATAGGAAGTGTTTAGTGAGAAATTCCAATTTGCCACGATTTATAAAAAAGTTTCTGGATATTTTGCTCAGGTCATAAAAAGCCGTAAAGTTTCACAATAACTTGTTAAATGACAGCGTGTCAACTGGCACACGTGAGACCGCTGTCACACCACAGAGGATCAGGCTTCCTTATAAATGATGAATTTCATTGTCTTGTATGAAAGGAGGAAGCTGCCAGTTCATAGACAGTCAGACTTTTCATTTCCTGTTACTCATGTTGCAAACAGTTTTGTGCCATTGGCAACGCTGAGAGATGCTTCTTGTATTCATTAATATTCCCTCACAGTAATGCTGAGGTGTTGCCTCGCAAAGCTCACCATGTTTGGATGCACATTTGTATGCTCAGTTTTGGATCAGGAGTTGCTGAGAACACACATCCCGAGGGAATGTCCTTTTTGGAAGCAAACTAATACCCGGCACATTACACAAACATGCTTATGCATTAACTTACAAATGCAGACACTGACTTAGGGACGTGGCTATCTGCTCATTGAAGTCTAACTGCAAACGACAGGTTGATTAAGTCTGCTTATTTTAAGCCGAAACAAGTAGTTGCATTGACATTTTCGGTGCAACGTGACAGTAATACCTCAGGAATGTGCTGTTTCATGGGAATGCTGGCACAGCTAAGTGCATTCCCCATGCCAGCTGCATCAGTTGTTTTGCTGCAGAAACAATTACTGATAATTGCCAATAAGATGTCAGACCCTCTTTGTGCGTGTGTGTGTGTGTGTGTGTGGCTTTGTTAAACGCAGGTCAGGAACGTTTTGGGAACATGACGAGAGTGTATTACCGCGAGGCAATGGGAGCCGTCATAGTGTTCGACGTGACGCGACCCACGACCTTTGAGGCGGTCATTAAGTGGAAAGAGGACCTGGACTCTAAAGTGATGCTGGCTAATGGACAGAGTATAGCAACCGTGCTGCTGGCTAACAAGTGTGACCAGGGCAGGGAGCTGACAAACAACGGCATCAAAATGGACCAGTTCTGCAAGGACCACGGCTTTGTCGGCTGGTTCGAGACGTCTGCTAAGGTGAGACTTAAATATGTTAAAGGTAATTGCTTTAGTCTTATTTGTGAAATCATAGAACTGTGTGCAAGTCTCATTCAGTGGATGTGTGCTGCAGCCTTGTGTTGAATATCATGGTAAATTATAAAGTATTTATCTTCATTCTTAAACCAGCCGTTCTTGTTTTACTTATTAATTTCTCTTAATTTATTTATTTTGTCTTAATGCTTTTCCAAATGTGTTGAGATTTCAGAAGGAAAGTCACTAATTTGAGAATGTATGTTATAAGAAGAAACACAACAGAATATGCTACATTCATTAACCCAACTTTGTTATCTAGGTTCTTAAACCTAAATATTCAGAGACTAAGTTAAGTTAAGAGTAAGAAAGGAATGATTCCATAAAAACTAAGCCAGCACCTTCCTGTCAAACCTGCAAATGTGTACATTTTTTCAGCACTCAAAGCTTTACCTCATCCATCATGTCCAACAGCAGAAAACCGCAGATTTTGTTAATAAATACTTCATATATTAATCCCTGTAAGTAAGAATATTTAGGTTGCCTGGCAGTTTGCCTGTGTAGTGAGTAACTGCCCCACCCTGTGAACATCTTCTCCCACTCAGGGCCATTAGTCAGTAACAAATGTCACCTCAAAGCCAACTGGAATTTCATATCCACATGGAAATTGGCCCTACCAGACAAATTTAACTGCCTGGTGCTCGGAATCCCCTGTATTTCATGGAACTTTGTAGATCCAATGTCATGGCATGCATATATTTATTCTACGTAACCTGATAATTAAGTTTTATTAAACTATCATTGACTAAAATATTAAAACGCATGATTTGAATAGTTGAGCAATCTGAACAAAGATAGTTTGTGCTTTCTTTTTCTTGTGTATTATGTCCCTGCGTATATTTGTAACAAACTGCATGGTTTGAATGCTGCTGCTGTTGTCTTTATTGCTATATTATCTGTTGACACTCATGTGCTGGAGCGGTCTAGGTGCACTGCCATTCTTGTGGCATCGGGACTCAACATTCTAAGAGGTTAAAGTGTGTAATGTGTGTGCTATGCCAGAAGCACAATAGTCACTATTTACAGACAGGTGTACTACACTTATTTCAGAAGTAATAATCTAACAAAAAAAGTCAGGATTGTTTATATGTCTGATTCAGAAAATACAGGGGTGATTTGTGAAAGGGAAAAAAGCGAGACATTCACTTTAATTTTCTGTTTAAAACAGTTGATTTTACGTGATTATTGTTTAGTACAATGCTAAGCTGAGTATTTGAGAAACAACGATGAGGCAAATAGCACCAGTTTGTCATACATGTGTGAGTAAAATGATAGAGATGACTGAACACCATTTGATGGGATTTTTATGTTTCTTCATGTACACTGTACAATATAACTGTACAATTCAAGGAATGTGGAAGAATCTTAGTGCTTAAAGGGCAATGGTCCAAACCTAAGGCTGATAACAGCACTGCATTATCAGGAAGTAAAAAAACTGCAGAGTTTACAGAAAAATATAAAAAGGACCCTGTACTGTACATATTGAATCCGTAAGAAACTCTTTCAAGTGCTACATTATAGAATAAAGAGGTAGAAGTCCCAGTTGTTTTGAAATGGTTAGCTGGCCTTATCTTCACAAATATAGGCACTTGATATTATAAGAATCAGTATATATATATTTTCATTTATTTGGATTTTCCATACCATGCCAGACTTTTTCTGATACTGGGCTGTTCACGGGCTGTTTCACACACCCCATCCAGATCATCCACATTCTGTTTAATACTCTAAATCCACGTCATGTATATGATACTGACATTTAGGTAATGAAGCTGAATCTTCATGTAAATGATCATTTTGAAATGGCATACTTAATCATTGTTAACTCTCCATTAGGACAATCTCAACATAAGCGAAGCTGCAAACTTCCTGGTCAAGCACATCATGGCTACAGAGAATGACATTCTGAAATCTGTGGTCCCAGACACCATCTCACCACAGATTGACTCCAACAGGCAAATGAGCTGCTCTGGCTGTTTCAAATAATGACAAGAGATGACCAGCCGGACTCAAAAGGCTTCTCTGGAAAGGCTTCTTTGGTTGGTTATACCAGAGTTGAACATTTCAGCTTGTTATTACTTTGGTGGAGAAAGCCAAAGCTCACGTGGACTCAATATGTTTTGGTCACAAAACATCCTGCGATAGTGATGTTTTTTTCTCGGTAAGTGATACAGTTGTCGGTGTTGTTAGCATGATGTGGTCACACGAGACAGCACAGACAAGAAATCAGTGTAAAAATGGTTTTATTTACCTGATAAGGCTTCTCCTCCGTTCTCTTTTTTTTTGCTGCAGTCCAGTTTAAAATGGACTGTTAACATCCACCTGTCCCCGATCAAAGGGAACAAAGGTCTTCTCTGTATAATTCTACACTAGTATGTGCAAATACAGAATGACACCAGGCGTGGATAAACTTGCATACACAGAAATTTTTACCATTTCATCAAGTTTGCTGTCCTTAATGCGCTTCCTCTGTTTATGAGTAAACCCACTAAACCAGAGAAAACGCACTACGACAGATAATAAGACTCTCTTTGATACTATGATAAACAAGCCACAGAGAGCACTGCAGACCAATTTCTCTGAATCCAGAATTTATTACTTTGTATCCATGTGAACTCTGCGCATACTTTGTTCCGGTGACTTTAAGTTATTTGAGATGTGCTTTTATTAATGTAATATGGTGAATGTGATGTATAAAACTCTTTCAAATCCATCCTACGGACTGTTGTGTAAGCCTTATTTAATTTTAATGGTTTAAGTAACAACACATTCATATTTATAGCAACAACTTTCACACGAGACGGCAGTAGTGTGAAAACTGACTTAAAAACACTGTCTAAGACACAAATATTGGCTAAGTGCCATTTCAACTGACTTATCTGGTGAATTTTTTTGATGGTCGATGGTAACATTTTAATAATGTAATGTCATGTTAATGTGTTATATGTGTTATATTTTTTAACTGAATGATATGTGTATGTGGGATACTTTGAGTTATCAAACAAAGTTATATTGATCTTCTACTTGTAAACTGGACACTTGTCTGTTAAAAAAACAGTAGCCATGGCAACTGCAGGCTTTTTTCATGGGTATGGTTTATGTGATCGTCTAAGTGAAGCAATGTCTCGTTGTTCCATGCACGCACAGTTGATCTGTAAATGCCAAAGCATATTCACAAATAGACTAAATGTCTTTCTTCTGCCGCTGTCTCTAATGATAATTGTCTCCACTTTTTCTCCCACATGCAGTAAGGATGAAACAACTTTATTTTGTTTTGATTGTCAAGAGCACGCTGCTTGGATGTGAATGTGGATTCCTTTTTTTCAAAGGCACTGTGTACGTGTTACTGGTTGCATTGTCTGCACAGAGCCAGGCCAAACCTCATTACCACTGTTCTGTCTTACAATGAAGAGCTTTGACCTCATATTAACTCCAGATTAGTTTCTTGGAGTGCTACATTTGCCTTACAGATTCATAGAATTAAGAGTATTGTGCGGTCTCTTATAATAATTGTCTGCTGACATATGTTGTTTCCTCCAATTTGCACAGTGTTTATGAGGCTAAAACAAAGAGGCCATTGTATTATTGTTTTTGTTGGTAATTAACGTCATGCATACGAAGCCCTGATAAATCTAAAGAATGCCTTGTGGACAGATTAGTTTTACATTTTGAAGGTGTGTGACTCATAAATCATGTGGTTACAGAGCAGGACCACATTAGAGATGTATCATGCACATTCAGACACAGGTCACCACTTTGTGAATAATTCCAATAGACAGGCAAGCCTTAACTGGACATCTAGAGCTCATTATACCACTTGAGGAATGTACTTGCTGTTTATTTATTGTCAAGTTCTTAAATAAAGGAACCAGTTTTATTCATATCGCGTGTTTGCAGTTTTTAGAACACACTCTTATATAATTTAACACAGGAGCTCTGTCATGCCATTTAACCTTTAACCTGGAACAAGCTGTTTTCACTTAAGCAGATCTTCAAAAATCACTTTAAGAGTTAGTGAATCAACTTTTAAGTTTATTAGTTTAGACTGGGACATTAGTGTGTCTGTGTGTGTGTATGTGTGTGTGTGTCTGTTCATGCTGATCCAAAACTCTCAGGTTCTCATTAGTTGAACATATGACTGTGAATTATTCTTTGCCTGAGGGATTAGATTTGGTCGTCTGCATTTGGCTTTTGTAATGACAGCACAAGAGTCCCAGAAGTCGATGGAGCTGAGGCTTGTGTGGGTAGTAAATGGTGTAAAAGAGGCCGGACTTACCACCGCTCATTGGTTTTATATTGACTCATTGTTAACTGCCCACTTTGGTGACACTTTGGTATTTATATAGTGTATACTGTTATTTATATTGGGCCTACTTCAGTCGGCAGCTGAACCCCATGTGGGTTTTAGGTAGATCACTAAAGGAAGATGTGTGCCTGGCCTTAAAAAAAACGAAATTCCCTCCATTTAGGTCCAACAAATTAGCAGGGAAACATACTTCCACAAAGAACCAAACATCCTACTGGGGGGAAGATGTGCGCCCAAGAGAGAAACACAACATTTATAGTAGCACCAAAGATTCATCAGATAAATTACGGTAAGTACAAAAACACAGTTACTTCCTAACTGTACGGGACAGAGCTCTGTTAGATCAGACCATATTCATCTGATTAAATTGCAGGGAGGGGATAAAGGTATTTTTAGTGTGCTAAGGGCACTCAGATGATGACATGATATGGTTTGATAAAACTTTTTTTCTCTGTGTTGTCCTGACATCTTCAGCTCGTTTTAATCACCAGGAGTTGTTCATGTGGAGCCATCTGTTGTCAAACTAGTCACACTGCAGACATTTTGATTTATCCGTCTATCCATTTTCGGTCCCGCTTATTCCCAACAGGGCCCAACATTTTTGATTTATTGTAACTTAAGAAATCATGCAAAATGGATGGAACAGTAAATAAAGAATGAAAGCAAAGTCGGCTCGGAGCAGATGAACAGTAACAGAGTGGGCGGCAGTGACTAAGATTCAGGAAGGGGAGAAAGACAAAGAGCAGCATTAAATCATAAATATGTAAATATATCTGTAAAGTTTTCAAGGATGAGTTCTCTATGGATTCCTTTTTTTTCTCACTCTCAGCACTGTCAGAATGTATATGTAGATAATATAACTGCTGCTCTTCAATACAGTAGTTCTGCATTGCATAACTCATAAGAGAACAAACATATTTATTTATTAAAACAATTTAAATCCAGTGCTTGCTTGACACAAACAACTTTTTTAGTTTTGGTTTTTATTCATTTCTTCACTTTTGCATTTAATCTATAAAATGCAAGCATCCATTTGGACGGGAGTGTACAATGATGGACATAATCATGATGGGGCGCTGTTAAAGAAACACTAACAGAGCTCTGGTACTGGCATATACAACCACTAGAGGGAAATGAGCACCAGGGTAATGTATATCTGGATAGAACAGACCATTCTTTTGCCTGAAGCCTGCTGTTCTACATGGTGAATAACCCGTTTTCCATAGAGAATCAATGTATGGCTAATTTGTGTACATAACATCATTCATTTCAATTTGAATCATAGTGAGGTTATAAGGATTTTGCTGTGGAGTCCATCTGCCTGTAAGATATTCACACCAAGCAAAGGCAAAACATACAGCAAGACCCACCCTAAAACAAAAAAAAATACAGCAATTAAAAGAATCTATGAGGCAAATAGAAACAACTACTTTTGGTGGAAGAGAATACACAAAATACAATCATAAATCTGTTTGCACTACATCACCATTATATATTGTCAACAGGACCCTTGGCAGTGATTTAGATAAGGGTGTTTGCAATAATCAAATTATAGGTAACACACCACAGGCCTAAACCTAAAGCTGTTTGACACAGGGATTTTTTTAATTTCATGATGAGACAGCATCTTACTAAACTTTACAAAAGTTCTTTAGAAAATATAACTTTGTCTCAGAAAAAAATAATTAATGTTGATTTGCAAGGTCTGTTTTTAAAGAGTCAAAGTGCTGAAAACATTGTGCTGCTAAAAAAGAGCTGTGTCAATGTGGCCGGCTGAGGCAAGGCGGCCTCAATGACTAACAGAAAAATGAGAGTCAGGCAGAAGATCAAAAAGGTAAACATTACACACTATGTTGAGTCTTATTATTGCGCTGTGTGGTTTGGGTGCAAAATGTGGCGTGCACCACTCAGTGTGAGAGAGCACAACTAGTGCTTTTTGGGAGAGGTCATTCATGCAAAATTCCCAAGTTTACAAATGAGGAAAGTGTTGTACCAAATTGTATAAGAAATGTTTCTATGATTAGAGATGAGGCAATTTTGGTTAATTTCGAGGTATACTCACTCATTAAAATGTCACCTTTCAGTTTCATTCTTAATCAAATTTGTTAATGTCTCGTTTCTTTATTTTTCTAAAAATATACCTACATTTTCCTTTAAGAATTGAAAGAACTGCCTTACACTACATTAGAGCGGCCCATTGCTGTAGATTTCTGTTGTAGATTATTACTTGTTGGAAAAATACATCCATTGAGCATATCTTTTGAATTTGAAAAAGTAGCAGGGCTAGTAAGTATTCGTTGATTACAGTCATCACAGTCCACTGTAACATCACAATACAATCTCAGTCATTAAGTTATACTGCTCCTGAGGTCAAAGTACAGGGTAATGTCCTCGTCTACTCAACGATAAAGTGTACTGTACATTTTTCAGAATTTTTTTGCTTTCATGACCTTGGGTACAACCATTCCATAGGCTTTGTTGTAGTTTAAAGTGTACGTTGCCCCGTGGCTGTTTCCCTGCTGGAGCTAGACGTATCCTCCTGAGAGCCCTCATTAGGACCCCCAGCACATGCCAGCAGAGATGTCTGAGGGTTCAGAGGCAATCCGTGCTGTGCTAGAAGTGTGTCAATCTGAGGGAACAAAGAGGACAGAGGGCAGTCTGAGGTGCTGTGTCTGGCCAACACCTGCAGCTGCTCGGCCTGTAGATTGGCTTTATTGCAGACCCTCTGGCATAAGGCAGTGAAACTGTGACAAGTTTTCAGCTTCAGCTGGCTCAGCTGGCTCTTCTCCATCATCAGTTTCTCCCTCTCTGTCTTCTGTGAAAATGCACGCGCAGAAGACTGAGTCCGAGTGGCAAAAAACAAGATCGCAGAACAATAATGTTATTTCGACAAATGGACCTTCTTACCAGCTTGTTGATTTCACACTGCAGATTATAGATGCAGTCCAGTTTCCTCTTGCGACAACGTTGAGCTGCGAGGCGGTTTTTGCTGCGGCGCCTCATGTCATGGACAAAATCCAGCTGTTCCCGAGTAAAGACATGTTGCTTCAGCAGCTGTTGGAAATCATTTCGGCTCAAATTGATGATCCATTGAACAGGAAATGGCAACTGCACCTGAGAAAATCCCGACAGGCATTAGAACAAGGAGAATGTAAATGAATGAAGTAGCATATTTATAATAAGTATAATGTCTGTAGTGTCAAGATGTTCCTTTTGAGGGTAAGGTTTGTGAAGAAAGGTTTAATTTTTTGTCTGAGTATAATGAGAAATACTTCTGAACTGACCATAAATAAGCATTTCTTGTACTCAGTAAAACTTAAACTCATCCTAGGACATTATCTTATAGAATAAAAAGTAATGTGTGGAGTTTAGTCCATACAGAGCTTGTTGTAAATGCACAAATGGAAAAGTCAGCCAAGTCAAATAGTTATATTTTGACCAAAATGGTAATTATTAACCCAATAAACCTGGCGTCGCGAATTTGAGACGGGAAATGTACAGTCATCGTTTGGTTGTGGCTGTATAAATCTTGTGGTGTTCATGTGGGGACAATGAAAGAAATCAATTAACTACAGCTTTTTGGACACACTTAGCATTTGAACTTTGAAAACAGTCCAAACAATCAGCGAACAAAGTAACATGAGGGATTCCTGAAACCTGGGGTTTGACCTATTATCATGACTAACCCGACAGGCTGAGCTGGGAATTTTGGCTGTATTGGACTCTGAACCAATGAGCGGAACACATAAACATGCTCAAACACATGCATATCATCTGTACTGGCTTAAAGATTAACTGACTGCTGTGGGGAATATACTTTACAGCTTCCGATGCCAATTTGTGGATGATAAACTCTAAATCTCATTTGATCATGTCTGGGTGCTTTCTGATGAAGCCATTTTTGTGCCATGTCTAGAACTAGATATATGGCTGCAGGATGGACATGCAGGAAAACGGAGCAGTGCTGTTCATTATGAGCAGACCTGAAGCGATGGTCAGCTGCTCACCTGTCTAGCTCTCTCTCTCGCAGAGGACTCACTGTCACCCTCAGTTTCTGTCTCCGAGTCTCCATCCTCCCCTGAGTTTACCGAGGAAACGCCCGATTGAGACGCTCCCTCACATTCAGACATGCCCGCTGGCCTCCATGAGCATTTTAATTGGTCCAGATCCTGAAGAAAAGGGCAGCTGCTTCCTGCTGAAGAGCTGAAGTTGTTGGAGCGTGTTGGGCAGTCAGAAGATGAGTTCTGCACCCACATGCCCTCTGTGTCGGTTGAGCGTCCTGCCACGGGGTCCTGAGAGCTTGGATGAGAGTTTCCTTTATCTGAGCCCAGCTCCTTGGGAAAGTACTCGATCACTTCCTTCTCCGCAGTGCATTTCAGTCTGGTATTATCAAAGGTAGTGACTGCTCCTATCATATTCCCTCTCTGTCCTCCTTCTCCACCGTTTATACAGGTATTATCAGCTCCTTTCCCCTCCGCTTCTACCTGCATGCTGTGATAAATGGAGTCTGGCTTTAGCGGCCAGTTTCTTGCTTTATTGCTTTTCTTAATGTCAATGACAAATGTCTCATGCTCCAGTGACCTAGTGACTGCAGGGTCATTGTCCCGGCTTCGGAGAGGACTATAGTCCAGCCTTAATGCTGAGGAGCTCTCACACAACACTGTCTTCGTACTATTTGAAGAGCTGATTCCAGATATGTGCTCAGTCTCTTTTTTGAACTTCATAACATTGTTCTCACTTTCTTTCTTTAACACATCAACACCCCATATGTTCCCACAATCCTCTGCTTTGATTTCATGTACGTCCATTTGCCATGTTTCCTCCACCCTTCCTCCACTCTGTCTGCATGAGCTGAGGGTTGTATTTCCAGTTTGATTTGTACTGTTGGAGCACGGTAAGCAAGCGAGGGAACAATCGTCCATTATTCCTGACATGGCCGGATTTAGACTTTTTGGGACACAAGTTTCCTTCCCACAGGCTATCTGGAATTTGCGGTACTTTGGACACTGTGTGAAATGGTCCTTGATCTCTTCAGTCACAGGTGCAAGAGACTCTGCGCTGTTCTGACTTCCCAATTTGTTGCACTCGGATTTTTTTATGTCCTCAACCGCTTCCTGCTCAGGTGATGAGTCAGCAACTGGTTTTACTTCTTTGTCATCCAACAACATATCATCAGAATCTGTGGCACAGTCTTTTTTTGATGATCTCTTTTTCAACTTCTTTTCACAGCAGGTCTTTCTAAGAAAAGGGACGCTATCTCTGGAAAAGAACTTTGGGGGGAGGAAATCAAAACATGCTTCATCTAAGTCTTGAAAACCAAGAACAGAGGCTGAGTTTTGTATGTCTAAGACATCGTCTTTTCCAAAGTGAAGTTTGGATGTGTAGGCAAATTTCAGCAGGGGTTCAAAGCCAGATACTGTCACCTGTAAAAGATTATTGAAAAAGGCAAATTAGCATTTCCTATCCTCTTCTATGTTTACAGGGATAGTAATAGTGATACTCATGTATTTACTCCATGTCAAAACATGTTGTACAGTAAGAACAGATTTGTTAAAATGGTTCTCGAGATTGTTTCCCAACTGATAAGGAATTAAGTACAATAAATGACAATGTAAACCAATAAAAAGTACTTTGGACAATTAATTCAATTAATACTAAGTTCATTTCTTAAAATGTGTTTTTAATGGAAAGTCACATATTCTTTTAATCACTGAATAATCTGTTATCCGTCTAAGACTTTTGTTCACTGGTTACCTATGTGCTCAGGAGACAAATTAATAAGTACAAAACCACCTATAACCTTTGCACCAGTAAAAGCAGTGAAGGAAATACTATTTCTGATGTAACTTTCCTCATGTTGCTTTCTGACGGTTGGTGAAAACGGTGCAGTATCGTGAGGTGACGTCTCACCTCGTCCGGCAGAGTGATAACTGCTCCATGCTGCGTGAGTGCAGAGATCCTCTGAGCAAAGTAGTCACTACAGGAAGCCAGTACGGAGCGGTGGGCTCTGAAACTCTGACCCTCCACCACCACCGTAACGTCACACAACATGTCCCGGCAGCGCTGCTCATCCAGCCAGCGCAACACATGAGAGGAATGCACTGTAGACTCAAATGTAAACACAGACGACCGTTGGCTTGACATGGCCATCTGAGACATCTGTTTGTACATAAAACACACACACACACACAGATGCACAAAGGTTAGACAACAAATTCTGTTTGAAAAAAAAACAGACATGTTTTAAAATTTTTCCTGGGAATATTCAGAAGATTCCTACCTTACAAGGCAGACTTTGTTCAAGTCTCCTAAGGTGTAAAAGGAAGTCCCAGCTGCCTTCCACACATGGATGTGGCTAAATGGAGTGTTGTCCCACCGGGCTTTGATTCCCAGAAAACCTTATCTCAACTGAGCTACAAAATAAAAAAAAAACTGAGCTTGACTCAGTCATATGGCCTAAGTGTGAGTATGTAAGAGGGAGGGAGGCATGGAGAGAGAGAGGAGGAGGGAGAGAGAGAGAGAGAGAGAGAGAGAGAGAGAGAGAGAGAGAGTATGTGTGTAGTGTGTGTGAGTGTGTTGCAACGACTATGGGCGTAACATACCAGTGCTGACTCATGTGCTCCTGCTGATAAAGGATGAGCAAGCAGTTTTTCTCGCTCCTTCTAATCTCACCCTTAGATCTTCAAGGTAAATGAACACACGTATTCCTGAAAATTCCTTCCACCACACTATAGAGATTAAGGTGAAGTCAGGGTTTACTGAGCTAGTGTTTAATCAAGATATGGACTTGTGTTTGTCTTTGTCTTTAAGCTTCCTCTGGCCTCAGCTAGTTTTACCATTTTCAAATATGGAGAATTTTGAGGACAGGTTGGGTTTCCAAAAGAGCATTTCTGTCTCAAACTGTTTTGATGCAAATCATTCTTTGAGTTTGTACAGTACACATTCTTTCTTGGGTGTGTTTCTTGGAGGCACAGAAAAGCAAGAAGCAGTGAAGAATCCCAAGAAAACAACAATTCAAGAAAATTTAAAGGTTTGCCTTTAAACGCCATACCAGCTGTGTTGTACCTACAACATAATTGAAGCTACAAAGCTTAGTTGCCAGTGTCACATGATTTGTAAAAATAAGGAAGTCTGCCAAACTGGCCAATCAGGCAACTGTTTCATAATTCCACAATGAACTAATCTCTGCGTGGAAAAAAAAACAACACTATATACTTCCTTTTTCTTTTGAATGCCATCAAAGTGTGGACATAACACAAAAAACACAACATAACTGACTTGGAGAAATGAAACTAAGGAACTGAAGCTGGTGTTAAAATAAAATGCCTTTTATTATCAGATGAGGACAAAAATCCAGGGTTTATTTTGTTATATACTACCCCTTCTACAGGTACACACAACACCACGCAACCACATAAATGACTAATCCAAAAAATATACAACTCTCTCAGTGTTTTGTCGCAGAAAACACATTGAAATACATCATCTCCTTTCAATGTTTTCATGCTCCTCAAAAATTCTTTCATTTGTCAGATGAGATTAAACCCTCGTCTGCGTGCTGGGACAGGGAGAAAGATTTGCAAACATTCCTAAAAACAATATTTGGACCACATTTCACCACCTTTGGTTAAAAAAATTGTACTTCCACAAGATTTGAAACAGGTACGAGAACGTGTGGTAACATTTACGGCAACAGGACTCCCTTGAATGTGTGACGGTTAGGTGCTGCAAAAGTGATCAAGGGGGTTCTGAAAGATCACATAAAAACTAAATAAAAGTAAAAAAAGTATAAATTGTGTCACCGCCTGGTAGAATCACTATAGAAACGTCTCGCTTTTGATGAGAAAGCATCTGTGATTCCAACAAACGACTCGGACATAAACTCCTCTCTGTATAATTGCTGATTCATAAACTGAAGAGAATAAAGTTGCTGACCGGGCGTCAGCTGGATATCTAATGATTCTCAGATTCGGTGAGGTCAAAGGTCAGGAGGAGTCTTGCATGGGTCGATTGGTCAGGCAGAGCTGCTCCAGCTGTTGAGTGCGCTCGTTGTGGACAGTCACCAAAGTGCGATTCTCCTCTGTTAAATGCATAAACTCCTCTTCAAAGCGGGCAATTTCCATGGCAACCTTCTCATCTTCCACAAGCTCTGCCAGCAACTTACGCCTGAATGAATGAACAACACAAGCATTTTAAGCGCCGGTTATTTGTTTCTTTTTATTCTCTGGGATACAGAAAAGCCAAAACTTGTCCCTGTTTACACTAAGTTTGGGAAGGGGAAACAACCATATCAAGTTCCCACATTAGGGAGATTTACAGACAGTTAGTCACATTCATACACACAGGATGAGTAATTTATAACGTTCAGCTGTTTGTTTCAAGAATGTGGGAGGAAACCAAAACAACCACGGAAACATTGCAAACTCACAGGAATAGCTGAGGTGGGGAAAACAGTGATCATGGTTACCACTGGGTCACAAAAGTAAACTTCTCCAGATTCAGCACACGAAACATTTGGTGGATCAAATTATTTAGAGTAGGAAAGAAATGTGAATTTAACTACAAATGTATGGGGGAAGAAACGGTGCAATATTCAGTTCTAACCCCACTTTCAATAGCTAAAAACACAATATTTTATATATATAGTTATATCAACCTTTTTTCAGCCACTGTTGATTTGCTTAAACATGCTTCCATTTACTCTCTGCTGGATTTTTGCATTGCACTTTATTTTGGCATCAAAATGTATGCAATACCTTAATAGGAACAAATAAATAATCAAAGGTCGGGCGTCATGGGAAGCTTTTTCCGTCTAAAGTTTCCTTTAGGAAAGCAAATAGGTTTGGCATCACTACAGCACCCAGAGCTTCATTCTGCTTGCCATGAGGGAAGCAGAAAAAATAATGGAAAAAAGTGCTCTTTTTATATACATTTCGCAACCTATTGTGAATTTTTACACTGGTGTACAGTGTTTTTTCCCCCTTTTTATCTTTATCGTCTACAGTGCTTGTGTTTATCTAGGGACACACCTCTTTGAAGAGCTCTCAGTAAAAGTGTTAAGTTGCTTATTTGCACAGAGTTCAGGAAATAGCTGTTCTGTAATGTACATTGCAGGTTTGTTCAGATTCTCAAAAAATGAGTTGAGAACCCCAACAAAGCTGTGATTGCTTATTTTTCCTCATATTTGTGGAACAGAATTACAAGATGACTTTTTGTTTATTTGTGTTCTTTTAGTTTAAGAATTTTGTTATCAAGGAAACATGCAATTTTGCTACAATTTGTTAATGCAAGCACACATATACGTAGTGTACTATATCAACTGAATATTTAAGGATATGAAACATTGCCTAATATGGTCCCCACTGCACACAACTCCAAAATTAGACCAGCCTACTGAATATATTAAAAAACATTTGTTTGTTTCACCTTAATGAATGCATCATAACAGGAATATCTCCTCTACTGACCCCTTCTTTCATGGTGGTAACTGTTATACATACACAAATAAGACTGAATATTTATCTCTTGATTAAAACTCCGTTTATCTGGTTGAGTAGATCATGAACAGTTCTTATTCTTTTGGCTTGCTCTTACTTTTTCATGGCCAGCATTACCGCATTTTGGAAAATCCCATGTCAGCATGCTAAAGTGATATTCCTGTAATAACCCTTGCAACACTTCACACTGTGCCTACAATTTGGGAAGTAAAAAAAAACATTCAACCGTTTTGTATGACGCACGTCTGATCATAGTGGTGACAAAAAGCAGAAGACGTGACAACGTTCTCCGCAGTACGGCCTCGCAAACAAAAAGCTTAATTTCAGAGAACTTTAACATGTTTTCTTCAGCAAAAAATCATTTCATTTCATTCATTTGTGTCGAGTAATGCTTTTGGTTTACTGTAAATCCTGTTTAGTTGGAGTATATGTCATGCAAAGAACAACCAGGAGGGTGTAGCAACCTGACTGTCCATACTCTTCTCTATATTCAAGGCCGTGTGGGGTTCTACAGGGTTTGCCTGCTGTTCTCTATTTAGGAAATGTGAAGTGGAGCAGATTCAGTGCATGGCTGCTTGCATGTGTGTGCATGTGTTTGTGTGGTTGAATAACTGCAAAAGCCTTGGAAATCTTACAGCTAAGACCCCCCACAGCTGCTAAGGACACAGAGGACAGCGTGTGTCACACATCATTGCTTATGTAAAGCATGCACTGTTCATAAATGCATTAAAGCTTATAATAGGTCTAATTCAGTTTAACTTCACCAGGGTTCAATCAGTACAACATGAGCCCCAGCAACTATTCCACGCCTTCCAATAATTAAGCAGGAAAAAATGGCGCTTCTAAATCACACTGACAATTAAAAAGCAATTAGAGGAAAAACATGATTGAAATCAAAGTCACGCAGATGTTCAAATAAAGTCCTAAAGGAACTGCTCTCTGTAGATCACAGGCTGAATACTTCCTTCAAGCAATTAGCATGCCACCTGGTGGGCATTTTAAAACAAAAGAGCTTGAATTCCTTGTTTTGGTCATTCTTGTTTAGTGTTGGGTGGAGTAATAAAACATTAAAACACTGTTATTTCAAATTAAAGAAGTTCCTTTAGTAATAATTTTTCCCATTCTCTCTTTTATTTGAGTTCCCTAATAGTGCACTGGACAATGGTAAATGTGTTACACTTATTGTTTTAAAGCTTATCTATTTTTAATGATACAAAGTGCTTTACAGTAAAATTTCTATGGAGCTATTCATATTTTATGCAGTCATGGAAATAAAAGGGTGCCTTACATTAAGATTAATGCTTTAGAAATTGGGAAATACAAAGCAACAAAGCTACAAAATAACTAGCGAGGTAATGATATTCAAATACAATTTATTCAAATATGTTTATCTTAGCGAGAGCCTCAGGTCTGGAGTATTGAGGCTCGTCAGTCTAAAAAAGCTAAAATAATTTAGACCTCATCATTTTACATAAAGGATAAAGAAGGAAGATCAAGTCTATTTACAACATTCAATACAATCATCTCAGAAAGATCTGACCCTGCCATTTGAAGTAAAAACGTGGACATGGTTAGCTTTCTGCATTGACCATCGTGTTTCTGACTGGCTCTGTGTTGTGTATAACAAAAACACATCCATTTATGCCTTACAACATTGACACTGACTTTTACATGCCAAAGTTAGTTTAAAAAATCCCTCTCATGCCTGCCTTCCTATATTTCTTGTCATTTAGAGCCAGGCTGTCTCAAATGGCTCACACCTCCCTCTTCTGAAGAAAAGTCAGGATTGACTGCCTGTCATAATAATGGAAGACCACCACCCCTGTGTTGGTACATTTACATTTATGCATTTAGCAGACACTTTTATCCAAAGCGAATTACAAAAGGAGGGTTTAACATTGAACTACAACACCAGTTACACACTTACCTTGAGTGCAAAATGCTAGAAGAGGATTTAACATTAAGGCTTTAACATTCAACCATAACATAAATTACACAAGTACCATACACTGAGTGCTGTATGCATATTGTTTTCTATTGTAAAAAACAATATGGAATCGGTTTAATTGAATTAATTAAAGCGGGCAATAGGGCCTTACTTGCGGTCCTCAAGCACAGCAATCTCATGTTTGACTTGGTGGAACTCTCTTGCCATCCTGCAGTGTTCCTTGTACACCTGAACACTTTCTCTCAGAGACACACAAGGCAGCACTGGCTGCAAGAGTTAGAGAGACAGTTGTAAGGAACTGTGTTCTAAACCACAGTTTAGTTTGTGACTTTAGTAAAAAAAAAAAGTACAGCTTCACTTTGTACCTGTAAACGCTGATCAAGATCCGGGAAGGTCTGGGAAAGGTCCTCCACATCTTTCACGCCTATAGGGACAGAATGCATTACTTAGTTACAATAGGCTTATAAAAAATCATCAGAACACTCACTGCATAGTTCATCATTCATACCATTTGTCATGCTGAAAATGTAAACCTCTGCTGTGTTCTATTTCTAGTGCTTTATAGTTTTAGATGTAACTAAATTAATATCCTTTTTACCTCCTTCTCCAAGTTGGAGAAGCTGCAGAGGCCCATAAGATAAAGTGTTCGGTTTTATTGCTTCTACACTACCGTGGAAAGAATATTCAAAGGATTAAAGGGTTTCGTTTTCATGGCCTTTTGATTCGTTTACAGATATTAGTCTACTGACTCTTATATTTTAGCAGTTGTTTTTTTCTCTCTGTGTTTTTACATTTGGAAGCAGTGCAGCAGACTTTTAGGCTGGTTTCAAAAACCAAACATTCACACTGCTGACAGCTAACATGCGGACACTTGGTCAGGCGCTGATTTGAATGCTCTGGTTGTAACATTTTAAATGTGCCGGCTTCTCTAAGGCACAGTATCATAGAATATGTAGGAAAGGTTTTCTACACTAAAATGTAATTTCTGCTGTATATTGTATGTGTTTTAATTGATTTGAATTAATTCAGGTGAAGTTCTTCTTTGGTTAGGGCCTGACCTTTACCAGATACTTTTAATGACACATTAAAACACATTAGTCCAGCAATTTGGGAAAGGAAAAATAACGATAAAAAGAAACTAAATAACACAGACAGGAATTGTCAGGGCCCAATTGGAGACAGGACGCAGGTTCGGAATCTCCCAAAAGAATAGCTTGTTGGACAGAGCAGGACAAAAATGACTTAAATGACCATGACTTTGGTAATACTGTGGCTAGGCTGGAGTGACACAAATGAACACATGAATGAAAATTAACAAACTAGCACGGGACAAAGGGAAACGCACACTATAAGTACACAGGGAGGGGAGTGGGAAACAGGGAGACACAATCAGGAATCGGGGAAGGCAGTCAGACTGGTGACACATGAGGAAGGACAAGTAGCCTGAAAAGAGATGAGATTTACTATTTCAAAATAAAACAGGAAATGAGAAACCAAGATCCAAACCCAAACACTACTAAGATAAGACACAGGAGACTGAAACATGTGAAAAACAGAACTAAGAAAAAAAAACTCAGGACAAGACAGGATTTAAGCATCCGACCCACGCTTGACTGTCAGATGTCAGTTCATTAACTTCCTCTCATTCAGCTCTCTCATATATTACATGTAATGTCAGCAAACACCTAAGAATGTCATTATCAGGTATGTCTTTTAAACAAGTAAAACTAAGGACCTAAACAAGCTTAACTTACTACACTTTACAGGCAATATGAAAAAGAGTAGGGCTTTCTTCACAGGTGAAAACATCAAAATGCTGTGATTGGTAAGATGTTTGATTTTATTTCAATAACATACTGACTTAAAGCCGTTAAAAAAGGGAAACTCCTCTTCCTTTTGGAATGTACATAAAAACTCAGCTTCATCCATCAAATCAACACAGATGTTTCCATTTGAGTAAACATGTATGTTCAATACCTTTCTCTGCCTCATGAAATGGCACAATGTGAAACTCTATATGGGTCTCAAATACAGCTGCAACATAATACAACACAATGCCGAACTTATAAATGAGCCATGTCCTCTTACTCAATCATAGTAATGAGCTGCCAGGTTGAAAGACAAGCCGGTTAAGAATACTAAGAGACAAGTATTCTATGTAGTAGACAGACAAACATAGAGGGATGAGCAGCCGGGCCAGATGTATGGACAGAGAGTTATTCAGACAGACAGGCAGCCAGACAGGAACAGACAGGTTGTCTGCACCACCTCAGCAGTAATGTCCCCCCTGGAATTGTGGAACACGTAGAGAATCTTGGGATGATGCAACCCCTCTAAAAGCAGGAGTATTAGTGGGCCAGCCATGGGGGCAATTATGATGCAGAATAAATACAAGTCTCATACTTGGGACCGACACGTTGTGGGTTTATAACTATGCCAAGCATGAAGTCATGAGGGATGATCCCCAGATGGAGCAGAGCTCTCAGCCTCTCTGCTGAGAAGCATGAGTTCATAGACAGTCATCAAGGGAATATCCAGATTGGATTTTGAAGGTTGGAGTTGAGTTGTGCCAGTTTTCCTTTTCTATTTTTTTTAACTAAAGAAGGCTCCTGGCTGACCATTGAGCTTCAGTTGTTCAGCTTGGAATCAAGTAAAAAATGTAGAAGACAAGGAAAAAATTTGGTCATAGGTAAATTGCCATGCAAATGCCACAATCTCTCATAGAGTTGAACAAGTGACCGCTTAGGTTTAGATTCGACTGGGGTATTCCTGATATAGCTGCTCATGGTATCTCCTGCGAGAAAGACAAGGGGGCATCAAAGATGGGTGGAGTAGTACTGGAAGTGTTAACTACTTATAAATATACGGCAGTGTTCTAAAATCTGAACAGTGACACTGTTAGCATTAGAGGAGAAACTTGACTCTGCTATTGCAAAGCTGCAGCTGCTGTCCCGTTGCCTGACCTCTCTGCAGTAAAACATCCTGACAGACATCCCCATGCTCCGTGCGATATACATTTGCGAGTGCGTTTGTGTAAATGTGGTGGTTTAGGAGCAACGATGATCATGGAGCATTTACCTTTGTTTTTTAGCATGTTGTCTGTGTGCGTCTGAGCATATGCATGCGTTTGTTTTTAATATGCTGCGGCCATTCAGAAATAGTGACAGCACCTGTCTCATTTACAGTGTAGAAGAATAGCCACAGTTGAAGGGAGCGGGCGTGGGGGGGCCGGCTGTTGGGGCCAGATCGTGCCTGCTCTGTTTTGGCCGGGAGAATGTCATACACATGTTTCACACATAGTGGAAGTGCACTGAGAGTATGCTTCATCTGGTGTTAAGTGATCAGTTGAGTAATAGATGGAACTGGACTCAAAATAAGTTGCTCCCAACATTTCGAGATCCCGGACCACAGGTGTGTGCGAGATTAGTGTGTGAATGCGTGAGGGTGCACGAGGGTGCGGACAGTATGTACTGTATGCGCGTGTATGTTTACCTGGGGTGTCATCGAGGCTGAAGGCAATTCTAACTTCAGATTTATCAGGAGACACTCTTCTGGTTGAGGTGATCATTTATCCCTTCACGAGGCCATGAGACGAAACAGAGGTGTTAGCTCAATCTAAAGGCCCTTATCGGAGACAAGCAATTCAGTAACCATGAAACTATTGATCATTTTTATAATCATTTCAACACGTAAATAAATATGACATTGAAAAAATCCAGCAAGTTCTCGCTTTCTAAAATTTTTTCCCTTTTCTGTCAACCTTGAATTTACACTGTGATATTCTATTCTATTGTATTCTATTCTAATTCTATTGTGACTCTGTGCTGTTTATCTTGCTTTTGCTTTTGCACACACCATTGATATAAAGGTGTTCCCGAGCTTTTTGCAATTTTATTAAGCACTCATTGTGCGGAATACTCATGACCAATTTATTAACTATCAAAGTAAACAGTTTATTTACTTTTATACACAATATTCCAATAAAGTCCATTCCATTTACCAGCTGGAAACATTAAACTCTGGATTCAGCAGGTGTTGTGCTGAGTTGGAATGAAAGTCAACAGACTGTCTGATAAGGCATGTGATGAAACCGCATGTGTATTTATAAGAGTCCACCAGAGTCTTATAAATACACACACTGAAGGCACCACACACGCAGCCACCGGTTTCATCAAGCATTTAGGGTTGCAGGAGGATTAAATAATTAGAGCGCCATGACAGACTGGCTCTGAGGACTGGATTTTACATGCCCCCTTCTGTGAAGATACAGGCTTTTTATAACTGGCCATTTGTCTGCTTTAACCCTGATAAACTCTGAGAGTCATACTGGAACGACCTTCTACTACTAATAGAAGTACAATTATTATTATTATTATTATTATTATTATTATTATTATTATTGTTGTTGTTATCATCATCATTATTAGTATTAGTATTAATACTGTTATTATAAGTCCAAAACAAAGTCCGAAATATGATATATAAATGTATTTGTGCAGCTGTGCCTATCCTAATATAAGAATATAATATTATGATGGGAAATAATGTGCATCTTGTTTCCAACATGCACGACAGGAGTGAGAAGCAGCAGTTTAAGCAGCAGGTCGTTGTTACCTGGAGCAGCACGAACTCGAGTCAGAAAATTCCCAGCACTTATTCAGCCACAGTGCAGTTTTGAGCCCCCGAGTGGGTTCAGCTCCCCGGTGGAGGACGAGTTAAGAGCGTGGATTCTCCAGTGAGGGTCCAGCCGAGACGGCACCTCAAGCCTACCAGCACTGACCCGAACTCCTGACTAATTAATCTACTGTGAGTCTTTTGCAGTTGGGTGAAGAAGAGCGCGTATTTCGCTGGTGTCAGTGACTCAACCCCCGCGGCTGGACGCGTGTGGGGACGCACATGTTATCCACGGACTGCAGCCACGCGGCTTTCAGAGTGGCCTAAAAGACAGGTCTCCGGCTGGTGGAGGAGGAATGCCGTCCTCCGTCCCCCCCCCCCTCCACCCCCCCACCCCCCAGCGGCCGCGCGAGCCCAATTAAGAGTCTCAGATGACATGACCAGAGCGCGCAAAAATGCCCAGAGCTGCAGCGCCCGTTTGAGTGACACGGCCAAACCGCTGGGATGGCCCTTGTTTTTTTTTTTGTTTTTTTTTTGTTGCAATAGCTGTGCAATGAGCCAGAGATCCAGCATCCCGTGTGTCTGCCCTTGTGGAAGAAAACAGGCCCCCTTTGACCCTTCAGGTGAAATAAGCGCGTCCAGCGGAGCAGCAGTAAAAGGGAGTCACGTGTTCCAGGTGCATGAAGGCACCACAAAAAATAAATCCAGCTTAATAGCAGTGTTCAGAGAACACAGGCCGGGTGTGCTGGCATTTCTCTGATCACCTTGAGAAACTGAGCCTAATACTTATCCAACAAACTCCAGCCATTCCCAGGACCTATATTAATATGTTTTCAAGTAATTTTACAACTCATATCATTGAGTGTATACTGTGATTCACAATCTTCTTCTAAACAATGTCTATTTATGAATATGAAATAGTCAAATCAAGGATTCATGAAAACACCCCTACATTTTCCTCACTGTCAAATCCATAAAATTAGAATCAAGGTTTCAATTAGACAGATGGAACCCCCGTTATTTAAACCTCCGACATCTGTGACCTGCTTTGCTGCGTGTACAGTGATATCATGACAGCATCCAAAGAGCGCTCTTAATCCTTTGGCATTTAAAAATACCTTCAGCTCAATTTAAACAAGTCACTCCTCTATGAAAAAGTGAGTGTCGTACATTTCAAACAACAGACTTTTGATCTGAGACTGGCTTCATTTGCTAATTCAAAATGAGAAAGCATTAGTCAAATTTTACAACACAGGTTGATTACTCATGCAGTCTTTAGTGTCATAGTTGTACTTCCAAAATCAGAGAGAGGTTGCACAAATCTGATCTGCATAAGGAGTGTACCACGGAAAAGCTTTTAATGAGAACAAGCCTTTTAGAATTTGAGCTCTGAACAGATAAATCATGCATGAGGAGTTCTTGCCACAAATGTGTAGACATGTGCGGTTCACACACCAAAGGCAGCTTTTGAGTTGAAGAACCTGATACCAGCTGTGAGGCATGGAGTTCCAAATATTAGGGTTGCCTCAGGGACAACAAATGCAATGCCTGCAATTGCTGATTCATCAGTGATACATTACATGTAATACTGCTTCATTAGAATGTGAGTAAATGCACCAGGAAAGAGATTCAATAGAGCTTTGAACAATTGTATTTGATCATCAATCCATCAAAAAGTGGTCTGCCTGAAAAAAATGAAATGGCAAAAGTCAGGGGGTGCATTATTTAACTTTCTTAAAACAAGGATTTTTTTATTTTATTGAATAAATAACATTGTGAGTAAATTACTTTTCCATTTTGTAAACCCACTTAGTTCAGGGTCGAAATGGGGGTCTAGCACAGCCAGTCACAAGGCCAAAAACAGAGATGGACAACTGTGCATACTCGCAATTACTCCGGGGTCAGTTTAGAATAAAAAATCAACCAGACATGTATGTTCCTGCGTTTAAGGAGGAAGCCAGAATTCCCAGAGAAAACCAGTTTGATGTAATTCAACAACCACATAAACAAGCTAATCCTTTTATCCTTCAAGCCACTAATGTATCTATGAGTTAAATGTCCATATCAAATTGAAATAAAGGTGAATGGAAAATTTGAAGTTCTGATATGTACCCATGTGAAGTGAAAACATACTAGCAACAGGGAAGTTACAGAGGAAAAAGAATGATAAGTTGAATATGATAATTCACAGGGAAGTGTTTATTGCATATTCTAGGACTTGTATATGATTATTAATTTCCCTTCAATCTGTAAGGAAGTGCAATTCTAAGGTTCTGAAATGCTTAATCTTAATAATACATATTGTCTTCATCATCACAGATGCTGATGTATTTATTATTCCTTTACATGTCATGACATGTTTTTCACAGCTTTACCGTGCATCTATAGAACATTCTGTGATTTTGATCTACGGATAAACAGAGGGATTAAGTATTCTTTCATGAGTTGCGCACATTTTCTCTGTAATATATGCATCTTCATAAGAATATATTAAAGTCACATTTTCACTGTAAAGCAACATTTTGCTGGTGTTCAAATCTGACCAAGGCTGCAAAAAAAAATCAATTATGTACCTTTAGTATGTTTTCGCTAACAAGAAAACAGTTTGAAGCTTCATTATATTACAAGATGTAACATCATTTTCTTATGTTTTACCTGGCTGTTGTGACCAGTGCCTGAATAAAAGCAATGGTAATTATGTTAATGTCATACTGAAACCTCTGAAATAAGTCCATAGTGTTCCTTGAAAGAGAAAAGCATGTTTTATGGCTCTCTCAAGCTCCGATTTTCAGTTTTATGTAAGACCACTTCACCTGCACGCCACCAGATGACAGCATTTGCTCTGAATTATTTACTGTCAGATAGTGGAGGAATGGGAGGACACACACACAGAGAAGCAGACAGTTACAGAGAAAACAGAGATAAAAGATGCTCTGTACCTCTAAGAGTAGCCCCCTTCCTCGTTTGTCTTCATTGACAGGCTGTTGACACAGACCTGCCTTATCAGCCCCAGGGACTCCTCGTCTCACTGTGATGGATGGGACACACCCAGGCGTCTGCTATTCTATTATACAGCACTCATAGTTAAAATCTAATTCTCCCGTACTTGTTTGTACACTTCAGGGCCTCACAGAGTGATACACAAACTGCACTTGACAGGTTTGATGGATTCCTAACAGCCACAGTTTTGATCTATGGCGTATTTCAAGAATACATCTGGTTGCTTGCAGTGTGGGGGCTGACTACATTCCGTGAAAATGTTGCCTTGCAGAGGGTTTTTCCTTTGCTTTGTTGACCTTTCTCAAATGAGTCCAAAAGAAAAAAGCAGATCATTTTAATAATTTCTATGGGCAAAAGGCTCACTGAATTGTCTGTCAGTCTTGGTTTCAGAAGACTTTTCTCTCAATCTTTTTCTCTTAAAGCAAGAGAAGGTGTGCATGAATAATCTTCAACAATCTGATGAATCCCACATGTACATACACACCTCTACCTGGTTATACTTAGAGATTCTACATCACCAGCAGCACTTCAAACAATATTTCTGTGTTTCAAAATCATCCAAATAAGACGTTTTTCAGTATGAATCCAACATGGACATCCAGGCAAGTGAATGCAGAAACATGGTAACAACAGCATTAGTCAGGTACAGCCATCTCTCAAAAGAAGTACAGGAGTCCTGCTAAGCTGTGCAGAATGCCAGGATCAAAAGTGTAATCCATGACCCCATTCATGATGGATTAGATAATGATAAAAAAAGGGAAAAAAATGCCTTTGGTTTTGATTAAGAATGATGGGTTTAGGAGATTAGAGGGAACCAACCGCTATTACCCTGGATTGAGCCCAATCTCAGAATTAATCTGAATACTAAAAAAGAGAAAACTCATTATAGGGACAGATTAAGAAAGGATTGGTCCATTTATCTTAGGATGTACACAAACCAGTGCGCTCTGCGTGCACAAACCAGTGCATTGACTCAATGAAGGGAAATGTCGCCATAAAACCTCAAACGTTTTCTGTCATTTTTCGCTCTTTGTGTGTGAAATGTCACCGAGTGTTTGAGGCCATTCGTGTCCTGACAGGATTGATAATGAACTGAGTTAGAATTCCTCGCCAAATGTTTCTCTGTTAAGATATCTGAAGCCACATTTTTCCCTTTTTCTTAGTCATGTTGACATTGCCACTATAACTGCTCATTCATGAGCATCTCTCACTGTACTGGTTACATAATCTCAAAAATGTAGGGAACAGTCTGATGATAGAGTTCATAGCAGGACCAGGGTGAACACAAGGAGGGCAGACTTGTTGAAAAAAACGGCACTTATGGTCAGAGAAGATAAAACGGCACTGGCAGGAGCTGACTGAATCAGGATTCACAAGTCAAGTCATGTTTTTATGTTCTTGTTGATTTGTCTCTTTCACCTCACAGACCGCTCCAGAGGACAATAACAAACCTAGATAAAGGGAGGCACATAACACAACGTGAAACACAAAACACAGTGCCAAGGATTTGTCAGAGCAAACAATGTCTTTACAACTGTTTGAATGGTGCATGGATGTGATTTATTTGTCACGAGGAGTTCAATGTCCTTCAATGTGTCCTCATGAGCACACTTCCTGTCGGAATGAGTTAGTAGGTGTGCACTGACTGCCATTCATGCTCTCTGTATTCATGCTGCAGACCGATAATGATTAGGAAATGGATTATAAATTCATCGCATTTGTGAATAAATGGCTCACTGAATGTTTGGATATCAAATTAAAATGATTGATGAATTTCTCACAATGCATTTTTTAATATGTTAGCCTAATGACTGTGATTCCCAGACACAAATCAAGCCTCCGAAGGCTGACTTAACGTTGCTCTGTTTGCAGTGATAGCAGCAACTTAGACTGCAACTTTATCATTAAACACCCTCCTTTCCTCCCATTTAACACTCATTTTGACGTTTTTGCACCACTAGAAAAAACATCTTTAAAGCATTTATAGATAAAAAACTATTGTTAGTAAGTGTTAACTTTATATACTTATAGATGCAAAAGGTTTATCTTTTGGTTCTCTACATATACACAGGAATCTGTTCATGCAGTTGAGAACTGACTCATGACTAAAGCAACCTATCAGTTCAGAGGCTCATTACCATTCCCCTGGTGACCCATGTCCTTCTATAAAAAAGTATACATGAGATACAGCATGTTATCAGAAAGGTCATATTTTATGTCCTTACAGTATATACTCTCGTGACCTGTTTAGACTCCCTATCACTGCAGTTTGAGGGTTGTTTTGAATTCTCCATAAGCTGAAAACTCGGATAAAGTTACACCTGAAATGTAGACATTTTTATATGTAGCATGTATGCCAAGCTTGTAATGTAAGGGAATACATCTCTATGTGACAGCTGTTATTTCCTTTGTGAACATACACATCCTTTGGGAGCTTCTATGACAACTGGGAGAAAAAAAAAAAAATTCCCATTAGGCTTTCAAATTTGACAAGCGGAAAAAAAAAATAGCTCACCCACCGCCCAAAAAAAAAACATGAAAAAATTGTTACTCCCAGGTGAAAAAGAGCTTTGTCTTTGACCCATTGAGATTTCTTTTTTGTTGGAAAAAAAACCTTCTCCTTTTGCCCTTCTCTTCTTCCTGTATGAAATTCCTGCTGGGTTGGAGTTTGTGTGAATGTGTGAGCATGACTGGTTTGATGCCTGTGATGTTGGTCGTAGAAGGGAAAGAAACTAGCAGGTGGGCTCCTGTCTTTGGAGGTTGTTATTTCCTTCTGCTGGCTTCGATTAGCGCCCCAAACCACTGAAGCTATTTTGCAAGGTTGCAGCAGGTGAACAAAGACACATGCACACACCGCTGCCGAGAGAAAACAACAACAGCAGCCAATCATACACAGACTTAAGAAAATGCAAAATTCTTTTAATACTAAAAATCTAAGAAGGTGTCACATTTACACAATGGCAGATTTTATAAAGTTTTCTGATTCAGCTCAGCAAACTGCTATCTACTACAGCCATGAGGGAACATCAAGTGTTTATTCTCTGGGAGATTCCATTCTTACAACCATCACCTGCTTAACAATATCAATGTTTATATGCAGGTAAGATTCTACAAACTATATATATATATATATATATATTACTGCCGAAAATGTAATATACATACACAAACAGCTCGCAATAAAGAGGCGATGAAGAAACAAATTTCACATCAGCTTGCTAGCCCACATACAAATCTGAATGTTGGATCAAACGAAATGCAGTCTTCGATGCAACTTTAATCATGATTTTGATCCCAGGTTCATGTGCTTGAATCTATTCTCCCTCCGTCCCTCCTTGCAGCTCTTTTGGGCTGACAGAGGATGCAAGGGGACCGTGCTGCACTGTGCTGCCGTGACCTCCTCCGGATGCCTTTGTAACACTGCAGAGAGATACCCAATTCCTCCATCACAGTGGTAAAAGACACACACTGCCAACGAGAAAGACAACAGAAAACATTAATCAAAATACCTGTGACGCTAAGTCAGAGAAAAGCTCATTAAAAACGCAGATATCCGGCCATCTTTTGTTTTTTTTTAGAGACGCATGGCTCACTACTGAAACAAAATGAATTAGTCTGAGGGAGTAAAGCTGGAGCTAAAAGTGAGTAGGCGGCCAGCAAGTCATAAACCACTTAGCTGGGACTGATAAAACTGTACTTTTATATAAAAGAGCTACATCCCATTTATAAACTCAATTGGTGCTGCGCAACATGCTGTTTTAGAATAACAGAAGCAACAACCCCATTCCTAACCCCATCAGGTTAGTCCTTGAAACTATCAAAGAAATGCCCTTCTGAAATGAAATGCTGCAGGCTTCTTTGGGCCAACTTAAAACTTGTATGTTTATTTTTTCTGGTTTCTGGTAAGGGTGTTAAAAAATCAGCATTCATGGCACAAATGGATTCTTTCTTTATCTCTGCACATCTGCAGTCAGGCAACAGAAACCCTTCCTGATTATCCAAAGGCTTTTCAAACAGACACCCATGACGTGCTGTTTCAGAGATTAAATCGTAGCCTCTTTCAACATGTTCTTTCATAGAAAAAAATGATTGAATGAAAGTACTTTCTGAGTCAGCAGAATATTGAAAACATTTGGCGTTAGTTTTAAAAACTGCAGTTAACTTAGTTGCAGTGTCATCTCAAAAAGCTTCCATATATTGAATATTTTCAATACTTTATCAATTTTGTTGTTTATTGTCATTCCATGCAGTAATTTATTCACTGCATTAGTCTTTTGCATCTTAGTGTAGCAATGCCATGCTATTCATCTGTACAACACAGCTACTCTGCCCAGACTGTAGTCTGTATTCTGATCAATGTTCTTCTGGCACAGCTAAAGTTGTGAACTTAGACTTTTCGGTGGATCGTGTGTGAACCCCTGATATGATTTTGCTCTCCCTTGTGTCTCCGTATCACTACATCTGCCACGCTGCCAGCACACTAAGCACGACCCAGCTCAGCCTCATTAGCTTCGCATTCAGCTGTCCCATCATGCTTTGCTCTCCTCACTCCAGTTTTAAGCTCTGATTATTACGTTACCGCACAAACAATGCAATTTTTCTGAATCATTTATCTGTGGACTGATCAACAAAACTCAATAAGGGATAACATATTCACAGTCAGCCACAAAAAGGCTTAACAAAAAAGAAGGAATCAAATAACATTTTGTGTTCTTTGATTTTCCCAAAAAACATTGCATTTATGTAAGAATGCCTACTGAGACAACATTTCCACAAAATATGCCACACATCATCCATTTGATCTTATTTAGATGTAATAAAAAATAAAAAATAAAAAAAAGTTTTAGAAATCCCCCAAAAACTTTGCATTTCTAATATTTCAAAATTGAAAAGATGAATAACCCACACTTAGAAAAGAACCATAATGTCTTCTTTATTGCCCTCTGTTAGAAAAGTCTGTATAATCAGACTTTCATCTGAGAAAGTGCTTGGTGCTCAACGCGATGGCATGCAAATAAAAGTGGCTGGTCACTTATGATGAAGACAGCGTGCATGTAGATGAGCTTTTTGCCCCTGATTGAATCCACACTCTCATCCGTAGAAGGTCAATTCTTTCTGCTTAAATACATTCTGTTTATTTACACTTTTTAGTTAGCGAGAGGAATACTGGCTAAAAATGATAACAGAAATCTCTCAAGTCTTGCTGAAATGTACAATTAGCTTTAAAACAAAAAACGTACAGTTGAGAAGAAGGATGGCCAAGCGGGTTCTGAGGTGAAAGAGGGTAAGAGTAACAGGGGTTTGGGTAAGGCTACGGGCTCAGGTGAAGGTTCAGCAAGGGCAGAAGGAATGCCATCTAGTTACAAACCTATAGTCTAGGGCAAATAAGAGTTGTGTGTGAGTTGCCATGGCTACTCTGTGTCATCCCTCAGTAGCCTGCCGCTCTCCAGATCATTAGATAAGGAGCTGCCAGAGGAGGAGTTGGAGCCACGCCGCTGAAATTGACGAGACTGCACCCCGTAAAAGAAACAAAAGGCCTGGTGTGAAGAAAACGGGATGGAGGAGAAAACAGAAAAGACATCCAGGCATGAAAAAAGTTGAAATACTGAGAAAATGAAAATATGAAAATCATAGAATGAAACAGAAAAAAAGGCAGCAAATCAAAGAAGACAATGGAATTGTTGTTGTTCTAGTATCTAAAATGTGAACTGGAATGATCATTTTTTGTCACTGTTATTTAAAAGATAATCAAATTATACCAACAAAAAACACTTGGTAAATATTTAGTTTGCCGTGTTTTGGAGCTTCACCTCAATTGAGCTCTTTACCTCATCTAACCCACTGTTTACTGTAAAGGACTGTTAATTGGACTTTCACCCAACAGCAAGCAAGCATTTTGAGTAAATTATTCATACTGAGCACACAACATCCTGTGAACACTTCAACAGATTAAAAAAGAGAACACCTTTTTTTACACTCTTGATGAATTAGTAAACTGTCTGTTTACTTCTTCATAAGCCACTCATTTGTGTTTATACCACAGAGGAACAGCAGTCTCACACTCACTCACCTCCTCTATGTCAGCATTCCTGCGGGCTTTGTAGATGAATTCTCCAATGGCAACAAAGACAGAAAGAACCAAACCAGCAGCCAGGACAATGAAGATACCACCGATATTCTCTACTCCGAGAGCATTGGCCTCCTTATTGTCCTCTTCTGGACAGCCATTTCCTCTCCACCACTTCTCCTTCATCATGTGCAACTTCCCCTCCTCCTGCAGCTGAAGGATGGCAATAGTGACTTTATCCCTGTATGGAGAGCCTGGTGAGAGAGAAGTGACATTTACAGAGCAATCACATGAACTTCGAGCATCTCTATCTTTATTTGTACCATGCTTTTCTAGATTTTAAATTTACTTTAAAAGCTAGATAATAAAGAGGATGTGTTTTGTAATGAACTGGTTAAATCAAATTTGAACTGGCTCGCAATGTGTGCATCTACATTCACCCTCAGGTTCAGTTACCGCCCGCCATCTGTACTCTAAGTTTCATGATCTCAAGTGGTCAATACACTTGAGATAGATGGTCACTTGAGAGAGCAGTAAAAAGACACTGTTTGAAGGAAGAAGTAAAAAAGATCCTCATGTTACAAAGATGCTGGTCATACCCAGAAACTAGCAAACTTGTTGACTCAAAACAAATCACAGATCTCAATTCAGTTAAGAATGTGTAGTGGACCTCATAGTCTGTACACCATATAAATCCATAAGCCTTGAGAAAAGGGCTAAAATCAAATTCAAACAGTCTTTCAGGTTTAACTGCTGTAAAAGATGATCAGATTTATAGGCATATTTGTTCATTTGCGACTCAAAACTCTCCAAATTCAAGGCTAGACATCACAAAAACAGGGGAAACTGTCAGCATGGGTGAATACTCACTCAAAACTCAAATACCCATGTCAATTCTGGAGTTGCAACAGTGCAATCCATATCTTTGTTTAAAATGTATACAGAACAAAAATGTCTGGCAAAGTTTTTATTTTGCACATGAAATCAGAATATCTCCCTTAAAAAGAGAGATGGCCTCAGGTGTTGCATAACATAATATGTTCTAAGTGCCACTCAAGGAAATACAGGTAGAAGCTGCTCCCACTTTTAAATGCAAGAATATAATCAAATTTCCAGCTCTGCAGTTTAACATAACGCAATAATTGTCAAACCTTCGCTTGCACATTGCTTATATCTCTACATTTCCAGTTGCTGTGGTTTTTATCCGAATGAAAGAGGGTCCACATGAAGAAATGGTGGGTTGACATAAAAGTGGATTGGATTAGCCTAATGACATCTTAGTGCAACAGGGATCAGTACCAATTTAGCTTTCCAGAAATGTTCTGGTAATTGGCTCTCCCTGACAAGTACAACGCTGCAGATGTTGCTTGATTCTGTGGTGGCTGCAGTAGGTTTCCTACAGGAATAGCAGCATTAGAGCTGCAGACAACACTCATGATTAAAAGCTCATCAGGCTGGCCTGTATGTATGAGTGAATGGGTTTGTGGTGGAGGTACACTACAAAGGCTCATCAGCAAAGCTACTCATCTGCTTAATGACATCTTAATGTTACCTGGGAGATTCGTGGAGTAAAACTGAAGGTTATGCAACACTGTTGTTTTTCTTTCACCTTATTAAACTTATAGTTGAGTTTTTTGCACCTATTGATATCACAATAGGTTTCCTCTCTGACGTCTCCCAGATTTTGTAGCTTATAAATCGTGCTGATGTCAATCGTCTCCAGTAGAAATGATAGCTAACACAGATCGAGCTGTTAAGTTCCATTGAAGCAAACACACACCCAACAGTGCACACATCAAACACTATAAAACTTTTGGTTGTTTTTCTGGTAACCAAGTTCTCCTTTCAATGAACCGGCCTAAAACCTTGTATCGATATTAACCCCATGCATTTCCATCAAAAAGCCAAAGTTTTTTAATAGAAATGCATAGAGAATGCAGGATGACACTTCTGCCCTCGAAAAAATTGAAGAATAAGACTATAAAATTCCAAAACAATGAAAATGAAAAAAAGGATGTCAAAAAACTCAAGAACCTCAAGGTCTTTCAATTGAATATTCACAAGAATGTAAATAAAATATGTGTATGTCAAGAGTAACACCAAAATCTAGATTTAAAAAAATATCTGTGCGTGTCATTAAACTTGGATGATTAAAGTGATTAAAGTGAAAGTACCTTTGCATAACTAACAAACCAAATAATAGGACTAAAAAACAAGAGTTAGTTTACATTGCCAGTATGATGTTGATGTGTTCACATTTCATAAGAATGTCCAAAACAACGATTCACCACTGACTGTCTCTCTGTCTTTCTGTCATCCTTCTTACCAATCGGCGTTCCCACTCCATAGCCCTTGGAGTCTATCAGACCTCCGATCTGTGTGAGGTTACAGTTCCTCTGGCTGATGTATTCAATGCTTGTGGACTCCATCAACATGGCGTAGTCTGTTGTTAAAACTCGGGTGATCCCTTCCTTGTTGTTCTTAACTAACGCAGTGTTCTTCCTGCTGCTCATGAAAGCCCACATCTTCTCATAGGTGGAGATCTTGGATTTCTGCAGGACCAAATCAGAGATAGCCATTAAGAAGAGTGACACATTTGTGTAGAAAATCATAAGTTCACGCATGCTTTTTACTCCAAATACAGCATGCGTGCACACCAGCTTCAACTAGATTGAAATTAAAACCATAACTATATAAGTTTCACATCATGATATGGATGTCTCATTGAGTGTGTCTATTCTTGTTCGCTCAGATAAAATGGAACAGCTGCATTCTTAATCTCCTCCGGCTGATTCAATTTGTCGAGGCCATCAACACAGCCTGCATCTTTCTTTACAAGCAGCCATAATCACTGGCTGCAATCTGATGGGATAAAGCTCAGCATGAATCACCCCTGCTGAACCACAGGATGCAAGGAGGGTTGGGAGTTGTGAGGTAAGGAAGTGACAATCCTGCCAGAGGACAGTCATAGATTATCAAACACAAACTGAAAAGTTAACATGAGTCTATCCTCAAACCAGAAAGCCAAAATCACATGTCATGAGGTTTTGATAAGCATGATCCATCTCCTTTTTAGAAACTCACTACTTATTACTTTCAAAGTCAAAGTCAAAGTGAGACCCTTTATTGCTTTTTTTTCATGGGATGGAAAATGCAAATGAATTAGGCAGTAGCAGATTAGACAATATTGTGTAGATCAAAATTTTCCATCCCCCTTCATCCATCTATTTGTCACGCTTATTTCAGTTCAGGTTTGTGGAGGGCACTGGAGCCTATTTCAGCAACAAAAAAGATAAAGGACATAGAATTACCTTAAAAAAGGTCATAGTAGATCCATCCCTCACTGCCCCGTATTCAATCCTGGTCTGTTTGGCAAGATCATCCGCAGAATCGATCGGTGCGTCCATTCTTTCCACAGTAAGGAAAGCTGCCAAGTTAGCAGTGTAAGATGAGATGATGATTAGAGTAAAGAACCACCAGATACCCCCAAGTATTCGAGTGGACAGAGCCTTGGGCATTAGCTCTGAGCCTGGAAGCATAGAAAGAGAGAAAAGAGGTTTGCTTAAAAGGTGAAGGTAAAACAAAGAGTACAAGCTTTAAAGTGGAGAATGATTTGATAACGCAGGGTTAATTGGGCTACTGACACTAATGCGCTAAAAAATATTCTGATTATGTATTTGTGTGGTCGCATCGTAAACACAATTTTGTAAAGCATCCTGAGAAGGCACTCAGAATCAAAGTATCAAAGAATCAAGTATCTATTTTTTGTTATTTTTAAGAAGGATCTCTTTCACAAACAAGTAAGGCTTTGATCAACTCTTGATGATCAACTCTCTGATCAACTCTTCATGTATCCGGATATACAAGTAAGAAACTTACCTTGCCGCATGAGAGCTCCAATGCCAAACCAGAAACTGTTCAGTAAAGTGAAATTGTTCTGGACAAGAGATGAGGATGGGTTGCATGGATGTGGATTGTACCACTCATATGGGGTAAACCTGCAAGACAGGGGAAAAATGTATAGGTGGTAAAAGACACCAGAGCCATTCATTCAAACACAAAAGAAATGCATTAAAGATTAATCTTCCAAACCTATGGTCAAACTGGGATTTTCTCATCATGCACGCCTCAGTTCACCAGAGTAATATACACTTAACCATGATTTACATTTTGATTGTCACAGATCGATTCTCCCTTGCCCTGAAAAACTTTTCAAGGCAACAGAGAAATGCATTCACAACAGTTACTCTCAGTTTTTTAACAACCAAAGAGAACTGCCACTGAATAACAGCTAAATCTATGTTATGTTTATCAAGCAACAGTGATATGCAGAGGTGATATCCCACAGTAAAAAAGTGTATCAAATATTTAAAATCTAAGCAATTAAAAATTTACTCCTCAGCAGATGCACACACATTTCCTCAGTAAGATCCTCTCCTCCCTACATATATCTGGCACATTTTTTTTCATGCTGTACAGAACTTCCTGATGTTCTTTCATTCCACGCACACCTCCATCCTCTTACCTAGCAATCACAAAGAGCACACAGCTGACACCAGTGCAGGCCAGTAGCACGTACATCCAGATGTCTGGAGACAGAGGATTGAGGAAGGAGAACACGCCTGGATTGGTGCCATTTGGTTTCCGATACAAAATGCTGATACCTAAAGTCATAAAGGGCTTGGAGAAGTCGATCACCTTCTCCCTCACATAGGTGATGGTTAATGGAGCAACAGCAAGGTCAGCAACCTGGTGCAAAGATAAAAAGTTACGATCTTTTTTACTCCTGTATTATTTTAGGCATACTTGAGGGTGCATAAGTAAACACGTTGAGAAAATAACAGATTTTCTTTTCTCCAAGCACAATTGATTAAATGTTTCATAAAGGAAAACACTGCAATGCCCCTCAGACTCATGCAGGATTTTTTTTTTTCTTTACAACTCTTCAAACAATAATGTTGCTGTAAGTCTTTTTGTAGTTTTGGTGTACAAACTTTCCAAATGTGCTGGTAACATGACTGAACACTCTGTCTCGAGGCAAGCTTTACTGGAGTCTGTAATATCAACTTTGAACAACTTCATCATTACTTTTCTGCTCCATGAAATGAAAGAAATCGTGACTAACGACTGACTGTCCAAAGGTTTACTCACATGGTCGATCAGCTCCCGGACCATCCCGTTCCACTCTCCCTTATCGTTCTGGGCTCCATACTTGCCGTCACCCACCAGTCTGACTTCATACGTAAAACCCAAGATGTTTGAGAGCTCTTTCAAGAGGTCCATGCAGTAGCCTTCATAACGATCATTTCCCACCAGCTCTTTGTCAGATTTTTTTATCATCACATATGGATTTTCCTGCACAGCGAAAAATCTATCAATCAGTAAAATACGTTTAAAACATTTTTAGTTAAAGACAAATACATTCTCCATCTGTGGCCATTTGGTTTTATGCTGTGTATGTAATTAGGGAATTGGAAATATAGTTTTGGTTTGATGACACTTAAATGAATGACAATAAAAAGGAAGAATTAGTCAAGAGTATATTGTATTGTATAATTGCAGTAAATGATATTCTGCTTTTATGCGCTATATCTTCTCTATTCATTCCCTTCTTCTGTGTTTGTAATTTCTTTCATTGTTCCAACTGTCTCCACTCTAAACATTACAAAGGTACCCTCTCTATTTCAATATACTGTCCTCCATTTAACCTTCTTCCTCACCTGTATGGTGGTGACAATAAGAGTCCGGTTGGCCATAGAATCTGTCACATTGTTATTCTTGTCTCGGTTTGGCTTCTCCGTCAGGGTCATCCCCTTATATGAGTTCCACACAGCAACCTGGAAAGACAAGCATGGCTTCAGAATAATAAATTCATGTTCTGCTTTCATATAAAGTATATGTGACCTGTAACATTAACTGATAGAGTCACTATAGTAGAATGTCAAATCTACTGTGTAGAAAATACAAACATTTCTTTAGTTTTTCCATGTCTAAACAAAAAGTTCGAACCTGCCCTGGCACACTGCGCATTAATCATATTTTCTGATTCAATGAACAGAAAAATTAAGAAGTATAAAGGTTAAAAGGCCTGACACTCCTGGCTCCCTTTCAAACTCGTGTTATTCACTATCCTACAAGATTTCCATTCGATCAGCTCCGCTCTGAAAATTCTGGACAAAGTGCTGCGAACTTCATTTTATACACACACAAAATTAAATGAAGAAGTAGAAGAAGTAAAATTTGGTGAATGCTCATAGCTGCTCTTGTCTTTTTGTGCAGAAACAAAGCTGATTTCCACAGCATAAAGATGATCTTTATCATTAACAACTTTGGATTGGTGCACTTACAATGGTCTGATTTATGTATGCAAAAAGCAAGCCACTATATTATTACCAAAGATAAAATAGTAATGCTTATCTAACTGCTATGAATAGAGCTAAAACAATCTTGTAATAACAATCAAAACACCTGAGATATAACTCTCACTCATCTGAATATGATGGTAAGGAGTAAAAGGGGAAGCATGAATGAAAAACAGCAGAGAAAGGAGGATAGATAAAAATAGGCAGACAGCCTTATTCACACTGTCAATGTGAATTAGGCTGTCTGCCTCGTCTGTCCAGGCGGTATAATCCCTACAGTTATCAGATTAGAACAGGCATCTGGCAGCTGGATTATGAACCCCTCAAATCCCCCTAACTGTTTAACCAAGAAAGGGTCAGGGGAGCTCATGACACTGATGCAATAAAGTCAAGCGCATTAACTCATTACAGTTCATAGAATTAAAAGACATGACTAACTTTCCCCCTCTGGCAAATTCTCTCCGTAACAAAAACTAAAGTGTGTTGTTTTTTTTATCCAGATACAATGGTCTGTTTGGTGACTGCATTAAAGGATGAGCTATTATGTAGATGTCTCTCATTAAATGGAGCTCTGCAGAAAGGGAAATCTTACACTTTAACGGAAAATGTTTGTATGGGATTTACACTTAAAAGATGGAAATGTTTTTACTCTGTTACACAGTAGCCTATACAGACAGACAAAAAAATATATCTTAACTGAAAAGCACTCCATATTCCCACTGTTGCACCCTGTGCAGTAGTCTATAAATCTGTCTTTTATCTCTGGACACTGAAGATGAGGAACACTCTGAGTGCAGTTGGATTTAATTACTTGAGCTGTTCTTAATCAAAAAGATAAATGGGTGGAGTGAGAACAATATTTTCTTGAGTGGGGAGACACTTTGACTTCAGATTGTATGGTTTAACAAAATCATTATTATCATCATATTGAAAATCCAGTCCTCTCTGAAACACAAGATCTGAAAAGTTTTGAATTTAAAAGAAATCTAGCCAAGCCTTTAGAGTACATTAGAAAATTCAGGCCAAGCATATAGTCTTTGAAAGTCCAAGTTGGGGTTTGTTGTGCAAAGCAGCTTGAGCCGACAAAGTGTGTTATAGTAACTGACAGAAATTCTCGCCCCTATGCTTAAACTAAGATGAATGAATCCCACAGCTCATCCTTGCCCAGAACCAAATCACTCTGGAAAACCGTTACCATAGATCAGACCCGTAATGAACCAGGCCTTGAAAGCCGAGGGGGGAAAAACATTATTTCCAGAGAAGTCCACAACTTTGAGTGAAAATATTTTAATTCTTTGACTTTATTCAGTCTCCTTTATTCTCTACACTGTATTTAACACACCAGTGCTCAAGAACTTAACCACAACTGCAACCAACTGATATTTCATTTTTCATGACAATGAAGTCAGACATTTTATGGCATGTGCTCACCATAAAGTGCTTTTTCCTCTTAAGGGAGGGTGGTGAGGGCTAAAGTACTGAGTGGAATTAAAACTGTAGCATAAATCATCATTTCTGCACTTTGACAGCTGCTGACTGCCTGCACAACGGTGGGCCTGACAACTGAAAGAGACAGTGGGGAGGAACTTTGGAAACAAATGGTCTTTTAAAGCATGAACCGCTTCATAATTTGCTTTTACACTCGTGAAATAATTTCAGTTCTAGCTATAGATAATAGTAGGATGCTTTTACTTAACTTGGTTTGGTGTTTGTCTATTTTGAAAATATTGAGTATACTTTAGGTGACGGTACAGAGTATCTCTTCATTGTCATTGGGTTTACATAAATTGTTTTTCAATTTGTTCTTGTGTCAATCTTTTTATCTCATACATTCAAAAACTGATAAATCCAGGTTGATGGCACAATGACATCAGACCTACTTCCATCCGCAAATCAAGCAGGCTGAAGCATAATTTCAATGTGACACCATATGCAACAGTTTCTATGCTATAACAAAAATAATGATCCTTTTTTTTAAACTACAAAAAAGTTTTGACATGTGTCAGAACAGTCAGTCTGTACACAAACAGGAGGAAAACAGATATGTCAAATATAGCACCACGATACACAAAATCAGCGAAGAGTAACAAAGTTGACAAGGCAGGAAGCAAGGGGGTGTGTGGCGTATGGAATGAGAATAGGGAAGAGGACGGGAAAATAACAAAAGTTTCAACCAACACAGGGTACTAGAACAAACCTTGATCCACCTTTTGGTGAGACGACTTGTACCTTCCACAATACCCTTTTGATATTTTGAAAAAGGCAATATGAAGCAAAACAGCATGAAAGGAGACAGTCAGTAGTTGCAGCATCATTACAATTTTTGATTAGACAAACAACAACACATAAGAACATGTGAAGGGATTCCAGAAACAAAAGAACAAGTTTCTGTGGTACTACCCTCTTTCCCCTTTCCTTTCATGAGCACGAAGACACGTGAATTGTCCAGTCTCGACGCTGCAGGAGAGTGGTGTAATTGGCTGTTTCGGGCCTCTGTACTCACCCTGGTAGTGCCATCCTCTTGGAGGCTGATGATGTCCAAATCAAAGTTTCTCCTCAGGCCATCTGTCTTATTAAGCACAATGTGCCCTGTAAGTCCATCCCACTGTGCCTACAAATTAAACAAGCACACAGAATGTAGAAGGAGACCATCTCAGTTCTTTGTATGTGCAGAGCTGGACTGATATAGCTTGAGCAGATGGAGAACGGATGTTTTGTACATAATGACATTTAGCAAGAACTTGCACCTTTCAATGAATGGATGTAGATATTTTTGCGGTAGTCATGTGAGGTCATGATTAGGATGGTGACACGTGACAGTAAGTAGATTTGCAAGCAGGTGAATTCTGAATGCATTTTAGGTGCCTATACACATGTCGCTTAGTTTTATATAAATAAAGGGGGACTTGATTTGACTTTAAAAAACACTGTTCAAACATGAATGAATATTTTATTTTCCAGACCTAAAAAGGTTGCATGAACGCTTCAAACATCTTAAATGTTTGGGTAAATGACAGTCACTGAACATTTCCCTCCCTCAGAGCCTTTTTTTTGTGTGCTGCCTCCCAGCATGACAATCCAAAGGGTCTTTCATGCAAGCACACACTGTAATATAAACACCCCACAGCTAAAATAGATGCTCTCTCCAAGTTAAAACAAAACATATGAACAAATTAAACAAAAGAAAAACTATACTTAAGAGTAAAGCATATCTCAATCAGCCCATGTCTTGATATGTTTGGAAAGTTAAATTTTTGTTTTGGTTGGTTAATTAAATCTAAAAAGAAGGTTGGATTTAGAAATTAATTAAAATCAAGCACAAAAAGCATTGCACCAAGCCACCAAAAAATTGTTCACAGGCTTGTAACGTGTAGTACATCTACTTAATTTAAAAGTGTGTTTTACAACTGGGTGCATAGCTGCTTGCAGAGTGTGTCAAAGAATGTAAGCCAGCTTTGTTCTGCCAAGCCTTATGGATCTACATCATTTATCTTGCTAGGTGAGCCCAAATACCCTTGAGATTCAGTTTTTCCTGTTAACACCCCCTTTGTCTTTCTTTTCCTTTTCCTATTTATTCACTTTATTATTGTTACATTTTCTAACCTTGAAATGGAATGCAACTTTAAAATGTCTTGAGGTGAGACTGGTTGTGATTTGGCTAAATTGATTTAAATTGAAAATAAAAAAAGTATGAATAAACTGAATCAAGGGTCATTTACAGAATGTTGACTGTGGTCAACAAGGCTTTTTAAATCTGGTCTGCATGTCCATTCACTCTTGACTGCAGAACAGACACTCAAGTACACGTCAACACAAAACACAGCACACAGGAAGAGAGACTGTGTCCTCTGGTAAAATAACTGGTACTGGTATCTTCAAATAGCAAAAGGTTTTTAGTAATACAGTCAGGCTTCAAATAATAAGCCCTTTCCTCAGAATTTTCTGTCTTTCCTCCTTGCAAATCACCTCGAGGGATACATCTAGGACATTTTGTCTCAGTTTGTGTTTCACCAACTTTAGAGCTAAAATGTTACAACTCTATGTGAGAGTTTCTATTCTTGTTGGCATTTTTTGATCAGTTAAAAAACAAAAACAAAAACTGTGAATGAATGATTGTGTTGAAATCATCCTTGTTCTGTGCTGATTATAAAGCTTGGCATAAATAGAGTCTCACCCTGCTTTTAGAGACCTGCATATTCTACCACATTATTGATGGAAACAACAATCAAGAATCTGGCTAAAAAAATAGAAACCAAATTGCAATCTGAATTTAAAATCTTAGCCCCCTCACCATCTCCTGAAAAATTTTGAGTGAAACAGATATTTATGAAATTGGACAAAATGCCACACTTTTGAGAATATTTTGAATCCACATTTGTAATCTACTAAATTGTAAAACTTGAGCTATGGTACAGGAGTAGAAAACACTGCAGCAATTTGGTTACAATGTTAGATTATTTTCTTGGTGTGAAATCAGTCCTTATAGTAATACATTAGAAAAAGGAAAACTCAACAAGTATGCATACAAAAAGAATGAATGATAAAATACACCAAGGAAAATACAGGTCATTACTCACTTTTCAGGACACAATGTGCACTAAATCGAAAATGTGTGTCTGAACATGCAAAATATACCTAAATGGATTAATTAAATTCAACTAAACATAATGATTATCAATACCACAATAGCCAAAGAAAACAACAGATGCCCAGGTTAAAGCTTCAAGTGGATAATTTCAGTGCTGAACGCTGTGAAATATTTTTTAATTGTTCATTCGACATATTTTCCAGTCAATTCAGTCAGAGAGGCTATCATGAAGTGATGAATAACACCGGAGGCAAGAAGCTTCAAAGGATGGACAGGAGGAAACACAGGAAAAGCAAAAAAGGAGAGGGAGAGTAGGATGTCCACAAAACGAGCTGGGCATGAAGATGAAAATGGAGCGAGGGGATGGAGTGATAATGTTCTCTCTCCGTGGCACCGTGGCAGGAAAAAGTCCTCTACTGGATTTAGGACATCAAAACACTCCAGCATCAAAGGCCTCATTTCTGTCTGTGGGCATCCAGTCTGACTAGGCCACATGCTTTCAACTTCTAAGTACATAAACGCTATCTATTCTCACATTGAGAGATCTCAGAGGTTAAGCATGGCCTGGGAGAGGGCACATATAGCGACTTATTTCACATGACATGGACAGGCACGGAATATTTTGCTGAATTTTATAACCAAATCGGGAGCATTACAAATGTGAATGATCTTGTGCTCGTAAAGTCCTTTGAAAACGTTGGAACACATCATCAAAAATGCATGGCAAAGCAAAGCAGAGGGCTGTAAGCAGGGAGGTGCGGGCTCTTAGCTCTCGGTAATTTGACACCTTGTCTGACACCGACCTCTTTGAATAGGTTCATGAAGCGTGGTCCGAAGCGCCACGGCTTGTGACGGTGGCACTGCAGCGAGCTGACCGTCATCTGTGTGGCCCGTTGGGAAGCTACAGCCACCATGTACACGGCATCATACATCAAGGCTGCGTCTGTCTGCAGAGAGATATGGTAGGAGGAGGATTTTTTTTTTAAACTCTTAAAAGCAATACACATAGAGACACTGTATATGTGCAGTATATAAACAGCTAAATTACAAAGCCAGGAGAGCAGGTCTTGAGCGTATGATTTTACCAAAGCAGCACACAAATGTTCATCAATGCACGTTGAGCAGAGCAGAACTTACAGTCATGACTCCGTCAATCAGACCACTCTCTTGTTTGGGACCCTGCAGTCTGTCCGTAGCCCACTTCTCCATCGTGGAGGCTACCCACGGGTCATCAAAGTTGAGCAGTCTGAAACCCGTCATGTTGACCCCACTGTAACGGTATGGCTCCAGATCCAGAGCAAACAGATCCTGAACGGGAGAGAAGAGAAGGCAATTATGACGGAACATGGGAAACTGTATTTTACATGTTTTTAAGCTCATGGCGTCACAGTCTCAGTCAAAACTTCGTAATATTCCCTGTGATCCCATATCTAACATTAGGCCATGTGAGTATTCAGAGCTTGGTTTGTGTGGGCAGTTGAGAATTTTTCAAACTCACCAAAGTTGTGAAGAAAAAATGGTAGTATTCTGTCATCATTCCCATTGATGAAAGCTGCGAAATCAGGAAAGTTAATAGGGAAAAAGTAAAGTCCTGGCCTTAAAAAATCATGTCTGAATAATCTAAAACAGTAATACATTCATAAGATTTAAGGACATGTAGACCTTTTTAAATTTAAGGTTTACGTCATACGTTATAGTTCTGCCAAGGACGTTAGTTCTATAATGCTAAGGAACAAACTATTGACCTGCTTTAGGATTTCTGATGCTGCGCGGTATGAGCAGTCAAAGATAATAAAAAATTCTTTGTCCTTCTTGAGTTCCTTGAGCAGGGGTCGGGAATCTTGGTCACCCGAAGAGAGCTGGCGAATCTTGATCTTCAAGTTTAACTTTGCAGGAGCCTTTATCAACTCCTGCATCCGCATCAGACCTAAAGAGAAAACAAAAACACAGCCCACCCACACACACACTGAAACACACTCCTTCTTCCTCGTCCTCTCTGGTGGAACAGTCTTAAAACCAGTGCAGAACATAGGCTTCTTGCTCACAGAAATCCAACGATCACGGATCAGAACAGAAACAGAAGATCCCTTTTCTTTGCATCATTCTAATCATCAGCTTCAGCGTCTTCTTCGGCTGTTCTCACAAAGTAACTGTAATGTGTATGTGAACACCACATGCCTCTGTGACATTTCAAGTAAATGAATTCTTAATAATAATAAAAAAAATCCCAAGATAAAAATAAATGTGACCTTTTAAATTGTATGCTCTCCAGGTTGTGGCAAGAAGTCTGCTGCGCTTTCCATTTTGAAGACCGTGAGCAGAAGTCATAGACTTATTACAGACTAGTTCACTGGCTAGCAAACAAGAAATAACTTTGGTAGATAGGATTATATTTTGTTATTAAAACTATTACATAAGTGTATTGGGAGATCCCAAAAAATAGAGCTAGAAATTTGACAGAGCTGTATTTTTCAGCATTTCTTAGATCCTGCCAATCAACATTATGGATAGTAAAATGAAAAGTCTTGCAACTTAAGAAACTTTGCATTAATTTGCTTTCAATAACTAATTACGTGACTTTAACACTGATGCTAAACATCTGTTGTAATCATTGGTTCCAATCAACAGTGTGTTCAAGAATTTAACCGGTTTTCAAAGTGACAATTGCTCTTGGCCTTACCTGTGCTGTCTTCATAGATCACCGTTAGTTTTTTCCATTTGAAGAATGTGACTACGTCCAGGATGGCTCTGGCGATGGCCGTGTACTCGGGGTACAGGTTGATGAAAAAGGTGTCTTTGTTGTCCACTGATGGGTGCTTCCAGCGAGTCTGTATGTGGGGGACTTCCAGGGCATTGCAGATGGACTGAACTGCACTGACCGAGGAGCTGTGAGAGGGGCCGAACACAGCGACCACCCCCAGGGCTAGCTGGTCACACACTGGGGACAAAGAGAAGCACAGAGTGCATAAAACCAGAAAATGTGACAACAGCCCAGAAAGCTCCAAAAGATGGAGCTTAAAACAGAATGTTTTGTTTGAAAGTCTGTGAGTATTTTAAGTAAAATTGAATTATTTTTTTCTATAAAATCCCCTTAAATAACTTTGATGTGAGGTCAAAGTGAACTGACTTTCCATCTTATCATCGTTTCTTACCTCTCCTGGAAGCTTCAAAGCCATCAAAGACATTGATCCTCTGAATGTCGTAGGTCAGAGTAATGTTGGGCATTAGGGTCTTGTTGCGGTTTATGTTATTGACCGCAAACTTGAAAGCCAACTCGTCCATACTCACTAACTCGCTTTCTCTGGTCTCAAAAATTCCACCTGCCAATGGAGAGGGAGGACAAAGATGATGACTAAGTTAAAACAGGAACAGTGTAAAAGGTAAAACAAATCAATCAAAGCATATCCCAGCTGTTACTGGGCAAGAGGCAGGGTCACCCTGGACAGGTCACCACTCCATCACAGGGCCTTAATGGTTTTAGTCTGAAGTATTTATCAAAGTATTTATCTAATTCACCAATGGTCTATAAGCCTCCCAGTACACTCAGGTGCTCTCTTTTCTATATCAAAAGTGGCATCCCTGAGGATAGGGCTCGGGTTAGTGTTTTTCAAGGACATGTTAAGTCTTACCTTCTCAGCAAAGTTATTTGAGTAATATTAAGTTCTAAGTAATTTATGTCTTTGTTTATTGATAGGTTATTATAAAAGATTAATTCATCCGTAGTGCAGTAAAGTCTAAAAATTATAACTGTGATTAATGAAATCATGAGATGATTTGTCACTTCAGAGAGTGAAATAATTTTCACAAGCTGGTAAACTCAAAGTTATTGAGAAAGTCGTAACAAAAATGTACTTTTTAAAAAACTATTAAACTTTCTCGATGTTGGAGTTAAAACTTAATTTATTTGATCTTCATTCAGTAAAAACCACAATGTTAGATTAGTGGTCATTAAACAGATCTCTTTTATTACTTAACTATTGTAAATTACCAGACTTTTTCCAAACACAGTTATCTATGAAATCTTGTTGTTTTGATTGGTTCATGTTCAGTTCAGTTGTTGAATCAGTTGTTTCGCAGCTTACACATATTGTAACACATCACCAAAATGCTTTATAATGATTCTCATAATGTGGTTAGAAATGCTACATGCCTTAAGCCTCCCACAGATGCCTATATATGATCAGCATGTAGTGTTCGTATGAAATAGCAGCAACGGTAGTTGTTCTTCCATTTCTCTGATTTTTGTACAGTGCTAACAAATCGCTGCTGACATCAGCTGTCAGGACTCTTTCAAGAAACAGTGCTGTTTGGCAGATTTGTAGTTCTGCTCTCCAACTCCTCCTCAGCATCCTGTCATCCTGGTGCAGAGGATGTAAAGTGAGGATTCAAACACCACGAGGTCGACACACAACAAGGCATTTTAAAGGTAGCTGTGAGATCCATCTTTCTAGTGGGTCCTGGGACTACACCAAAGCGCCATCACTTCCCAGGACCTTTGGGACATCATGATAAAAGGTCCAGGACACGTCTTGCAGAGCAGAAAACTTTGTTTGAACCATTTATGTCAACATTCTGAAGTAATCCAAAACTGAAAATTAAACCACACAAATTCCAATCCAAGCCTTTAAAATTGCTGCAAGTTTTTCTGTATGCATCTGATAATATTTACACTGGTTCACAAATACTTGAAGAAATTATTAGAATTGTTTTTGTTTACTCACTTCTGCCCTTTCATTCAAGTCTCTGTGCTAAAGCTAAAGGTTGAAAAGATAAATACCACATGTCAAACGTAATGTTCAACTCTGCAATGCAGTGGTGTGAGCAAGAAAGCACTTGCTAACTACGTCTCACCAACTTGACCGATCGGCTCATACTCAGCTCACAGATATTCCCCTCACAGTGCAATTCAAGTCACAAGGGTTCAGTGCAGCTGTTGGTTGCTTTTGGTTTTAAAAAGAAAAAAATAGCTGTCGATTAAACCTGAGAAGTAGCGAAATCTTGTGACAAATTGCATTATTAATCTTGACGCAATTATATTTAATGAAAATTTTTTCACAAAACATGCAAACTCACTTTGAAGTTATGACAGAAAATGAGAATCATTCAAAAAGAACCACCAGCTATTTGATAAAACATCCTTTTTACAGCAGCTTTTCACTGGTAGTTTAAATAAAGCAAGCTCTGACATAAAAAAAAATAGGTGTGTGGTAAAAAATGAAATGATTATTGTTTTTTCAGCATTGAGTTAGAGGTAAGCTGAAGCTGAAGAGGCTATCCTTTGCTATCTCGTCAAACAGATCTGATCAATCTCTTCGACCTAAAGGTAGTGAGGCCTGGGTCTGTTTGCATGCAGGGGGATTGTCACCCTATCCATCTTTCACTGCACTAATAACCAATAATAATGTTGTTAGCCATTTCTCTTTCCATTTTGGGGAGTAGGTACAACTGTTCTCTGGTGAGTGACTGCTGCAGTTCAGTTTGATTTATTTTCATTTTTTTCTAACAAATGAATAAATGTACCTCAAAGCACTAAAAGCTTTTTTGGGGCCCCAAATCACGAGAAATGATTTAACACAGAGAAGCACATCCATCTGCTATGAAATACATTACAAATGGACAAGCAGAGCCACAGGACTTCATAAAGGCCTTTTAACATCTGATGTTAAAATTCAAGCTCAATCAAAATGCTCTGAGGCCCATTAAAGCATATTAGTAGGTATGTAATAATGGATGAGTGGTTTTCCACAGGAAATGGTTTTTATTAGTTTTTCCAGCAGTGCTTTGTTATATTTCTGTTCTGTGGAAGGCTGCTCTACAACAAAATATAATAAAATGGATCAATAGAAAAGCATGCTCATATTTATCATTATTCAGCTGAATGACTGCCAAGGTCTTGTACTTCTCATCTTAATTAAAAAAAAACACTCGATCTGTTGTCAACATTAGTAAATACGTAAAGATCATTAAGATATTTTGGTGCTTATACAGAACCAGACTATTTACAGACTATCGTGGTTACTTTGGTCGGAGCCACATCAAATTTTGTGTGTCTGATTTCTAGAGCAGACGCATGAAAAGTGCAAGTCCTGTGTCGTGTTTTTAGGATGGGATTATACCGGTCAGTAAGTACCAAATGGTTTTCACAGCTCTATCTCAGGCTGCTTCTTTCTTAAATCACAAGGAAACCCAACATAAAGAGGCACCACTTACAGGGAGGGAATGAACACAAGAGGCTGGCTTCCACCTGTCTCTCCAAACAAACGAGAAAAGTCTCCCAAGTGCACAGAGTCCATTTATAGAAATAAAAAAGGTCATTCGTGTCATTCTAAAACAGACTTCAGCCCTCTCTTTCTTCCTCTTAGCCAGAAGTCTGGGTCTCCTGCCAGTGTAATGAATGATCCCACTGCTGAGACAGCCAATGCCAGAGGAACTGCGTGCATGTCCTCCACAAATCTGAGGCCAACTTTCCAAACACTGGCAACATGGCTGCAAGAGATTCATTTGTTTAACTAATAGCTCATCTAATTGGTTGGAGAAAGACAGAGCTCCCCGGATGAATTCAGGCAGGCACCTTTTAGAAATATACGTCACAGTTTGTGTTCGTTTTAAGTTGATTCAGCAGAAAGAAACACTCCAAGCCAAATTTTTGCAGTTCTGCAAGTCTCAGAGACACACACACATGCACACACACACACACACACACACACACATGCATTGATAAAGTGTCTATGTATGTAAATCTATTGGAATTGTGGATTTCTGGACTTATGTTGTTCAAAGGACCTGAGTCGAACCACTGAAGCTGAACAGATTGGTCTTAAACGGCCCTGAATATTAATATTTGACCGAGAGCTAAAGCCCACATCATAAATCCTCTGCATGTGCGGCCTAACATTTGTGTGCTGCCACAATTGAACAAATGCCATCAGAGCTCAGAAGAAATCCAACACACGGACCAGCTCTCATCAAGATGGTATAGATTATATTCAAAATCAAACTCCTCTTTCCCAGATGGTTAAGTATTTTATGCTTGTACCAATTCGCATAAAGACATATGCCTTTCACAGATTATACCAGTGCTGAATCACAATCTCATGTTTAATCCACCAAAAGCTCTGTTTCTTCCTTTATGTTTATGGAATATCTTAGCCATGTTTTACATCTCTCTTAAACCAGTTTAAGTTACGCATTCACGGTGAAAAATATGTGTACTATATTCTGATTTTCATTGTTTTCCTAACACAATCATCCTTGATTGCAGAGGGATGACTATGTTTCAGTTGTATGCCCCCCAATTTCAACTGCACTGTGGCGTGCCTCATAGGAAAATGGTTCCCAGTTGGAATCCCAACAGGGGCCTTTCTGTGTGGATGTTGTCCCTGTATATAGCATGTGTGGGTTCCTTCCAGGTTCACTGGCTTCCTCTCACTGTACAAAACATGTATGTAAGGCAAACTAGCAATTCTAAACTGACCATAGGAGTAAATGTGCCCTTACACAGCTAAATGTCTTGTTTATCACTATGTGGCCCTTTGATGGTCTGGTGACCTGTCCAGCGTACAGCCAACTTCACACCCAGAGACAGCTGGGAGAGGTTTTTTGTCCAAGTTCTAAGGTTGATTAATACATAAAAAAGTGTTTAGTAGAACACTGGTTGCATTTGATTTTTTTTTATCAATATGATTAATTATATTTTAAAAAATGTTCACAGACAAACGCTCAACCCTCCACAACCCTAACCCTAAAGAGCATAAAAACTCCAAATAGAATCTGGGTCTTAAATAATTTGTCCTGCTTTCAGTAAGCTGTTTAAACCCCTCCTTAAATCGAACCTCTGATTTAATGATTTGGTTCTTCACTCTTTAAATGTGTTACTTTACTTGAAAAACAGCAGGGGGAAAAAGGAATTCTGGAACAGCTTTTACATTTACCTGCATCTACAAAAGGGAAAGATTTTGTGACATAAGAGCAAGTTTAGAAGCCCATAGTCATCGAAAGTGAATATATGTGATCAGAGTTGATACTAGAATGAATATCAAAGTGAAGCCATACACCACAAAAATGTCAAATTACAAACTCCAGTAGTTTAAACGGTCCTGATCTTTGGTATCCTTAAAAGTTCCAAACAGATGACAGCAACACTAACCCTCAATTCAATCAGTCACTCAGATTTGCACATTACTGCCCGTCAGTTATTTGATTCAGTGCCTGAACGTGAACATGTTGGAGAATGAACACAGCCCCTCAGTGTTCACCTGGACTCGTCCTGTTGAATCAAATCTATGCGCAGCCAGCAGAGCCATCTTACCTCCAGCAGCAGCTGATGACAGCTGGATTGAGGGCAATCGGGAGACATACTTTGAGTGAAAATGGTCTCAACAGCAATGTATGTCAGGCAGAACAGAAGACAGGAATCAATAATCTGTTACTTGCTGCAAATTCAAGTAACAGGATGATTTGGGTAGCAAATATAGTATTTAATTTGAAAAAACTGATTCAAATTATTATCCCAGATACAGATTCGTGAATATGATTAATTAATGAGGCTGAGAGTTTGAGCTGCCAGGTCAGAAGGAACTTTCAACATGGCGCCTTCAATTAATTCATCAATTATTCAACTACATTTGATTTCTGCATAGTAAGCACTGCACTCAGTTTAAGTAATCTATCACTTTAATGAAATTAATGAAAAACTTAATGTTTTAGGAATTTACATTAGATCATGCCCTCTCTCAGTTTATATGAGGACATCATCAAAATTATTTAGCTGGTTATTAGCAGGTAAAAACAACATAAATAAACAGAAACTTAAAACCTTTCTTTCGCAAACAGAAAGCTTGACATGTGACTCTTTTTTTGGTACACAGATAATTTAGTAAATGCCTCCATGACAGCAAGGTGTTCAGGTCCCGTGGCTGCAAAAAAGCCCAGTCATCATTACCCTCTCCATTATGACAGTTTATATTATCCAAGTAGTATTCATTTACCTGACATTATACTGTGCATTATGACTTAACTCATCTATCTTGGTTTGGTCTTATAAGATCAAATTACATTGTTCCAGAAGCCTTTTGATTTGTTACTTCACATTTTTTATTGTATCATTATTCAAGTTTACCATTTAACATGGTACATGAGGACTGTATGGAACTCCTGAACTGTGTTTGTCTGACTATGGCCATGTTTGATTTCACAGTGAATTTCTGGAAAGTTCAATCTGCAAAAATCGAAAACTCCTTAAATATTTACAATTTTGGAAAAAAAGAGTTTCCGTAAAAATGGACTCAAACTTGTTTGACAACAACCTTAAAAATAAATTTCCATATAGATAACCAGGAGCAGTGTCTACTCTCAGATACCTCTTTGGCTGGTCTGAATTCTTACAACTGGGAAAAAGTCTAAACTTCTGCTTTTCTGGAGACTTCTTTTCAATTGTTAAAATCAATTTACTGGGGTTAATTTGATGGTCTCCATTTAACCCCTTAACCCCAATTAGATAGGCATATATTAATTTAGTTTTTTTTAATAGAAATGTCTGTTTTTGTCTAAATTGTAAAGTGAAACTCTTTATTTACAAGCTGCAAAGGACACAGCATGCATCCTGATTCTATAGATATGGAAAAGTGTATCCGGCTCTGAATTTTACTCCTCTTTACTCTCACATAGTCTCTAAAAGAAAGAATCCCAACATAACACTTGCAGGTTTGGACATATCTTCAATTAAAACTAAGAGAATAAAGCCACAAAGGTGTAAAACAGACTAATTAAATAGAAATTTGGGCTACTCCTTTTGCTGGCATTAAATTAAATACTTGATGCAGCGTTCCATCTTGACTGTGTCCAGAAGCATCTTTAACATCGTGCGTACACAGCTGTTGCGCTTACCGATCCTGAGGACTTGCGCTGAGCTCAGACAGAACTCCACCGCGAAGAAAATAGACCAAAGAAGTCCTTTTGGTGGCTTCATACTTTTCCACTCAAAACTCAACAAATATGGTGAGCCCACGACACACTGAAAGAGCCGCTAACCAAGTGTGGACGCCACCGACGTGCCATGCCAGCGCGCAAAACCAAGTTTTATTCCCTACTCGATCCAGTCTGCATCACTCCGCTGCACGGAAAGATAAAAAGTAAAAATGACAGTCCAAACGCGGGTGTCCGAGGAGTCCCTGCCTAATCAATTTACAAAAATCAGTTCATCATTTCAAGGGGAAAGAAGCAGCTGCTCACGCAGGTCCACCGGTCTGTGCGCCTCCAAGGTGGTAGTAGCTGGAAGCCCCAACCTGTCATACTAAGAATTTAACAATATCCGGTGTGGGTTTTCAAATTAAGATTTCTCAACACTGACCTCAATTTATCTCTTATAGAAGAGATAAAATGAAGAGATTGAAAGAACTAGGCAATGCATCTAAGCCACATCAAGGTTCTAAGTAGATACAGATTCCGTGGAGACTTTTGGCAAACATGAAAACCGATCTTTTGCACTGAAGCTATTTCTATTCATTCTAGGACGGTGTACAGGGTCTGGCCGTGTTAGTTTTGGATTAAGAGACAGATGGATTGGTGCGATTCTTTGGGCAGTTGTGCTGGTGAGAGCAGAATAATCTTCAGGTTACAGGGCAGATAACAGATTATCTCTCTTTGCAGACAAGCGAGCTATCAGTGGATCATTGGATGACTTCCAACCTAGTCCCAAGACTCTAAATAGATCATTTTGGGATAAACTTTGAGTAGTTACATCATGTGGTACAGCATTGCTCATCAACCCAAAACCAGCTTTCCATTTTGTATCGATTTTCAAGGGCTAGACATTTAACCACCTCTGGAGTGAAAAGTTTGTGGCTTGTTAACTCTGGGCTGCTGCTCGATATTGTGACATTTGAGAAAGCCACACTCTCTGAGCCAGTCATGCCACCGTTGTACTTTCTTCAAAATCCCCAAGTCAGCATTGGCATTTTGTTTATCACAATCTCTGGGGTCTCTCAAAGCTAGAGGCCCTGATGATTTTACATGAACCTCTGAAACTTAATTAACTCAGAAAAATGAACACCTGTCCTCTCCAGGAGCGTCCTTGAACAGCAATTCGAAACACCAACATGATTTGAATACAGAGCAGAATTGTCTCCAGGTAAAGCTTAACATACCATATATGGTACTTGTTAATGACTCAAATCCTCTTAGAGAGCAGATCTGGAAGAGCATGCTTTAAATCCTTTCATTTAAATAGGCGAGGGCAAACCTTTGATCATCCAAGAAAAGAAATCTCACACAAAATAAGCTGAGAAATTTATTTTCACATAAAAATGATAACGCGCCACAGTTTTATGTATGAACAGTTCAATAAGTAAAAAGGGGGAGGGCCTCTCACAGGATTTGCCTCCATGGCAAATGATTGTACTTCACAGTTGGAAGTTCTGAGTGTCGTGACCCAGGAATCTAAAAATCTAAGAAACTATCGTCATTGTGAACAGACAAAAAAAAACATACACAGTGTCAATTGTATCTACTCTCCTAGAGTTTTGAGATGCTCAGATCCTCGCCTCAGTTTTGGCATTAAGTGCATGTTCAATACATCCAGTAAGGTGCGCACCACTGAGTTCAGCAAGATAATCAGCATGTTGCTCTGATGAAGTGAAACAGCAAAGCCTGGTGGAAAATCAGAGAATTGCAGATTTGTGAGGAGCGTGCAGAGGGTGGAGTCAATCCCTACTAAAGGTAAATTGCAGAGCAGTGGCAGATAAGAGGATAACATACTACCAACACGATGGATCTGTAGGTTACGGCTTCAATGAATACTTCCCAAAAAAAAGAAAATTCAAGTAAAAAAAATTGACTGAAGGAATTATGCCATTCATCTTGAATGTGTTGCATTAAGACAGGTATACCCTGGGATAAAAGAACACCCAGTATATTAATATATGTGATGTCAAGGACTAATAGAAAGGATACCTTATTTGGGCAACAAACCTGTAATTTTAACATTCATGTGAGGGCTTTAAGAAAGGGCTTTATCAAAGCTGGTTCTGGCACTAACACACAAAACGTCATTTGTAACACTGAACATTTGAATGTTGTGTAAACATTAGAAAATACAGTATTTTCAAAAAGGGCTTTATTCAGTAAAGGATAAGTAAATTATTTGCTGTCCAAACTACGTTTTAAAAAGGATTTGATATAAGACAAAGGAAGCTTTAAAACAGTTTTATACAAGAGGTCAACAGCGCTATACACTAAAACTACACACCGACGTGTAGCTGATATTAAGTTAAAACAATGAAAGCACGATAAAGCTATAGCTGTATTTAACCATCTTTGACACAGCAGTCATCAAGCCAAAAGCCCCTGAAGAGAAGTTCAGTAACACACAGCCCTTGAGTGTTGAAATACAAACAGCTTAAGCCAGAAAAATATAACACTCACATTCCGGTGTTGGAAAAATAGACATTTTGCCCAGAAAGTCGCATGTCAGTGATAATATCTCTGTGCAGTGCGTGTGCATGGGACAGTAGCTGCCTGTGTCTGCGTAATATGGGCACTTGCAATATATTTTTTTAAAAACACACTTGCTTTTCTACTTGTGCGTACATGCAGTATTGTCTTCTTCACATAGAGTTTCACTGGTGTGTGAAGTGCCGGGGTGCATGTCCAACATAGTGAGGGCTCTCTGGTTTGCCTTTCATGAGAGCAGCTCTGGGTGAGAATCTCCAGGCAAGAAGAAGAAGATGGAGTTTTCTTCACTTTCCTCACAGGGTGCTGCTGTACTTCAAGATTGTCACAATGTGATGAGAAAAGGAAAAGTTTAGGAGTGTTTAATATAAAAAAAAGGATTGCATGGGGTCTGCAAATATTACACAGTTAAAGCTTCTATCAAATTTCTTCCACTCCGTACTGCATCTAAAATGTGGAAGAATCCCCGATATCTCCCCTCTCTTCATCTCGTCTTGCGATTCCCAATCAAAACACATCGCTGTTGCACCTGTTGGAAAAGTCATCGCGCCGCACCCATATCACATCCCCATCCTGGTTTGTGGCCCCCTCCACAGCACACTGCTTCAGAGGGGTGAGCTTCACACAGCGGGGGACGGAAACACCACAGGAGGTGAAGGAGTCCACAGATGATGAGTCATCCCCCGGCTTCATCTGGCCGGCTTTCACACTCTGCGTGCTCTCACTTCTGGTCTCCACTGGTCCCTTCAGCTTGACCTCTTTGTCTTGTAAGCTCAGTGCTTCCGTGTCTCCCTCCAGGGTTTCCGGCTCCGCTGACGCAGAGCGAACAGACTTGCAGTATTCATCGTCGTCGCTCAAAATGTCCGTCTCCTTCACTTGCCTTCCATCGATACCGTCGCACTGGTCTTCGTAGCAACCCAAGTTAAACTGCTCCTCCACCCAGCGATCGGTGTCCTCGGCCTGAGGTTTAAGGGACTGATGGGGGTGCTGGTGAAATGAGTCGGAGGAAGCGCCGGGCGGCTTTTGGAGGGGGTGAGCATCATCGCCGTTGTTGTTGCCGTGGAAAACGAGATCGGTGTCAATGGTGATGCGGTTTCTCACCAGCGTTCTGCGAGCCAGCGTTCGAGATGGAGCCGACGCTGAACACACCAAAAGATAAATAAAAATAGGGGAAAAACAAATGTAAATAACTCATAAGAACACATGTTGGTCCGTAGACATATTTGTGTAACATTTCTTTCAACAGCATACTGTTGTTTCTGTAAAGTAAAAGAAACTTAGGATGGTTCACCTGCTCTGTTAAACGCAGGCCTAGAGCCTTTGAGAGCACTTAGGCGTTTACCACCAAATGGGACATACTGCTGGCTGGGTGGGACAGACTCCGTCTTAAGAAGCTGGCGCCGTTGTTTCTCCCTCAGGATGGAGTGGACTGCTTTCAGGAAGTCTTTCTTGCTGTCTGGAGAGCTGTAAATTATAAGGCGGTGGAGTCAATAAGGCATGACCGTGAAAAAAAACGATGATGGATTTTAAATTTAGTGTCATTTTGTTTTAATGTCCAGATGGAATATGGTCAGTGTAAGAACAAAAAATACCTGCAGCACATCTGGAAGGTTCTCTCTGGTCGTCCTTCTGATTCTGACCTTGTGTGGACTATTTCACACACTCTGTTGGATTCAGAGTCTGAGAGACAGAGAAAAGAGACATGATCAAGAACTAATCATTTCATTTCGGTTAATTTCTCCTTCTGCATAAACATGCCATTACACTGACAATCAAAGTCGAGCTCAAAGTTCCAGAAATGATTCGTGGTTTTACTTAGGCAGGATTTTAAGGAAGATTTAATACAGTTTTAACAACTCATATTTATCTGATGTGCTTACAAAAAGTTGATTATCTTTGGAAGGTGGCAAAAAACAATCAAACCTATGTCGGAGACCAAAGTCTAAAATGTAAAAAGATCAAGTTTTTTTATTTTTATAGTATAATATTGTTACCATCCTCTTGCATCCAAAGGATCTTTTTTCATGCACACAGACTAGAATCTCCTTCAATCCAACAAGAGGTAACTAAGTAATAAAGTCTGTTTAAAAAATGATTTAACTTTTACTTAACGTTTATCAATAGACCTACTTGCAATAGCACGGACTTGGAGAGAGTCAGTAGCAATCATGTGACGGAAACGGAAAGGATCTTTGTCATCACTCACAGATGCCCGATGAGATCCGCCCTTAAAGCAAAATAAAAGTAAAATAAATTACTAACTGCAATACAATAACATGACAGCAGGGGGCACACGAGTGCAGCCATGCCAATGGGATTTAACCCATCATTTCAGACATTTATTTTCAAACCCACCAAGAGTTTGACATTTGAAGATGTTTTCTGTATGGGATCTTTTGTTGTGCCTGAACACTATCCAAACAAACTTTTTAGAATGATATTGATAAAATATTTGTAAAATGAACATTTTAATGATTTAAACTTGCATCGAGACGTAATTATTTTCTTTCAGAATTAATGCTGTGGATGAAAATACAGCATTGGTACAGACACTTGACAGATTAGCACACACATTCTTCAGATCCACTCATATCTTCTTTTTATCCAACACCATAATCTTAAAATATCCTTAATGCATTATAGCAAAACATTTGAATCTTTTTAGTTTCAATTTTAGACTAACAATAATGGAAGAGTACTTACGATTTTTTTCCTGTGCTTGGCGCAGTCTTTGTATACAAATACAACTGCCGTTTTGAACACTGCATCAGAGTCAGGAGAAATGAAAGAATAAACCATTAGGGAGGTCTTTGGAACATCCATCCATCCATCCATTATCAATGCCGCTTATTCCCTCATGGGGTCGCGGGGGGAACTGGAGCCTATCCCAGTGGTCAACGGGCGAGAGGCAGGGTACACCCTGGACAGTCCGCCAGTCCATCGCATACAACCACTCACACTCACATTCACTCCTAAGGGCAATTTCCCCAATCTCCAATCAGCCTAACATGCAGGTTTTTGGACGGTGGGAGGAAGCCGGAGAACCCGGAGAGAACCCACGCAGACACAGGGAGAACATGCAAACTCCACCCAGAAGGGTCCTGGTTCCCCCGGGATTCGAACCCAGAACCCTCTTGCTGGGAGGCGACAGTGCTAACCACCACACCACCGTGCCGCCAGATTCTTTGGAACATTTCATTTGCAAACTTGCAAAAACAACAGCATGATGCAGGGAAAATAGATAGCTACAAGCATTAGCATAACAAAGCTTAAAATGAACCAAAGTCACATCATACAGTATGTCCAAGTAACCATTCCTACTCAGTCACTTGGCAAGAGAATCATTATAGCATGTGGATGCAATATTCATTACTAAAAAAAATGTAAAAATAAAATTCATGCATTGCACTCTAGAGTGTCGAGTCTGCAGGTTTCAGGACCATAGTTTTAAAATATTAAAGAACAAAAGCATCCATTCGAAAAGAAAAAAAATCTGATATTTAGTAGAATCATTCTTGAATTGTTTAACTACTGTGTTTCTAGTCTACTATTCGTGTGAAGCATTGTTGTGCATAGCTTAATGTAGAGACTGATTCTATGCATCAAGAGACAAACAAGTTTTCCATCCAATATTTAAAAATATCAGGTTGAGGTTATAATTATAAAGATTACCTTTATGTATTGCTATACAAGGAATGCTTTTATCAAGTCAAAAGTTGGACAGTATGAGTTTCCATAACTTTAATCCAAAACTACTCTTATCTCACCAAAGGCTGCCAATTCGGGGTCTTTTTTGCTCTTCACCAAAGAGGATGGAGGGTTCATCCAAATCACAGTGGAATGCAACAACAGATCACCCATCGAAAGGTCAGGCACCTGATAAAAAGACACATTCATCAAATGTAGTTATGCAGTTACACAATTCCTTGTACTCAGAATAAAAAAAACATTAAACAGAGATACCCTTACCTCTTTTTTATCTGCAGTTTGTTCATTGATGAGCTGGTCAAAAACAGCTCCATACTCCTCATGAAGCTTCTGCATCTCATTGATGTGACTTGCAACTTTATTCATGGCCGTCATCGCAACTGGAAGAGACAATCAATAATAAGTTCTGTCCAAATGCATTAACGTTCCAATAGTGAAAAGCATAGACGATTTTAACAACAATTTCACAGTGCAAATGCACGACAAAAAAAAGCTATTCACCATCCAGGTGATAATGTTCTTCACTGTCGGGGTCTGTGAGAGAGTAGAGTTCCCTCAGCAGCAGAGGGTACTTCAGAACTCTCTGGATGGGTTTGATCAGGTAAGACTCTAGAGTAGATGAATGTTGCTGTCTGGGGTTTCTCTCAGCCAGGAAAGCTTTGAATTCTGGGTCAGTTTTAGCTGGAAAAGAAGAAATAACAGTTGACTGATTAGGGGCAAGTAGCAGATCCGACCAAACATAAACCTGCAGTTATGCAACTCAACCTTTTTCATGCCAACCACATGCTTACTTCGTTCCTTTGAATTTTTTGTTCTGACAATACTGATGGAGAATGGTCCTACAGAAACTAAGAGATTATAACTCACTGACCAGGGGTGAAGGTATAAACACAGTTTTACCTTTAGCAAGCACCTTGGGGACCTTGGTGTGACTGGCACAGAAAGCACTGTAGATCTTAAAGCGATCAGCATAATAAAGAAATGAACCGCCTAAGGAAAACAGCACCTTCTGTGGAAAAAAGCAATAAAAAAAATGTAAGCAAAAATGTCTGCTGAGCTGAAACAACACCATATGAACATCATGGATAAATTCATGTCCCATTATAAAACGGCAGGACGCAGTAAAAATAATCATTAGATTCGAGCCGGAATCAGACTGTGGGATGAGTCGAGTTATTCCACACCTTGAACTGCTCAACTTTCTCCAGTCGATCCAGGTCTGGAACCAGTCTGATTCCATCTTCCAGTGTCCTCAGAAACTCCACCTGGAATTCCACCATCTCCCCGAGGTTACCGAACAAAACGTCCAGCTACAACACAGGTTCAAACATTCTGTAAGTACCAGTTTTAAAACAATGTGAACTGAGTAATCATAACTTGTGCATTTTTTTTTTTCTGAATTACATTTCCCAGGCTAAGTAAAACATAATGCACACCAGCATAATATGATGTAACAAGCATTACATTTTTCTCTTTAAAACAATGTTTACGATTTCAGTTAAAGTTATTTTTAGGTCCCTGCACAAAGTATTTTTCAGACACTCCTATATTGTCTTTCTGATCACTGGCAAACTGCAGAAGTGCACCCACATCCTTTCTGGAAAACCTTGAAACCCTTGCTTGGTAAATTTTTATTTCAAAGTCACTAAACAGTTGTTTCCTTGACTCAAATGACTGGGTTCTTTTGCAACTACATTAACCATTTCCCCCTATTCCTACATAATGCCAATTACCTGGATTCCTCCTCACCCTACATGTAAGAAATTGATCTATTACTATTAAAAATAAATAAATAACTTTTCAGAAAAGTAACAAAATCATAGAATCACATTTACATAAGCCAAAATTGTTTGGCACTGAAAGGAACTGGAGTGAGAGTTTTTTCTCCTGTCATTTGTGTTAAATAATACACAGTTCTATAGTCTTCACAAGCTTAAAGATGCTCGAGTCACAGCTTTTTTTTTTTTAAAGAACTGAAATCAGTATATCAAAAGGAAAGTACCTCATCTTGTGAAAGGAAGCTCTCTTTCTGTAAAGGTGTTAAGTAGCACTCTATCAGGCAGCGCAGGTCCTGAAAAAGAAAGTATGCACAAGGTTGTTCTTACGTTATTGTGAAGGAAATAATGATTTTATCAGGAGTAAATAAATCTCAAAAGTGTTGGAGCTCACTTTGACGTATGTCTTCTCCGTCTCCACGAGTTCCCCGATGACCTTGCGCAGTTTGTCTGCGTGAGAGAGTTGTCTCTGGGTGGCAAAGCCTGCCGTGGGCGGTAAAGCCGACACGGGGCTTGGGGAGAGGGACGACGAAGACGACGATGAGGAGGAAACGGGACACTCATGGGGGTTCATGTCATGGAGACTGCGGCAGAAAGCAGTGACCTGCTCTGTGCTCTGTTGAGACATTGAAACATCAAGTCATTTGTTGAAGAGTGACAGGTCAGGTTGCAAAAATACAAGCCAGCCAATTCAGAATTCATTAATAACCATCAGCGATATTCTGTACTCTCACAGGTGAATTACATTCCCTGTATTGGCATCTCTCCAAGAAAGAATGAGAAGGAAATCAGTTAAATGGATCCAGAAGGCAAAGACATGGCTTCAGCGACAATGAATAGACCCAATCGTGCAATTGTTCCTTGGAAGTGCTTCTTGTAAGGATCAGGATGCAACACCCTGATGTTTACAGAAGCACAAGTGTCTTTATTTAATGGTCACACCTCAAAACAAACTGTATGTACACATCAATAACAAACGCAGGGGAGTCTTGAAAACCTAACTCCACCTTTCTACATCTGTGGCATGAAAAATACCAAGCATGAGCAGACCTGTAGAATTAACAGCAAATAGAGATACGCACAATAGATTTTTTTGACACCTTGCAATTGCTTTGACAAATGCTAGTTAATTTTGTTTCCACTACATAACCAGAGAAGTATTATGCAAGCCAGAGTCTGTATTTGCAGAAAGCACAAAGCAGGCACAATCCAATTTCAGCCACCCCTTATTTCAAAAGGATTAATGCTTCCAATTCAGGCCTCCAGCCATTACTCAGTAGTACTTCTGCAAATGCATGCCACATAAATAGCCCTCATTTGTGTTGGGTCAGTGCATGTGTCTTTGTTTTGTTTTTTCCTAATCGGTGTGACAGTGCACTGCACCTGCTTGTGTGCAGACTACTGAGCGATATGGAGACAGCTGAAAAAGTGCCTTGTCTTTACTGATTCCATGGCTTGTCTCCCATCAGACTGCTGAACTACTGACAAACAATTTTCCACTGTGGTAATGAAACCAGTTTTGTGACGGACAGGGCATGCACACAAATGCTGATGCATACATTTCCTTTTTGGAGTCAACAAACCCTTCCAGTCTCTTAAAGGAAACCATTTCCATATCCACCAAAAGCACCACCGATGTGCCATAGACTAAAAACTTTTGAGTAACTTAGCTGGTCACTATACATTTTAAGCAACACTTAGGAATATTTCATATTGCAATTAACAGAATGTGTTTAAATAATATTATATTGACAAGCAAGGTTAAAGAGATCGGAAAAAATGCTGGAATTAGGTGGGAAAAAAAACACAGATCCACAGTGATAATGCCTCAATGCCTCCACACAAACAATATGACAGACCCGATATGCTTGACAACATCCTGCCCTTGACACACAGATTTGTCACAGCCATGTAATGGCCACTGGCACAGACAGTTTATGGAGGTGAAGGTTGGCTGCATAATGTCCAAGGATTGGATTTCACTGAATGAGCAGGCATGATAAGAAGTTTTTCATAAATCATTTGAATAGCATGTTCCGCTGGGAACTGACCTTAAGAGTAAGGTTAGCACCGATAGCACAGTACCATGACATAATCACTGACCTGTGTAGCATCAAATCGTCAAGCAATCCCTCTCACACACACACAAATATAAACACACAGAAGGCTCACCAGCTGGAACACATCATAGATGGATTCTGCCGAAGGTTTAGAATTCCTGCTTTTCCTAAAAGCAGACATCCTCACAGCCCAAGCAGGTTTTCCCCAAATAGCCAGGTGTTCATTCTCTGTCCTGCTTTTCCAGTCCAAGAATCAAACCTCCTGCCTCACTTGTTTAATAGTGAAGGTTGTATTCATCCAAAAACATGTCAGCATGGGAAAAAAAAAAATATTAAGAATAAGGTCAACTCAAAAACAAAGTTTAAGGTGAAAAACATGTGAATGCCCGTTATTCGTGAAAAACACTGCTGCTGGTAAAATCATTACAACTGCAGCGTCATTACCCAAATTGCACTGAATAGCAGCACTCTAATGTCACCGTATCCTAAAGCATCTACCCAATCACTTTAAATCCTAACTCTGCATCCACCAATGTCCTGTCCCCCTTTCCGTAGTCTATGCTCCCTCTCTTGCCGTTCATCCAGCTGTTCGAGAGCAGCGGCTGTGTAGAATACAACACTAAATAAGATCAAACAAAACACCCTCATGAAGACAAGATGGGAGGAGAAAGGAGGGAGGAGACAATAGGAAGTAAGGAGGCAGAGAGAAAGTGGAACACAGCTTAAAGATACTTAGAGATAGTAATGGATTTAAATACACATGTTTTAATCAGAAATAGTCAGAAGCATTAGATATGTAAGATAACAGAATAATCCAGTCATTTGCAGCTAAATGAGATATTCTACTATGAAGCAAATATCCACATTTTTGTAGTCCAAACTGCTTGTAGTAAATTCAGCATCCAGATCTGATAGAACTCCAAGTACGACTCGTAATCCTAAAACGCCAGCACACAATTTCTCAGAAACAAAACTCCAAAATACAGGTGGAGCAAAACAGTTGCCTTCAGTCCCACCAAATTAAAGCCCTAAGAGTGTAGAGCAGAAAAGAACGTTTCAGCTGTTGAATATAAAAAAAAAACTACATTTGCCATATAGTTCGAGTATCTGATGTAGGGGATTAATAATTATATTCTGATAAGAGTACATCAGAATTGGTTGCTGCTTCATGCGTCATACAAACAAAACCAATTTAAAAATCACCTGGCTGCAAAGAACAAGCAGTTTATGCACACCAATGGGCCACCAATTCACATGCAAATCAGCAGTAAGAACCAAGAACAAAGAAAGTTACTGGATCAGTACCTTTACTGTAGTGAGTTCAATCATTGCATTCCCTAATCCAAGATAACCCGTTACTAAATGTTCTACATCCCTGACGCGCCCTTCAGCCCAGAGAGGGAAAGAAGTACAGCATAAGGGAGGAGCATGGAGGCAAGCAAAAACCTGCTCACATGCCTGTTAACTAAAACCTCTGGCATGCGGTCCCAGAGTAAACACATTACACTTACATGGAATACAAAAAGACATTTCCCCCCAGCCACACATGTAAACTCATGATCTGGATTTTGAAGTGCAGAAATGAAATGGTGTACATTTAATAACATTGCAAATTATAGCGGGTCTATGGCTCTTCTCGGACATTCATTCTCAGAACTAACAAGCACATACTTGTCACTGTCAGTCAGGCAAAATGAGGGGGAGGCAAAGGAGAACGAGTAATAGAGTTGGTGTCATCTGCAATCAGAAAAACATGTGAATCTATGAATCTCTACAATCATGGTATGCACAATGATTAATCACTCAATGTGAATAGAAAGACTAAGTATTCTATTATTCCTTAATCGAATTATGAATATTTAAACAGACATCTAATTTAAGTTTTTGTAGTGACATGAGAATAAAGACCTCTGTTTTTAAAACCATAGGACCCACCCAGTATAAATGATGGAATGTACCTCACCGACTGGGGAAGAAAATATTAAAATGTGCCCAAAATGATCTGTTTGCACTGAGTCTCAACCGACATCTTTAGGTTCCTTGCAGGCTTTATTAAAATGCACAGGGCGCCCTCTAACGGAAAATAGAAGTATAGCAACGGCTTGGACAAAGCTTGAGACTCAGTGGACTGCAGAGGTGAGGAAATATTCCTTTACAAAAAGACCCCAGAGATGTACTTCCAGTATACATATTGATAACGACATTATAAGATGTTTTGGGGAGGGGACGAACAGCAAATTTACCACCAGGGGACAAAACCCGTAATGATCCCCTCAAACACTGAATAATATATTTTCCCATTTCATATGCCCCCAAGCCTGACTTTTTGGCATTTGTAAACTATAACCAGCACATGTCAGTACAGCTGGCTACACACTGCAAAACACCAACTTTCAGTCCCATCTCCATCATCGCCATCATCCCAAGCAATCACTGTTTTATTCTCGGGTTGCTTTTTCGTACAGCTGGGATAGTGTGTGTGCTTTGTCTAAAACAATGAACATTTCCATTTCCTCTGGCTAACCAGACAATCATTTATGTCTTCTAAATCATGCAAAACACGGTTTGAGAGTAAAGTAATTAGAGTGTAGAGATAATTAAAATTGTCCCACTTTGCCTCTTCTTCCTCAGTTGTCTGCCACTACGTGACCGCAGGCACTGGGTTAAATGAGGTGAGACGCAATCTTCCCCGCTTCAGAGATTTGCCAAAGAAGTGGAAACAAAGACTGATAAACATGAAGGGTAGAAATAGAGCTATACAAATAACGGGGAGATATGACATCGTTTGGGCAGGTCCTGTGGAATATGTGCTGGAAATTTGGACAGTCTCTGACAAAAAGTGTCCAAGTGTTCAGGGTAAGGTCAGGGCTCACAGCCGGCTGGAGCGCTAAAGAGAGCAAGCTGTTTGAGAGCCAACAGCAGCCTTGTGTTGTGTATGATAATGAACAGCAGGGGGCAAGAGGGGAGGGGGTGGAAAGAACCTTAGATCAGAAGAAAACTAGACGGACAGCAGGAAGGAAAGGGCATTCAAAACAAATAAGAGCAGATAAGGAGACCGGCTGATTAGAGGGGACAAACTGAAAAAAAAGGCAAAAAAAAATAGTCTCAGACAGACAAATTTTCATATTTTCCTTAATTTGAAGAGCAGGGTTGAAAGTATATCAAATCAAGAAATAGAAGCAGATGAAAATGACAAAAGGGTGGCTAAGAAAAAAAAAGAGAAAAGGCAGCAGATGGAAATTAGGACACAAACCAGACAGCACATGTGAGAGTGGAGCAGGAGGTGAGAGACTGAGAGGTGAGATGAAGATCACAGACTGTCAATGCTTTCTAATTTTGTTAACCAATTCTGGTGTAATTGTTAACAGGGTCTTTACTTTCTACATTCCAGATTTTTAAATGTTGGCTCCATGTAGACACTGAACAATAAAGACACTAAATACTGAAGTGTCTGCACAAAAAGCATCTAAAATAATTGGAAAACACTTTCCATCTCTTTACCTTCTGTGGTTTTCAATTGGTGGAATGCAGTTTGGTTCAGCTGAGATCAGAGTGACACAAATGGTTACGAACTACTCGTTTATTTTTTATGTGGACATGAAACATTAGAACTTTGACAGCACTGTGTAAAAGCACCAGCATCCTTTCATATAAGGGATATAGTGACACTGACCTTAAAATAGAAAAGTTATTTAAATCTTAAACAGAAGCTGTACTGAGATTCAAGACCCCCCCCTCCTTTTCTTATTAAAGTTTTATGGCACAATGTTTTCTTTAAATCAGAGGCACAGAGGACGACACAAGCCAAACTCCTGTCCCCATTGTCTGCCGTTTCATGGTTTAGCTTCAATCAAAAATGGCACAATCGAGTCACAAAGCCTCGACTGTCCAGCAGAACAGAGCCTAGAATGGAGACAGCTCTGACCTCCAACATTATTTTTCCCTCCAGACTGAAGCTCAGTGACACACATCTGAGAACGAACAATGCATTCTTGGCTGTTGCCTTCCTCATCTGCTGTTCAAGACTGTACATCTAAATGAAGATTTAAAAAAAAAAAAATGTTCCCAGTAGTTTCTGGCAATCAGACAGTGCCTAGTAATGGAAGTGACAACTGTATCCAAGGGAGACTGGCTGGCACACAGCCTCTCCCAGCAATCACTCCGTTGACCCTGATCAGAGCGGACACAATCTTAATTAGAAAGTGATGCCATTCACTCACTCTTCCGCTCACCTGTCTGTATCCATTTCTGTACTCCAGAGTGCACACACACATCTAATTCATTGTGGACACATCTGTTCATATTCCTGAGTCTGACACTGCACAGAAATGTAAGTAATGTCTCAATTGAGCACAGAAGTCATACGCAGCAGTGTTGAAAGAGAGCAAAATCCACATCCAGTATTTTGTTGGCTTTTTGATTCATGACATTTAGTTTTCAACAATAACCCCACTCTCAGAGAGAAAAATGGCTCGGCAACAAAAGAGAATGCCAAAGCTGCTGATATTTGACAGCAAAAGCACATCTGACAAGGTGTGTGAGGAAGTGTGGATTGTCAGTTCATTGGATCGGTTGCATGTATTTATCTTGGAGTACAACATGTATTAAAGTTGTGCTTTTATATGTCATAGCCTACCTTTAGCCCAGCTCCTACAAAGGATCTGTCTTCCGGATGACTTCCTGGGCTCTGCAGGGTCAGACCACATCCTGCCTCTGAGGTGTCCTCCAGGCTCTCAACGGTCAAACCCGACACTTCATCCAGGATGTCCTCTGCAGAAAAAGACAAAACATCAAGTCGGAAATAGTACACGAGTCCTCTCTCCACAAAAATAAATAAATAAATAAAATAAAAAAGCTACACCCCATTTATGTGTTTTCCCTTGCTCCGTTTGAAAGAAGTCCTCTGATATAGTTACACTTTTTGGGGAAATAGAAACCTCTTGATTTACTTGCCTCATTACCATTCCATACACCTAAATTATGTTATGATGGGTTGATAAATATCTTTCGAATAAAAAGTTAATACTGAATATTTGGTAGAATTTCCAATTTAAAGGCTCCTTTGTGCTGAGGAACTCTTACACACGAGCCTCCTCTTTAGCATGACATCATCAGTGACCTCCATCTGGCTGCTGAAAGTGTTTTACTTTCCATCTGACCCTGTGCATATGGCACATCCTCTGTGATGACAGTTCCACACCGCTGAAGGAGTCACATTAATATTAATATTGCTCTAAGTCTCTGTATAAACAATGCCAGCTTGTCAGCTTGGGCATTACAAGTCCTTGTTTCTGAGGAATACAAATGGTGCCCTTGCAGAGATAAAAAGAGCAGGTCAGAGGAAGGCTGGCGGCTGCCTGCAGGTTAGTTATGAGACTGCACTCATGCATAATTAGTAAAGAGCCCATTTCCATCCCTGCTGAGTGTGATGCGTCTTGTTTTTTCTCTGAATAAATATTTGATGTTTTGACGTTGGATGTTTGAACTGCAGAAGCCTGAATAGTGTCAATTAGTTAAGAAAAAGATCTCTCAATAACAATAAGTTCATCAGACTTTTCATTTTCACAATTGTTAATGTTTACCTGACAGCAAAATAGACTTATCCCTAGACAATATTGTACAGTTTGTTGAAGTCATCTTATTAAAATTACCACAACAAAAACTCTAAAAAATATCTAAATATTTCAAGTCTTACCTTGGCTCTGGGAGAAGATGTCAGTTGCTAGGTCTTGCTCCCCTTCAGAACGCCGGGGTGGATGGGCGCACAGCACCTGAGGATCCAGCTGGGGCAGGGTGCTGATGCTCAGGGTGAGCATATGGTTCACAAACGCAGCCTTCATATCATCCAGTTGGAGGGCAGATGCAGGTTTACCATTAAGGAACAGAATCTCACTCCCTGCTTTCAGACCTAACAATGCATTTAAAGACATAAAAGGGGGGGGGGGGTTAAAGCAGGAACCTTTTTCGAAGGGGTTTAGTTTGACATTATCAAATTGACAGAAAATATTGAAAATCCACAAGGTCCGTGAACATACAAGAGAATATTATCCAAAGTGGTCTTCCTTGTGTTGTAATGTCTCCAAAGTTCAACAGAAATAAATCTTAGCGTCATACTTCCCATAACAGCTTCTAATGTTTCCCAATCCACTAGAAACACATTCCATGCTTGCTTGCAGCAAATAATGATCTAACGAGACCAGACGGAGGGTGAGAGGAGTGTGCAATGCCTGTCTGTTCATGTCGTGTCAACGTATACATTTTTCATGTGGAAAGTATATGAGAAAGATAACCCACTGGGCTAACTGAAACGCAGCTTTAGTTTGAGTCTCTCTCGCTCTTGTCCTTCCTCTCAACCACCTGCGCCAAGCTCTGCTAATTGAGAATTATCACTCAATCAGCCAACTTCATCAATTAACCTGATTGGTTGTGACAACAGCTGAAGGGAGCTGGCAGCCCTCTCACCTGCTGGCAGCCCAGAATGAAGCCGCATGAAAGGGTTCTAACACAACCTAATTGATCATTATCAGTTGTATCAACTTCTGTTGCATTTAAAATAGTCTAGAGCAAGACAAACAGTAGACATTCTGTGGAATGCTGCCATAAACCAGTACATAAAAGCCAGCACACCCCAATTGTATTTATAGATAGACACCCAAGGCACACATTTAGCCATAAGTTATGACCTAGTTGTGTAGGATGTGAAATGTCAGCTGTAGCAGGGTCTTTATAGCAATAACCCCTCTGGCCATTTTCTATTGTGTGTGTGTGAGAGAGAGAGAGGGAGAGAGAGAGCATGAGTGTGCTCGGGTTGTGTGCGCTCCAGTTATGTGTGTGTGTCTGCAGTGGGTGGTGGTACAGAAATTATGAGAGAGAGCTCCTTTGGGGCTCCTTGTCCAGTACACTACTCTGCGTGATCTCTTTCATTCACCATTCATTATCCTCGCTTTTGAAAGAACAACTTGTGCACACACACACACGCACGCACACACCGACTCATCACAATGTGCTCGTGAATCTAACATAATGCCTGACACAGTTTTGTGATGTGAATTCTGTGATACAGCAAAAGACTCCGAATATTACAGTAAGATGAACTGCGTTAGCTGGATGTGAAAAGACCTTTCTATCTGCACAGAGCTAGATAGTCGGTAAAGCTGTGTCCTCTGGCTGCTGGCAGCCCGCTAAGATAGCAGCTTTTAGATTGCTAATACACTGAAGGCCACAATCTCACACTTGAGTAACCTTGGTTCGACCCTGGGGCGCAGTAGTGGTGCATGTTATTTTCTATACATTACTGCTCCAGCTGCAGGGCGCCTCCATGTTTCTCAAACCCATTAGGTTTCCCTGGCTTGGTTAAAAGACAGGGGCTAGTGAGTGGGGGATGATCTCGAGCCCGAGTAACTCGATGCAGACAAAGAAATGAGAGGAGCAAAGTTGCAAATCTGCAGCTTTTGAGCAGCCCTTTCTGGCTTTTTACCTTTAACCAGATCATGAAATCAGAAATGATATGTTAAGCAATTACAGAATATGGATCTTTATATATATTTCTGCTGCCCGTTTTCATTTTTTTTTCTGTTTTCTTTTTCTATTCTTCACCATTTCTACAGTGAAGATTATCTTTATAAACCGTTACATAAAATGCAAATTACTCTGAATGACAAAGATTAAAACGCTGCGAAACAGTCAGGAGCACACTCCCCCCTTTCTCTCCAAAGGTCCCTTACTACCTATGAAACCAAATATTTCAAACCAACATTAGCTCAGCAGGTAAAGTAATGTGATAAACACAAAGATGCACTCACAAAAAGTCATGTGATGCTTGTCAGGAATTTAAATTTCATTGTTAACATAACTGATACACAACCTGAAACCTGTTTGTTCATTAAATAAAATAATTTCGAAACATTTACCTTTGGCTGCAGCCAGTCCTCCTGGTTTAACATCGGTAATGTGGAGCTGCTGCACTCCGTCCTCATCCACAACTGCCACAGAAAAGCCTATAGACATGGATGATTAGGTCTCATTAGATTCACTCATCATATCGGTCTTTTTTTAAATATATATCTATTTGAAAGTGTGCACTGATGCAGCATGAAGACAAAGCGATTAGATCCATTTAAGACCACATGTGATCACCCTGGGTCATCCTCATTTATTCATTACCAAAGCATGACTCAAGAGTTGATTAGTGAAATCAATTTCATACAGATTTTTAGAGTGTGTTAGAAAGTGAAGAATACAGTCAAAGACAAGCATACCATATCCAATGGTGCTGGACTCTGCTTTGTCAAACCGGATCACTTTGGTGACTTTGGGACAAATCTCAACCTCTTTGTAGAGCTATAAACACAAACAGAAAACGTCATTATAATTGGCAAAAAAGAAGGGATACAATTCTATTAGATGCACAGGTTCAAAGCTATGCAATTAATCTTAAGAAAGAATGAACAGGCCCATGCACTGTGTTTAGCTCCTTACAGGAGCAACCGGATAGTAGGGTTGTGGGGTCAGAATCCATGTCAAGTTGTTGGAGTGCGAGAGTGTTCAGGTGAGGCTTTAACCTCTCAGAAGGCAAAAGCATAGACACAGCTGTGTGTATGTAGAAACAGACAGGACAGCTGTCTGCACAGTGACGGCCTTTACTGAGCAGAAATAATAATGAAATATCACACTCTGAGGATGAAAGAGGCAGAAATGAGTCACTGATCAAAGCAGGAAGATAAAAGAGCCCTTGAGGAAAAGTGTGGGGTATATGGTTTCAGTCCTTTGAGAAAAAAGTTCAGAATCACCCACAGAGCAACATCGCAAAGAGAATTCATTTCGGAGTTTACGGTGGTTGAATAATCTGGAAGTACGTTTTTTTTTCAAGTGAATGTGATTGTTTTTATGAATAATAATAAAAATGCAAACAAAGATGCACTCAAGTGTAAATAGTTCTTTCACGGTGCACACACTCAGCATATTCTTCATCAAATATATCATATGCAATGATGGTTTTTTTGCTTCCTGGAAACTTTGTGTGCATTGCTAATCAGATCAGAATCCAAATGATAGAACATGCATAAATTAGCGTACATATCTGCTGATAAAGCACGAATGAGCACTCATAGAGTAATGAGTCTCTTCCTAAAAATGCAATGAAACATGATAAAAAGAAAGAAAGAAATTCTGAATTACCTAAACAGTAAAAAAAAATACATAGATATTTTGTAAAAAGAAACTACTACTTGAATTATGTTTCAGGCTCTAAATACTTGACATGATGCTGTGGTTTCCATACCAGATCAGAGATGTCCTCCTCAAATTTGGGAACATAAAAAAGCATTTGGTGGTCCACCCACACCTTTACTCGCAGATAGTGTCCAGAGGGCTCAATCTTATGGGTCTGGGGACAAAAGGAAATTAAACACACAGGCATGATGACACGCCATTACCACAGTGATGGGTTATGCACATAAAAGTTCATTCTGTTTAGTTATTAGACCCCTTATTGTAAGATATCCTCCAAGAACAGAGGTTTTTAATAAATGCATATTTAGAATCTTTCCGCCACTACCTTGCAGACGGTGCTCAGGACTTCCAGCGCCGTCACTCCAGGCTGTATGATGGCCAGCACAGGCTGATCGTTCGGCAGACACACCCAGGACGGTTTTAGGAACTCAGGAACCCAAATATCACTCTCTGCATTTGGCTGAGGAAGACTTTTCACCGAGTCTTCAGTTTTTTTCTGAAAAAACCAACAGAGACACATACACACTGAAACTTTGAGTTGCTATAGTTTCAAATGAGATCCAGAAAGACTGCGACATTTTGTTTCTACTATTAAAACTGCTTAAAGTAACCTTAAAGCCAGCAGTCTGACCTCCACTTGCTCACCCCTTCTGTTTCACCTCACACTTTTAGCAACGTATGTCAGATCAAGTGACAGCACCCACATTTTTCTTTCATTCCTCTATCACACCAACCCCCCCCATTAATCACTGCCTCTCCTTCTGGTGCCCTTTCCCCTATCTGTACATCACCCCATCAGCTCCCCCCTCCTTATCCTTCGCTTGTGCCTTGCAATCTGCCGACAGTTAACAATCAGCGCCCTGAATTAACTTAGACCTATCTGTGTGTGTGTGCCAGCGTATATGTGTGTATATGTATGTGTGTGTGCTTGTAAGAAAGTCTGAGACAGGAGGAAAGTCAAAGGTTGAAATAGATTTGTCAGCAGGCTTTATATTTACTCGCACATGCACAAACAAAATACAGACACAAAAAGAGAAGACATTTTCTCAGACAGACTACAGACTGGGGGGCCTGTAACCAGTACCTCCCCCTACTCCCTGAACTCCCAGCCCTGCTCGGCACCATCTGGCTTCCCTCCTGGTCTATCTAGGATTCCTCTGCTGGGGGGATGAAGAGGTTCCAGCAGGCATATTAAACTCTCATGTTCTCTCATTCCCTCTAACACTAACAATTGGAATCCCCAGAATAAAAACACAGTCATGGCTGGGATGAGTCCATCACATGTAATCATTTGGAACAAATCCTGCTGGAAGTTTTCTCTAGATTTGTCTAAAGTATTACATTTCTAGTTCTATTTTGATACAACAGAAGGCATATTACTTATTTTGCATTTCTTTACGGTCATCCCATACACTGCCAGCTGAGGTTGGGCGTGGGTGGAAGGAAACTGAGCTCTCAACCTGCCACAGGGGGCTTGCACAGCTACGGCGGGTTATTGCAGTTTCCTTCTATTTGCAGGGTTCAGATAGAGGCCTGATTTTCCTCTCACACATCCCTGCTTCCTTTCATCAATCCTCATAACCTACATGCCTGCTCTTTCACTAATCATGAGTAACTGGACATTTTTCTTTTTAGTTGATGTAAAATCACCACTTCGCCATCTGTAATGATACACAACAATCACATCTAAGGTAACTAAATCTTATCTGATGTCTTTCTTTCCTCAGATAATATTCACTAAGCAAGCAAAAAGCAAATTTGGTCAGTAATGCAGACCCAGAAGGGCACAGATGGTGCAAAACTCTCAGGCCCTTTGGTACCTAGTGTCTGCATAATCTCTGGAAACATCAGAGGCCTAATGATCTGCAAATATCAGATCAACTTTGTCTCAGTGGGGCTGGCAGACAGGACAATCCCTCCAGCTCACAGCCCATGTGATGCTGATAGAGTTGGAATTGCCTGGAGCAAATAACAAAAGAAATGGAAATCTGTCAGCAATGATGTGGGGGTGCACTTTGATCAAATGGGAAAAAAAAGCTGAGAAAAACAATAAAAATTAAGGTGATTTTTTTTCTATGTTTCATTCAGTTGGGAGAAAACAAAGGCACAAAGTTTATTTGGTGAGTGAAAAAGGACAAAGGACACCTAATAATGTAGGAGACTTTGTGCATCATAAACTTTTAAATCATTTGATCATGTAGCAAGAAAGATGGTATAAATATTAATGTTTCTTCACTCTGCAAATGTTCTCAGTTACCCCACATGAGGAGGTCAGGTGGATGTCTGACACTACTAAACAAAGAGCTTTAGAATGACCTTAAAAAATGTTCTCTGTTCCAGAAGGTTGAATGAACTTGTGACTCCCCCATATTAGTCACCTAATGAACAACTAGAGCACCAAAAGCATAAATGAAAAGAGATGGAAAATCCAGCAATGCTCCTGGCTTCAGCGTCCTACAAAGCTCCCATCCTATTATACAAGTACAAAGGTAGATCGGATGCTCCAGCGATCTTTTTCATGGTTTACAAAAATGGCAAACAATGACAAGTAATCAGCCCAAAGCTACGAGAGCTCCGGTTCTCTGAAGTGAATGCCAAACAATGAAACTGAGGGGGAACTTTGTACTTAGCCTCAGGAAGATTATTAATGTATAGACATAAAAATTCCCTTCATCTATTATAGCCTTTTGCTCCTTATTCTGGGTGCAGTCCGGGAAATGAAAATAACTATCTATGGGTGAATAACTATCTATTTATGTCTATATAAATAGATATCGACATATTTGTATATGTTTATGCATATATGGATACACATAACTTAATTCTTCATGAATGAATAACTTAATGTCTGAAAGTAGATCTTGTGTAAATCTTCACACGTGTGTAGTGGTATCTTTACACTTAATTGTTTAGCCTTATTTCCATCTCAACAGCTTGGTTGGCTTTATCTTGGACCCCACTCACACTGTCTTCCCTTTTTTTTAACTTTATTACATGTTCAAACAGCTAAAAATGTGCATCTTACATAAGGTAAACCTTAAACCCATTCACCAACTTCAATAAATTGTTCCACTATAGATGTCAGATTAGAGAAGATTTTTATTCTCTTGAATGATAAATGTGGCTCAGCTCTTACTGATTTCTCACTGACGGAGTCTTCAAACATGCTCTCCAATGGTTTTCTTACTGGTTCCATCCCATCGACAAAGACCTGCAACCACAATGAGAACCAATCAGTTGCATCAACAGTTATCAGACAGTTACTACGCCGGGTGCAGATCTGAGTGTCTCTGGAGCCCTTTCACACTAAACGCTAATATTGATTTTACTATAGCATTTATGGATGCTTGTCAAATATATTTAGTGGCTGCGTTGAAACAACCACAAAATCCAGTTTCAGCAATTTTGAGTAAGGTGGTGCAACAGTGGGAACCAAATCAAACCTGGTCAACAGATAGATGTCCTTTGGTCTTCCTCTTGGATACGGTGTCCAGACCCCAGAGCGAAGAGAAACGGCTGCGGCGTTTACTAAAGGTACGAGACATGGGCTGATTCCGCCTCCTGGCACAGCTTTCGGTACGGGCGGATACCTGGGACAGCAATGGCAGAATGGATGGGTGATAAATCATTTTAACCATAAATATCCTCAAATCTGCTATTTTAAGACAATTTTAAAGAATGTATCTTAGGGAATTTAATGAAAATGTTCTAGCAGTCAGTATTTAAGCTTGTTATATTAATTTCAAACTTAAATGCTATTGCTATAGATGTGCTAAATATAATGGCGTACATCATACATTTGACTAATCGAATAATCTAATTGAGAAACATAATTTTGAGAAGTAAAGGAAGGGAAAATGTGCAAGATAAAAGGAGAAAGAAATCTTTTAAAAATAAAGCAGATAAAGAAAAGGCGAGACAGACTGAATGATATAAACACAGACAGAGGAAGAGAGGGTGTAGGCATGAGAGGAAAGGCAGGAGCAAAGGGCAAAGAGTGTTGAGCTTTTGTGGGAAAGTGCCTCAGGGATAACAGCTTACTAAGAGAGTTTGTATTGATCCAGTAATCACAAAAAAACAACATTGTCAATATTCTGATGCATTTGTGTTCATGTGTGTGAGTTGATATGTGCTTAGCATATTAAGTAGCTTGCTGGTATGAAACTGGACAAAAGAGATCCAGAAAAAAGCATATTTTAAATGAACCATTCTTTTCTTGGGTTATATTAAGTGGGATGCAGCCACAGGATTCACAACATCAAATCTTCCATTACTCTAATATTCATACCTGACACTCACAAGCCCATTGTTGGCACTTTGGGAGTGGGGTGGGTGGAGAGACATGTGACTAAGCTAACTACCCATTGCAGCTGTCAGTTTTGTTTGGATGCCCATGATCACATTGCAGGTTCAAGCCTCAGGTTCAAATTCCTTGAACCACTCTTGATATGTACTAAGCACTGCATACTCAGAGCATTCCAAAAGAAACAAAAAAATCAATCTCCATCCTTGACAGATGCCACTGTGATGAGATGATGAGATTAAAGAACCTTCAGTGGTTTCAGTGTTATGGCTGACTAAACATTCTAATGTTTAAAACATTCCTTGCCTGATGGCATTTCATATAGTACATTCTTGAAGCGCTTCAGCTACAGAACAGCACAGTTTAAGGCACACAGCTCATGATTCGGCTTTGAGCCACAAGGTAAAGTTGTCAACATCATGTGTGAGGGAACAAATTGACGGAATGCTTTTCATTTACATATCAAGCTCTGAGGCAGGTTTCTGTGATAGCTGAGCTGTGAGGACAGTGTTTCTAAGTCTGTACATCTTAGTGTATAAATGGATGAGAGCCAAGTTTAACTCATTCCATTTTAAAATTTCTCTTGAAGCTAATTAAGTTTGTTTTACACTCATTGCTGATACTTTCACACGGCTGGAATGACTTAAGACAAACACAAGCTTTGTGGAGACAGGCATTCATTTTCATCACAATGCCAAGAGAAATAAATAAACATGCCACAGCTGCAAGTGCATTTTTTTTTATCCCTCCTGTACATCTATGAAATAAAAAAGCTTTATCTCCATTTTTGTATTTTTTAACCTCGGGTCAGATGCAATGTTTTACTTTAAATGTTCATCAGGAAAGCAGAAATTCTGAAGGAAGCATTTGTGACAAGATGTTCACAGCCACATAAACCAACCCACGCACCAAGCTGGGCTGCTATTAAGGGTCAGCAGTTTTGCACCTCTTATGCAATGTCTATTTGAATGTGTAGAGACATGTGCTTAAGTTTTGAATTTGAAAACAAAACTAGAATATAGCCAGTTGGGGAATAACTTCCTGTTAAGAGTTTATGAAAAATCTGTGCATATGAACGTGAGTAAGCATTTCTGACCGTACCAGTGCGTGGAAGGAAGATACAGAGAAGATGCCCAGGCGACCCATGACCAGTTTGGTGGGGCGCGAGGCGAAACCCAGGAGGCGTTTGGGGTTGGGAGGCTCGCCGCCCTGCAGACTGGCCAGGTAGCAGCGACAACGGAAGAGTTCTATGTGGAACCGCTCCAGGTTCTGCTCCCACAAGAAGATCTAACGGTGAGAAGGAAAATCAAGAAAAGAATGAGGGGGATGTGGTTATGATTATGCAAGCAATGCAAACTTTGCTGATAACAAAGTTTGCTCAAATAAATACCTACGGATTTAGCTACCAAAAAAAAACCCAATGGAGATTAGGAAGAAGATATTAACCATGCATAAAGTTATGTTACATGGTTGGGGGAGTGAGATGTGGGAGGAAAGAAGCTCCTGTGGAGAGGTATTACTCACTCTGACAACCCCCACCGGTTGTCGACCTGCTGTGCAATGTGAAATGCATCACAGGGAGGGCCGTGGGAGGTGGAACACAGAGAAAGGCCCACACACACATACACACACAGGGCCTAAAATGAGTTGTCAATATTAATGTTGAACAAAGGGCAACCGACGTGTTTTCCCAGAAATTACATTTGTTCAACGAGACTGATCTTAACATCTGGGTGATTTTGTTTCGTAACATTTCGTTTTTTGACAGTGAGTCGACTGTCCCACCCATGTGAAGTCAAAGAGACTTGTGAAGGTTTTGACATTTTTTTTAAGTTAGAAGATTTTCAAGAACACTGCAATGCAGTGCAGCTCACTCATAGTGAATTAAGACTAAAGCTTTGTTGCATAGAAAGTGAACAAAACTGATCCAGCTTTCACATTCTAGCTGGGACAGCTTTGAAAACAGAGGGATTAGTGGTTTACCAGCCCGCAAATGCTGGCTTTGAATGTGTTTCAACATGTGTTAAAGATACTTGTATAATGCTGTGCTTGCATCTATTCATAAATGAGTGCCATTTGGGATATGTGAAAACACCTGTGGCAGGATGTGCTTGTAAAGAACATTTTGTCCCAATGACGCCACCATGTCAAGATGATTTAGTGCTAACATTTCAGTGAAGGAGAGAATGAATGCACTCAAAATGCACTCGGATGTGTATCTATAAAGTCCCTTCGGCGTTTTTTCACTTTTAAATAGGGTTCAAACATGAGATCACAAGCCTGATTCAAATGAAAATCCAATAGAAAATAAGTTTTATCAATCCTGTGCTTCAGCTTTTTTGACCGAATGATTTTTATCCCTACATGCCATTTCTTCATTGATGGATGTAATCGATTTGTTTATGTTGTTTAGATTTTGTCAAAGTTTTACTCTTCTCACTTGTTCAAGTATGGTCTTTCTCTTCTTGGCGTCATTGACAGTGGACAACTGCATATCGCCCATCTTCTTCATTTTCTCATCCATGTCGATCTTCTGCTCTAGCTTGCGAATCTCGGTTCGAAGGAATCGCACTGTGTCCTCCCTGTGGTGTTGTCGAGCAAGAGTAGCAGCACATGCAGAGTGGATAGCCGTGATCCAGTTTTCCAGTTCAGTTTGGCCGGATGTCTGACAAAAGAGGAAAAAATACAAATCAAGTTATATAGCCATTGAAAGAAAGGATGTGGAAGTTTAAACAATTAACTGATAGCCCAATGCTGGCTTAGCAGATAATGTTGTCGCATCATTATTTGACAATTAATCAATTATCCTCCTATACACAGACAGAATGTCTATGTGGAAAGCCATTATTAATATAAATGGGGTGTTCTCATTCATACAATGGCCACATTGGAGGATCACTGTCACAGCGTGACAGCATGGCATTTAGACATGTCAGACATTAAATAAACACATGGACATAGGTCTGTCGTATTTCCACATTTAGCTAAAGGTCATATATTGTTGCACTACACACACCAAAGGTATATTATCTCTTCTCTTAAATAAACGTGGGCACGTCTTCTCTAGTGTGTGGTGCTATCATGTTGTTTTAAAAAAACAATAGAATCATCTCCACTATCTTTTGGACATTATTTCAAACATTTTCTTAATTTACAAGCACTTTTAGGACTTAAAGGAAAAGAAGGACTGCTTCACATGGATGTTTTGATTTCCATTTCTTTTCTCACCTGAAAGAGGAAAGCATCTCCCACTGAGTTGCTGAGGCAGAAGACAAAGTCTTTCTTGGGGTGTTCAGGCACAGCTTGGACAATGCTGTTCTCCACCCACAGTGCATGTTTAGGTACACTGTTATGGTCAATGCCCGAGCGACCGTCAGATTCATACAAGTAAAGGGTGCATCCTTGAAGAACACAACAAAAAGACGACTCGAATGAATAAAACAGCAGTCGGTAAAGAAATAAACTAAACCAGTTATCCTTTGGGGAAAAATTTATATTATTTAGTATGATTTATTTTTTCATTTCAATAATCTGAATATGTATGAGCATTACTGGTTACTGGTGCCAACCTATAACCCGAGTTGTGGAAGGGCGGACACAAATAGTGGGTGCAGGCAAGATAGCAGCTCTATGCTGTATCTTATGCATTTCAAGAGAACCTGATTAGATTAGACACAGATGCTGCCATGAAATTAAACTGTGATGAGATTGAGCAGAAGCAGCGTGCAGCCAGAGAAATTAGTGTAGGAGAGGTCAGTGGGAATGACATCCAAAAGCAGGGACTTGTTTAGACTGATGTGATTACAGGCTAACAGGAAAGACAGTGTGGTACGTTAAACAAGTTTGGGTCAGGTTACAGAGATTTTCTCAATGTGACATTATGGTTGCAATATTTTATTCATAACAAGCTGTTTTCTAGGGCAGGATCTAACAAAGCATGATGAAGCCGGCAATTCATTTTTTCAGCCGCTCTTTTGTTTGTGTATGGTTTACCATTACAAACATGAACCTCCTCCTTTAATTATTGTTTGTGGTTTCCTTATCTTAATATTCATAGACAGAGAGATTTCAACTGGCTCGGAATTGAATTCACATAGCTGAAGCTGTCTCACATTTATTGGCGCACCTCTGGAGTCAAGTGATAATTTGCACAGAACAAAAGCCCGTTTAAATTATACTTCTTAAAAATGTTTCATTCTCACATGATAAGGGGTCTGCAGCCAGGAGATCATATTCATTCAACTAAAAAACACAAATCTAGTAAGAGTCTATGCGGCACCTTTCAGAGACACCCAGTAATGTTTCCACTTGCGCCTCGTTGCAGGTTCCACCTTCTTGTTCTTCTTATGAACCAGGAAGTTCTTCACAGCCAGGGCCCCAGCTTTCCTGACTGTGCCCTGTGCACATCCAGTGGCACTGTCAGATGGATACAGGCTGCTGAGCGTGCCGCTGCTCTGCTCGTCGCTCGCAGCTGAGCCTGCCTCCTCTGTGCCGTCCCGGCCCCGATTCGTCTGGCAGATCACCCAGAGATGCACCAATCAGAAAAAAAGCCACATTCGTCAAAAACATCGTGATGTAAATTAATTTAAAACGTGCTGAAAAAGCAACTGACCCACACTTGGTTTTCCAGTTCCTTCCGGAAGTTTTCATACACTCCTCCCCTAACTCCGTCGCCCCCCCGTCCCTCTCCTCCACCTGTGCTGCTGCTGCCGCTGTCGCTCCCGTTAAACACGCTGCTCTCGGTGGCCGAGTACACCGAGAAAGAAGCTGACATGGCCTTACAGCGCCGGGACACCAGTTCTCCATCTCCATCCATCTCTGTGACAACTCCATCGATCCCGCTGTCACCATACTCACTTCCCTCACCCAGGACACCAGAGATGTCCTGCAGGCACAAACAAAAACAGGTCAAAAGAGTCTACATTGGAGGGAATTCTAGTAAGAAGCAGACGGAAAGATATGGAAAATTGATCTGTAATTCTACATAATACAAGAAGTGAGTTGTCCAGGGGACATGTTCGTTTCTCATTTCCAATACAAAACATATTTCAGTTTGACCTGAAGGTTCTCCATCTTTCTACCAAGGAGGGTCTCCGTCTGTTCTTTTTCCTTCTTCCTCTGCTGTGTTTGTTTTACTAAATATATCAAACAACCCTCTCTGTCTGACTAGATGAATTTATAATAAGCACTTAGGCTGAGTTCCTCTCCAAGGGGGTTTGTGGGTTGTGGGAATTAGTTTTTTGTTTTTTTAAACAAGGTTCCCTGTTTTAACATTAAATCCAAATATTGTTTTAGTCTAAGACAGAGACAAATGACAGAAAACTCATTAATTGTCTCCTGTGCTTAACATAAAACACCAACTACCCCCATTCCTCTTCTTTGAATTAATCAGCATTAGCGAATGACAAGACCAATTCCAAATTATGCTCACACTGTGTGTCGTTATATGCAAAAAGAGGAGTGTGTGGGACATGAAGGCCCCTTTTTGTCTGAGTCTTTAATCCCAACTGGAAAGAAACAGGCAGGAAATATCTCTGGTTGTCAACAAATCTTTAACTGTTGAACTGACTACGATTCCCTGTGATGTGTGAACCCTATGAACTTCCTGGACCTTACTGGAACACAGAGTGCTCTATTTGGAAGTTTATTTCACAAAGGACAAGCCACACATGGATGGATCAGAGGAGAAAGTTGTTTTTTTTTTGCATATATTTCCATACATTTGTATCTCTATATAGATACATATTTATACATATACTGTATATCTATATATATGTATCTGTATATGAACTGGGATCAAACCTGGGTAGTCTGTGCACGTCGTCCTTGGAAGGCAGGGCATGGTGCAGCAGGGATCCCCAGAGCCGACAAGCCCTCGGAGAGGCAGTGAGAGCGCCGACAGGGGAGCGTGAACGCTCCGTACCCACCGCCATCCTCTTCAGTTGGAGACATCAAGCTATCATCCTCTTCTCCACCTCCGTCACACTCTGCTTGTCTGCTATTTTTGACATAGCGACTCCTCTGCCCCCGGAGGCCGGGACTCTGCTGGCTGCACAGATGGTCCAGAGAAGATGCCCTTTCGGCTGAGCCTGTAAGATACACAGGTGGTTATTCCAGAGCATGTGTGTGTGTGTGTCTCTTTGTATGTGTGTGTGTGTGTGTGAGGGAGAGAGAGAGAGACAGGGATTGAACCAGGGGGAATTTAGTATATCCTGATTACTGTCAGTCTTGTCTTACCCATTCAACCCCCTCTGTATGTTGCTGTCTCCTGTTAATCTGTCTGACTTTTGTGGGTTCAAATCTTTACATGAACAAGTTTTCTATCCATTGCAAGCCAATACATTTTTCTGACCCTGCACCACCTTTGACACCACTGAAAGTTTATTTTCTGTCAAAATTTTTCCCTATGCTCTAAGTGCCTGCATTTTGTTTCCATCGCCTATATCAAACATCTATTTAGTGACTTTTTAAAACTCATACCATAAATGAGATGCATTCAGTTAGAAACTTATGATAACATCAATGATTCTTACAAAATGCTAGACTTTACATGTGTCTATTGTCCTCACCTGCACTGCCTCTGGGACATGTGAACTGTTCTTCCTCCTCATCCTCTCCTCCGTCGATCATTTCCTCAGTGCTGGTGAGATGCTCCTGGCTCAGGTCAGAGAGAGAAAACTCCAGGCTATCTTCTCTCCACATGTCGGCTGACTTTGATCGCTTCTTTTTAAAATTCCCTCCCTCGCGGGGAACCTCAGTCATTCGCTGAAGATACCTGTCCTCCACAGTAACATTTTCTCGCCCATCCCCCATGGAGTCCTCTCCAGCATCCTGAGCCACGGTGTCTGCCTCTGAGGTTTCTGGAGTGGGTGTCGCCAACGGGTCATCGTCTTGCTGATAGGACTCTGGCCTCATTGTCATGGCGACACGTTGCGTCCAGTGTGGATTGATGCCAAACTCTCCAAGCTCATCTCCAGTGTTGAAAAGTTCCAGTCCATTCTCTGCCAAGGATTGTGGGATGCTGGGGGTGCTGGAAGAACGAGTGGAGGTTTCAGAGTTCCTGTGTTCCTGTTTCACTGAGGAGGAGTGCCTCGGACGGCGGGTGACGGGCTGTTTGTTAGAGAGGCGAAGTGAACGGGATGTATTCTTACGGGACAAATGTCCTGTCCCATTGCCATAGTAACCACTGTCTCCATTCTGACTCTCCACATTTCCCATGATTAAGCTGTGGAGCAAGAAAGGAATCTCTGTGTAACAGTTTAACCATTTCCTCTTAATTGAAGAGGGCTGAGTTGTAAACATATGAAGCATGGAATAACCTCAAGTGATACCCTTCATTTCTGTGCTGTGCTCTTAGCTCATACCTCACACCTAATTAAACACCTAAACATCTAAAACACTTCCATGACAGTATTCATGGAGTCGTAGTTGTGAATGCCACATCTACTCACTGTTTTTTAGGGCAAATATGCACCATTGCTGTGAATCTGAAATTGTTAATCTAATTATGAAAAGAGTTTTGCTAATACGAACACGTACTTTTTTTCGGCCATCGGGCTAGTTTATGAGGAAAAATTACATTTACAAAAACAATATCTATATCATATTTCAGTTAAAGGAGAAAACAGTACTCTCTTTGTGCTCCCTTTGTAGATACGATCACCAATATTAATATTATCTATTGAAATGACGGAATACACAACAAATTATTTTCATGTGTTTTATTGTGCTGAAACTATATGAAAGTAACTTTATTTATCTCAAAGGGAAACTATGTTGTTTGATTTTTCATTTTGATGCAGGTATTAATCAAAGCTCTCCAAATTATGAGCAATTAAATTTTTCAGCTGGGATGAAAGGCAAGAATTACGGTAGTGTAGTTAATCAGCAGTGTCAGCAGTTAATTTCTGCATGGTATTAAAATTTCACAATAGCTCTGCTTTCATTAGCTTTACTGATGAATAAAAGAGCTTCATAGGTAGCCTTCAATGTTCAAGCACAGGACCTGCTCAACCAGCTATTTCCAATGACTTTGTTCACATCATTAATCATCATGACCATCACCATCAGGTTCTCAGCCTGCATAGACAGGCTTACCAAAAATCTGTTTTAACAACTATTCTATTTTAAGCTCTTTATGAAGCTGTAAAATCTCCTTAAGAAAAGATAGCTGCAGTTACCTGTGGTTAAGTAGCCGCCATCACCATCTTCCACACACACACAGGACGGGATCTTCTACCACCTGCATGATCCCCACAGGCTGAAACGTTGGTTTCAGATTTTTCTTGGGGAGACAAGAAGAGAGAGGTGTTTCAGTAGGGCTTTTGCAACTTCAAAGTATGTGTTCCAAGGGGAAGATGCTTCTAAAACAACTGCTGGATATTTCTAGATATGGTTTTAAAAGCAGGTGAACAAAAGATAAAAGAAAAATCTCATAAAAAATACATTTCATAGAATGAGATAATACAATCATCACTATAATTCAGGGGGGAAAAGAAAGCAAACAAAGAGGAATTTCAATATATACTCAGGGACTAAATAGCATAGTACAGCTATAGTGTTACTAGAGCCTAAGGGATAAGGGGTGGCACCTCAGAAACAACCGCAATTTCTGGCAGTTCCAAGCTGAAACTCATTGCCCACATGAAACTGAACAGACATGCACAGACATGTGCGTTAGACATATCAGAAAAAACAGCCGTCGTCTCCCTGCTCACAAAGAAATAAGAGCACTGCCTGGTAAAATGAGAAATGATGAGAAGAAGCTGTAGAGTATGATAAACTGCTTAAGAACTGACTCAACTGTCCTTGCCAACACAACTTAGTTTTCTCTAAAATCAGCCATGGGCCATTTAGGAAAGACCACGGTTTCTGTAACGTACAATGCAATGCTACCAATGCAGATGCAAGCCTTTGTTAAATATTTCCAGTTAAAAAAACAAGTCAAGTGTTGCTGTTTTTACACAGAACATGGCAGATCCTGATCCTGGTCTTGCTCAGACAGTACACGCATTCAGAAGTTTCAGTAGTTTCTGAACAGCCTGCTGCTCTCATACTTCAAACACAATTAACAGATTTGACTCTGGCCTGATAAGCCAAAATAGCAGGAAAACGATGAAAGAGAACCACTTCTGCAAGAAAGATAATACACCTTTATCAGCCCGATGGCAGATGGCCATCAGCACAGAGTCTGTCTGTAGTCTCTACAGCTGGGGAGTCTGAACTTTTTTCATTTCAGAGCCCAAAAGAATGATCAATTTGTTCCTCCCTGGAACACACTGCCTATATGTTATAGGATGATACTTTTTCCAAACTTTGGCTGCAGCTGGGATTTTTATTACATGCATTATTGGATTATAGACAGGATTACAGATGGCACTGGGACAAAGATACACAAAATCAAATATTTTACTATTGTTGGGAAATACATGGAAATGAGATTTGAGAAAAGGATGCTTTGTCTTAAACTGGAATACATACTTTAGCAATGCAGCATGTATATGTGTTCGGATCTCTTATCTCAGCCACTGCAGCATTTAACCCCAGCTATATAAGCAGTTATATAAGCTAAAATTGACCCTGAGACTTCTCATCCTCTTCTCCTCTCCTCTGCCTTTCATTCTGCCCTTTATTCCTCATCTCTCCTCTGTCTCATCTATCCTGATGAAGCCAGCCCACATTCAGTCCCTGAAGCAAACAGAACAAAATTTACACACACACACACACAATACTAATGATTCATACATAGTTAGTGCACAAGTGGTGCCTGAATTGAAGCAGCAACCCACCCTAAAAAAAAACTGTTGTTTACACATAACTGTGTGGACCAAAAATATATTTTGCTTCCAAGAATTCTAACATATACAGATTTTTTATCACAAGTATGATGGCCATTAAAACAGCAGTTGCAAAGCCGTAAAGATCAGTTTGTTTCTCTGTTTAGTGAGGGGGAAGGTGGAAAAACACACACTCTGTCCAAACAAACAAAAGAGTCCTGTCTGATGCCACACTGGGGAAATCAAACTGCTGCCTTTCCTCGGGCTGTGCACAATTTAAAATGTTTTGTCTCCCCGTTTTTTCCTTTTCTTTGTGCCCTACAGCAAAGAGCAGGAGACAGAGAGGGGTAAGAAGCAGAGGAGGGGAGCTTGCTGGTGAACCTACTCAGAGCCCAGAGGTGAGGCAAAGCTGTGGGCGAAACGCAGAAGGAGGCTGGTGAGGGTGATGCAGACAGAAATGGAGGACCAAAATATTGGGTTCTCTGCTATGAATAAAAGTTGGATGGGGAAAAGTGAGGAAAAAGGGAAGGATTTTTTTTTGCAATGAGGGGAGAAGAGAATGAGAGAAACTGGGGGGTCCTATTGTTGCTGAGCTCAAAGTCGATAAGTAGACGCGTTCTGTCTGCCTCTCCTCTGGCTTAATTGAGGGAGCCGAGACAAAAGAGAAACATAATTATTCGGTCTCTTTCTCCCAGCCTCTCATTTCTCGCACTATATTAACACATTGAGAGTGTATTAACACAATGCCCTCCACCACAGCAGCATCATTACCATGCCGACATGTCCCGGCAAACAGATGCACACACACACACACACACACACACACACTGAGAGGAGACAAAGAATACTGTTGAAGAAAGTAAAAATTCATGGTTGAACCATCAGACACACCTGTGAAAATGGTATCTCAAAATTCACATTTCTTACTCTTCCCATCTTTGCTAGCAACAAACGGTTTTAAGAGAAAGGGCTGAATCAGTGAGACGACAGAGCACCGTGAGGGGAATGTGTCAGGAACACCTCTGTTCTGGGGCTGTCAAACCGGCATTGCAGTTACAATAAAAAAAATGTTTCAAAAACTTCAACACCAACAAGCCCCCACATCTGAAACCCACCCGAACATAAACACTCAAGCACGCAGGCGTTTTCCTGCTGCTCGCACTGGGGTACAATGAGGCACACCTCCAGTCACACACACCTGTACAGTCTCAGGAGAAATCCGAGCAGGTTTTCCAGCTCACACTTATGCGCTCAGCCTCCTTGGAAGCATACCAAAGGCCTGTCAGAACAGCCACTGAGTAGGCACACCCTATACTTCCCCCTGCCTGTCTTTTTATCTCTGCACCTGTCTCACAACTCCACCCTAACCTGACACACAGCACTGTTCTCCAGAAAGAAACCGCACATGGCTTGAAATGTGAGGTAAAACAAAAACATGTCTCGTCGCTTCCAGACTGCGCTCTGTGGATACTGCGGTTAACAATGATTCACATAATGTTTTTTTAATCAATGCTGATTATCCAGACATGAATACATTACAGATGCTGCTTTTTTAAAGACAGTACTAGGGTAGAAATGCTTCAATTTAGTTCTGTTGCTTAAAAAGGGCAAGAATGGTTTGTCGTGAATTACTATTAAAGCTTTAAACTAAACTCCTGTATATAACCTTATGTGTTTATATCTCCTATCTACAGGAAATTTAATTTTCCAAGGAAAGCAATTTCACATTTGCCTTTGTGAGAACCTTAAGAGGTGGTACTTCATTCATCTAGAGCATGGTAGGCTTATTTGTGGAGCCAGAAGGGCTCTCAGGAGAACTCATCCTGCACAAAGGATCGATCCGCTATTTTGCAACTTTAGAAAGCAACCCCAAAAACATGCTCATATTGATTTTGTTGTTCCCTCTCTCAACTTCCACTTCGACACAAGGTTTTACGACATTCAGATTTTGTATTCTAAATGTTTTGAAGTTATTCTTGGTGCAACGCTTTCATCCATAATGTAACAAAAGGTCAGGGGCAACAACTGATTAATGGAAGATCACATTAGTGAGTAATGTTTTTTTACTCCAAATTGGATGCAAAAAAGACAGATCCTCTCTTTAAAATGAAGGATTAAAAGAGTGGTGACTGGTCTAGACACAGCAGTAACCGGAGAACCATTCATTTTCTCTGACCTTTCTCTGGATGCTCAAACCTTCACCACCTCCTCAAGCTCCTCCACACACGACATGGTGACTTGAGTCACCCTAACCTCAGGCCTTTTCCCACACCTTTAACATTCCTCACATTGTTAGCAGATCCCCCTGGCAAGCATGGGAGTAGAGTTTCTGATGTTTAGCCCCAGTTTCTGGGTAGATAAAAAAAAAACATGTTAAATATAAGGCCGTGAAAATTCTTGATGAGAGATTTTTATCACAGTGTCAGAAATGTTCCCATTTTG